TATTTGGAGATTTAAACACCCACTGGTGGTTTTCCAGAACCACACCAATGCAGTGGAAGAATTGACTCAGTATGGCTCTCGAGAGAATTATCGATACAGGCCTAAAAGGTAGATACACAACCAAGAACACTTTCGAACCATAATTTAATAATACTTGAATTAAAGGGAGAGAAAAATACCCTGTGTAGATGGAGATTAAATGAGGGACTTCTAGATAACCAGAACATCTTACAAAAAGCAGAAAAAGCCCCGAGGGAATATTTTGAGCTAAATTTAAATCAAGAAACAGGTAGAAAGATGGTCTGGGATGCTAGTAAAGCTGTAGAGAGGATTCTTTATCCAACAAAATGCCTATAAGAAAAAAATTAGAGAAGGAGAAAAGAAAGAAGTATTGGAAGAATTGAGTTGGTTAAAAAACCAGGGAAAGTCAATAAAACAAACAATAAAGATGCTACAAACACAATATTCAATTGTAATAAATCTGGAAACAGAGTGCAAAATAAAAAGGAGGAAACAGCAAATTTTTGAATATGCCAATAAGCCAGGTAAATTACTAGCATAGCAGCTAAGGAAAAAACAGGGCATAAATTGAAGAAGAAGAAGAAGAAGAAGAAGAAGAAGAAGAAGAAGAAGAAGAAGAATTTATTAACACCCCACCCATCTGGCTGGGTTTCCCCAGCCACTCTGGGAGGGTCCCAATCAAATATTAAAAACAAAATACAGCATTAAACATTAAAAACTTCCCTAAACAGGGCTGCCTTCAGATGTCTTTTAAAAGTACTTTGAAAGAAACAAAGAGAGATTTGAGGTAGGATGAATTTATCTTTTTGGGGAAGAATATCAGTGATAAAAATGAATGTATTGCCAAGAATGTTATTTTTATTTCAGTCGATACTGGTGATCGGCAGTGCAGGACACTTCAAGGAATGGCAAAAAGATATTTCTAGATTTATTTGGCAGGGGAAGAAACCAAGGATAAAATATAAATTGCTAACAGGTGCTTTCGCCTTACCAGATTAAAAATTCTACTATAAGGCATCCTGAATTTGCTGGATCCAGGAATGGATAACATTGAAAAATGCAGATATTTTAGATTTAGAAGGACATGATAATAGATTTGGATGGCATGCATATTTATGGTATGAAAAAGCAAAGGTACACAAAGATTTTCAGAATCATTTAATAAGAAAATCATTTTTTATGGTATGGGAAAAATATAAAAACTTATTAGAACAAAAAAACCACCTTGGTGGCTCTCCCCTTTAGAAGCAATATCTCAGAAAAAAACTGAATATGAGAAGTAATTGGCTGACATATAGAGAGCTGTTAACCAAAGTAGAACACCAAGTAAAACTACAAGACTATGAGGAGATAAGGGATTTATTAATGGATTGGTTAGAGTTTCACCAACTAAATGATATTTTTAAAAGACAATAAGAAAGGTTTTAATTGTGAGATAGCAAGATTTCAAAAAGATCTATTAGAAAATAATCCCAACTTATTGTCGAAAATGTACAGTTTGCGCTTAGAATGGCATACAAAAGATGAACAGGTCAAGTCAGTAATGATACACTGGGCAAAGGATTTGGGACATAATATTTAGATGGCATATTGGAAAAGGTTATGGAAAAAAGGTTATGGTTATGTACCGGTGGTATTTGACTCCTAGTAAGTTAGCAAAAATGTATAGGACAAGTACAAATACCTGCTGGCAATGTAAAGAAAAAGAAGGTACTTTATCATATGTGGTGGACTTGTAAGGTAATAAAAGCCTTCTGGGAGATGATATATAATGAAATAAAAAAAATGTTTAAAATGCCTTTGTTAAAAAAACAGAAGCTTTCTTATTAGGAATTATAGGTACTAACATCCCAAAGGAGCAGAAAATCCTTTTTATGTATGCGACAACAGCCGCTCGGATGTTACTATCCCAGAGATGGAAAGAAGACAAAGTCCTTACCAGAGAAGAATGGCAAGCTAAGCTGATGCCGAAATGGCAAAGCTGACTGGAAAACCCAGGAACCAAGAGAACAAAATTTTTTAAAGAATGGGAAAATTTTATAAGTTACCTAGGAGACCACTGTGAACAGATGGAAACATTTGCAGGATTTTAATTCCACTTGTAATATAATAAATACTTTGGATAATATGGATTGATATAAAATTTAGAGTATGGAAGAAGTTGTAAATGTTGAAAATAGAGGGCGTGGGGAGAAGTCGCAAGATTCAGAGTAATTTCAATATATGGATATGTATTTGGATTGTTATAATTTCATATTTGTAAAATCAAATAGAAATGATTTCAAAAATATAAAAATTAAAATTAAGCAACCCCAAATGCTAAAGTATTTTCTGATTGTTTTGGCTTATAAAATAATTCAGATCCACTGATCTTGCAGAATTACTCTCAATTTACAAGACAACTGAACTTAAGAAGGAAAATATATGCAGTGTATGTTATTTGCTGCAGTATCATGTTCCATAGTCCTTTTGCAGTCACCTCTTGAACATGCCTCCACACGAGGATCCCTTTGTCACATGGGTCAGCACTAATGTATGGCTACAAAAGTTGTTTTACTCCAGCACAAAAAGTTATCGAAAGCTGCGCATGGTGAAGGGAGGAGGGGGAGCAAAACACCACCCTAGGACTGCGTGCTGTTCCTTTGACTCCTTCGGAGCCGCGCCCTCCTAAGTCCCCCGGGGACTTTCAAGCAATTAACCCTGAAGACACAGGCTTCAGGATGGAGAGCGCCAAAGAGGCCGTTTGTCCTAGGCAAAAGGTTGATAAAGCTACTTTGCTGGGTGCTCTCAAGAAAACTGGGACAAGCCCAATGGCACCTGCATGAGAGAGAGGCTCCCCGTCGAGAGCCAGCGATTGGAGAAAGCCCGGCTCAAATGGTTCTAAGCATTGTGCAGGCTCTCACATGGCTTGACCATATCAGTCAATCATGGCTTACTTGATCTCCTCACTGTTTGCATATGGTGTACTCAAAGTGTAACCATATTTCACTTAGTTTATATGAAACAATATTTGCATTTTACTGATTGTTTACTCATGGCTTACCTGCGGTTTGCATGTTGGATGGCTAAAGCTAAACCACAGGTTATTGATGAAATTACGTTACAAGTTCATCGTTTACAAATACTTACACATGATGTATTAGAGGGTTACACAATGTCTTGCCATAGTTCACTCTTCCCTTGCCTGCGCGTTGCCAATGGTTTATCCTTCCATCTGCCACTTGGATACACTCGGCTCAGCCACAATGTATTCTCGTTCCCACCTCTTTTGCTATCGTGTAACTCATGGCTTATGATGGTGTACTCACAGTTTGCGCTAAAGCACACCTTACTTTATACACAAATCACACAAGATTTGTTCATAGTTAACACTCATGGTTTGTACCTGATTGAGTTGCAGATTGCTGTTTACACAAAGTGCCTAATTTATTAAATAAATCTGTAAACCACCCCTTGTAAAGCACTTAAGATTTCTCCCAATGGGAGGCAATATGGAAGTGCAAAAAAGTATAATCATTATTACTATTAAATGCTACACAAAGGGATGATTAGAATTAACCACATATTTCTTTTAAAGCGCAGAAAATCTGCCACTTAAAATGCTCTTCGGCCACCTCTTGTCTCTATCATCCAATCTCTACTCCCTCTGGCTTCATAACTTGTGGTAGCAAGAGCGCATTTAGCATCATGGGCCACAAAAGAGCCAAAGGAATGAAGCCTATGCATCTTAATTACTTCTAAAGTTACAACTGGGTGTAAGCGAATCAGGGCCAAACTGGACACAAATGCAGCAGGTGTGTGTTTTCAAACTGCAAGAGGGGCAGATGGGTGGGGGCGATAACCTCTTACCCCACCCTTTCCATAGTTTTCTCGCAGCTAAACTCACTTTCCATATGGGATCCCTGCTGGTGGAAAAACCATGCAGAACAAACTGTGGGGTGGTAAGCTGTGAGTCAGGGAGGGTTTCATGTGCCTCATGCAGAAGACCTTCTCCCTTTGTCAGCTCCTCCCCAACCCCAGTTTCAAGGTGGCATGGGGTCATTTCCATGTTTAAATACATGGGCCTGTAGTCAACTTACCTGTCACCATAGCAAAAGCCAGTGCAAGGGCTCCCACTAGTGCAAATGGGCCTTCTCCCTCCCCCCCCCACACCCAGCCTTCCCCAAATGTGCTCTGGAGGGTCAGGAGAACCCCCCAGAACACCCCCAGGGGGAGGAGAGGAGTGGCTATTCCATCTGGCAAGCAGAAATGCTGGCACTGACAGAACTATCAGAAGAGCATGACACAGAATTCTTCCCCATGGATTTCATGCCGTTGCTCTAGTTTGGCCCTCAGATACCACACACACACACACACACACACAGAGAGAGAGAGAGAGAGAGAGAGAGAGAGAGAGATTTTCAATGAAGTCACATCCTGTGTGACCCAGGTGTACAGCTTGGCACAGTCAACTATCCTCTCCATTCAGTCAACCCTTCCCACAAGGAGGGAGGCCTTGTCGCAGAGGAGCTGCTGAGCATCTGCTACCAAGTCCCTGAATGCATGCATCCAGGGCTCTGGACAGCCTCCCTGGGCTCCCCTAAATCAATGCTCAATGTTTCCCTGTTGCTGAAGTTGGGGGAATCTCAGTAATGGTAGACATGTTGTCTCACAGAGCAGCCTATCCATCGTTGCTGAACTTCTAACTGAGGGAACGTTCTGGGAACAATCTGAAAACCATGGCCCTGAAAACATGTCCCATAGTCTTCTGTCCACTTAAAAACCAAACACAACTGGAGAGCCAAGCGCTTCTCTTTCCCACTTGCTTTAAAATAAATCTTGATCTCCCACCCCCACCTTAAAAAATAGATATAAAAAATGGACGGATAAAAAGATAAATATAGCTTTAAACCATCTACTATTCTCTCAGTATGACTTTTTTGATAATAGATAAAACTGTGATATATACTCTGTGAAAAAATAGAAGGCGCCAGGAGTTCTGATTAGGAATCATATGATATTTCTGAAACAGCATCTTTTCTGCTTCATTAACAAATAGTTCTGAGGAATCCCCACAAAAACCTCAAAGCCGAAGGACAGAGTTTTCACGATCTGAGGACCCAAGTTAAAAACTCACCTTATGAAAAGACACAGCCCTTTTGTAAAAAGTCACAAATTCCCTTTTGATGTAACTGGAAGGAAGTGGGAAGCTGCAGAAAGAGGCTTAACTTCCTTTTCACTGTTTCCATAGAAAGCCTCCCCCTCCCCTGCCCCCTTGTTTGGGTTGCAGGAAATGACCAGGATACCCTCTAACGTGGGAATTTGTCACTGCGGCTTCCAGGGTGACTTGAGAGCTGGAAGTAAGTGAGGAGGTATGTGAGGACTTTCTCTTTAGTGACCAGTCAGCAAGTTAAACTTCCCCAGAAGATGGTCAACATCTGATATTTCTCCACTGAAGAAAGAAATGAAGCCATTAAGACCGACTCCCAAGTTGAAAGGATTAAGACTTCTCGCTCGGTCATTTCTGTGGTGACCTTCGTCGTCAGCAAATAAATTAAGGAAACCATTCTGTAAAGTCGGTGGGACTTCCATTCTCTGGTCTCCACATTGACGAACTGGTGACCTTTGACCTTTAGGTGTATCAGTACTGAGGTGCGTGTAGAATAAAACAAAAACAGGGCTTCCTCAGCTGCAGTTGTGATGTCAAATGGAATGTCTAACATATCCAAAAGAAACACCAGAAACATCTCCCACCTCACTGAGCCAAAGGACTCATGGACAACATTGTTTAGATAGAACTATCGTGGCTGACACTGCTACCTTTTCTGGCAAAACTGAACATGACTAGCAGTGCCTCCTCCTCCGGTGCTGACCAGCAAACACCTCCAATGCATTTTCCTTTGCCATGCCAAGCCAATTAAAGAACACTCTGTGCCAAAACCATCTTTCGTGAAGTCTGAAGAAACATGACCAACTGTGCTTCCTCTTCTCCTTTCAGCCACAACAGATGTGGTTAACCTTGACATCCTTACTTGCATCCAGCCACAAACATGGCTGAAACTCTTTTGGCCCAAAAATAGCTTGCACACCAACACACTGATCATCCATAGTTGAAATCAACACACAATCAACACAAATATGGTTGGTGCTGCTTCTGCCCCCCTGCAGACAACCAAAACAAACATTGCTGGCAGGGTCTATACCTTTCTACCTTTGAACCAAGGCTCTCCTGAACAAGGAGAGAGGGAGCTGATGAGATGAGACAGTTGATTTACCTTGTAGGATGTCAGGAGATAGGTCGCCTTCTTGAACTTGGACCATCACCTCAACTCATCTCCATTATGAGACTGAATAGCAAGAAAGAGAATACGAAGGACAGCCCAAGCTGCTATACTAAAGGTAGATATGGGCAACCCCTTAACTGGGGCGGCAGGCGGCAAATAACCGAGGTTATAACCTCTTTGCCCCCAGAGAGGTATTTGAGGGTCACATGAAGCTTTTCAGAAGCAGGTAGGTGCAGCACAACAACTTCTTGGCGTTAGGGAGACACCGTTTAGTTTCAGAGGAACATCCTGGCCTATTCGAGGCAATTGGATGAGATCTGTTTGCTACACTATTTCCATCCTTCAAGCAGCTCATTAGTCCTTGGCTCACCAAAGGGATCCTCCGGCCAGTGAAGAGACACACAGTTGTCCATTCAGAGAAGTAATCCCAACTGCTTGGAAAGAAACTCAAACCAGCTCTTTGGCAGGAGTACAGGACACAGCGATGCTGAGCAGAAAAGCTATGGCTTCTGGGGTCCGGGAGAGAGGACTACAGGGGTGGAGAGTCCATCCACGCTGAGAGAGGGAATGTGAACTTGGGAGCTGGAATTGCTGGGAAACTAAAGAGAGAGGGGGAGGGAATTAAGATCTGCATACATTTATAACAACAGTCAAAGACAGCTTTTCCTGGGCTTTGAGGGGGGGAACAATTTTGACCACAAAAGCAGAGAAGTGCAACTCTCCTCTGCTCCAAATCTCTCTCCTTCCCCCACCAAACCCCCCACACACACACACATAGAGGGCTGCAGATGCCTGGAAATGGGGTAAAAATTCAATTCAGTTCACTTTTACAGGTGAATTTACCTAATTTGCATACATAATGAAACACAACCATCCCTTGAAATTTACACCTCTCCAAATTTTGCAAGGCCATTCTGTAGCCTTGTAATGTGTGCAACAACAGATACACTAGGGTAAAGTGTTATGAAAATGTGTATAATAGTGAAGATAACATACAAAAATGCTTTGTATTAGGGAACACTACTTTGCAAAAATGTGTGCATTTAGCAAAATTTCCTACAAACAGCTGTATATTAGAAGAAATTCACACTGAAATGTTGATGATTTTAATATATTTTATTACAAAATCACAGACTGATGTGGAAATTTGGAAAAATGAGCAACCAAAATTGACAGTTTCACCCATCAATCCCTATTGAAGCTCCACCAGGAGAAAGTGGCTGCATGTGTATGCAGAGCTTACCTGGAGCAAAGAACTGGCGAGATGAGATATCCTCCCCCCCCCCCCGCCCCACCGGAAGCTTTCATTCTACGCATCACAGCAGAGACACATCAGGTTTCATGCACTGTCCCTCAGATGCCACATCCGTCTCCCCCATGTCCCTCAATTCTTGCCCAATGCTAGGGCATATTTCACATGCATCCCCCAAATTAAACATTCGGTTATTTTTGTTTGTGAAGCCATGTACCGTAGATACCATGTTAGCCACAATTCACATCTATCCTGTAATTTCTTGAGAAACACTGCATTTTGATGCACTGCCCCCCAAAGGAACTTCAGATTTGAAAATGTCTACAGTGTGGACTGTGGGTGACTTTGGAATGTATCCAACCATCCTGACACCTGCAACGGGGTGCAAATGTGCTTTGAAGCAAAGCAGAAAACCTGCCCTTGCTGCATTTTAAGTTGGCAATGTGTGCACAGCCTCAGACTTCCACTCCTTTTCAGAACCCGCCCAACCCTTCAGCAATTAAGCTGTATAAAAGCCTCAAAGAAAGGTCATCTCCACACATTGTGGGGTCCTTACAAACTTTTGCCTTTTTGTTTTCTCCCTTAAATTCTAAATGTGGACCACGGCACCCATATGAATGACTGCAACGGCATTTCACCCTAACCAAAATAAATGAACAAATACCGTAGGCTATTTTTTAATGAAAGATGAAGGACAGGACCAAGGACAGCACATTATTTCTGCCCAGACCAATCACAAAAGCTTCTACCTCCTGAATGAGGCACAATATTTATGGGGGTGGGGATGAATCAAAGCAGAGCACAGCCAGTTGTAAATCCCCAGAGGTGGTATAAAGTTTCACCCCGTTCTTATGTCAAGACCCATCAGTCAGGACTGGCTGGATGAGGAAGAGTGGTGGGAGCCGCCCACCCAAGAGCCCCCAGGGAGGGCACAGAAGACGATGACTTAGATCCCGGACACTGAAGGGCAGCCTGTGGAAGGGACAAGCTGGGAGGTGCCAGAAGCAAGGGGGCTGAGCGATGAAAGGGGGTCAGTCACAGTGGGAGCACAGACTCAGACGGAGGGGAGTCAGAGGCTGCCCTTGCCACACAGCAATGGGACAATCCCAGTCCTGCTGCCTCTCCTCCCCCTCCGACACCCGGCTCGAGAAGAGTCCTGCACGTTGCTGAGGCCCTGAGCTCTCCCCCTTGACGCAGCCTTCGTCTGCTTAGGAGGGAAACAGAGTACGAGGCTAGAGAGGGAAGGGTGGGGTCAGTTTCAGCAATGTCTCAGCTCTGGAGTCAGGCGAACCAAAGGACTCTGCTGTGGCGTTATTTTCTGTTAATACAGAGCTAATTGCAATTCATGCCTTCCATGTGTGTGCCTGCCCTGTGGTTGATCTGACTCACTGACAGCTCCTTGACACTAAGGGAACCTTGGGAAGAGGGAAGGAAAGAGGGACCTTCTCCCCCCCCCCCCCAGAGTAGCAGCAATGGCGGCAGCAGAGCAGGTGGGATGTGGCACACTTTACAGGGAAACTGGTGGCCAGTTGAAGTTCCCCAACAGCAGCAGCAGCAGGTGCTCTAGTTAAGGGAGGTGGAGTGGGTCAAATCTGCATGGCAAAGCTATCCCTCCGGAAAACCAATGATCTTCCGCAATGCTTGGGAACCACATATTGCACATTAGCACTCAGGTGAGCCATTTGGTCTTCAGACACCACTTGCACATTTCAAATTTTGTCCCAACTATGAGGATTACAAACTAGGAAGGAAGGAAGGAAGGAAGGAAGGAGCATATACACACAAGTGGTCAAATGCATGCTGGATACCAGAATTTACACTTGCACAGGAGGATTCCAGATGTGCAAGAAAACACACGGCTTGTTATATTCCCTTTGTAACCAAGCACCAGACTCCCCAAACAAACCTGATTCTCTCTCTGGCTCTACCCATAATCCTCCACCCTCACCCCCCACCTCAGTCCTTCTGTAAGACCTAGGATCTTACATCATACCTGGAAGGAGAGCTTGGCTGGGCTGCGGGGTGCGATGGGGCTGAGCGTGCTCCAGAAATGGATGGTGGGTGGCAAGGAACTCGGAGTGAGCAGCACTGGGGTCTGCAAAGAAAATCAGGACGTCACAACCAGAACACAAAATGGTTGGTGGCAGAGAGAAAACAGCACTCCTTTAAGAATCCTAGTCCAGCTCCATTGGCCTGTTTTCTGTGTCTGGCTCTGAGAAGGCCGAGGGCAGGACTAATGGATTAGATTTTGGCACAGCGAAAGGTAAGAGGCAGGAATGTCTGAAGGAGCTGTCTCCACCCCCATCGTTCTGCAGCGCCGACGTTGCAAGAAGTGAGGTTACAGGGAACTAGGCAGAGGGCCTTCTCGGTGGTGGCGCCTGCCCTGTGGAACGCCCTCCCATCAGATGTCAAGGAAATAAGCAGCTATCCTATTTTTAAAAGAAATCTGAAGGGAAGTTTTTAATATTTAATGCTATATTGTTTTTAGCACTTGATTGGGAGCCGCCCAGAGTGGCTGGGGAAACTCAGCTAGATGGGCGGGGTATAAATAAATTATTCTTATTCTTATTATTGCCATTTAAAGACAAGAGAGCACATTCTGCCTTCTCCTGCAGCACAGGGTTCTAGGTAGTAGCTGAGGACAACGAGGCTAGTTGGCTATAGGAAGTGGGTGCACTTTTATGAGGCCATTCTTCTTCATATGTGTTGTTCTTTGGAACAATTTGTACTTAACGTTACCAGTGGCAAAGGGCTCCTGTCCTGCACCTTTGGCTGCCACTCAGAAGAGACAATTTTGGCAGAGTTAGCTTGTTGTGTGAAGCGAAAAGGCAACCTCCTTTGCACCTTGATGATCCAACTGGCGCAGTTCACAACTTGAGGTTGGGACAGTCGGTGGTGGGTGAGAACACCCTTCCCCAATGCCATAAAACAAACTGCCAGCAAATCCCTTTGCTGCACAAAACAGTCTCTCTGGGTTGGTAACCAAAGTGCCACTTGATGGGCCAGATTTGGGCTCTGGAGCCCTACTTGCCAATTCCTGCCTTACTGAGCCATGTGCATATCTGTTGGTTGGTTGGTTGGTTGGTTGGTTGTACAAAGCAGAAGTCACATTTGCCATCCAGGCGGAATGTTAAGCATCCCATTCAAATCAGGCACATCCTCCCTGACAAAAACAATTTTGGAAAAGATACCCTAGTTCTACCCCCCAGTTTTCTGGGAAATGAATGAAGTCCGCTCCCAACGGGGCCAACTGAGAAACATGGTCTCACCAGTGCATGAGAAGAAATGACCGTGGTTGGGGTCAGCGTACTCCCTGCCCCTCCAGGTGCCAAGAGACTGTTCACAGTGGCATTCACTTTCTCCTGGGTTGGCAGTGAAGGTAGCTCCAGGACTTTGGGCTTCTTGCCCTTTTGGGGCTGTCCCTCAAGAGACACGGTTGCTGGTCTGGGGGACTGAGCTTCCTCTTTCAGCAGACCACCCCCCTCCTCTGGCAGCTCAGCCTCCAAGGACACCTTCTCCAAAGAGGCCTTCTCTGAAGGCAAGGTCTCCTCCTTGACTCCAGCCTCCATTAAGACCAGCAGAGCAGCTGCTTCCCCATCAAGGTCAAGGTTCTCTTCCACCTTCACCAGAACCTTCTCATCAAGGGGGGGAGGATCCAATGGGCTGGGCTCCACTATGACCTGGATGACAGGAAAAATAAATAGAAGGAAGGGAAGAATCAGTCAGGTAGTCTCTCATGCAAAGAGAGGGTTGGGGTCCCCCCCCCTATCAAGCAATATGTACATTTTATGAAATAAATTATGAATTTGCTACTGCCCTCCCCAGCTTCACTTAACCACCAACCTTGCTTTCAGGAATCCTTCCTCAATCCTGCTCTGCACTCATTTACTCTGCTCTCCTTGTTGGCGTTCAACCAAATTCTTGCCCTAGCAAAAGGATTAGCGGGATTCCCCGCCCCCCAGCCTCAACCTGTGCCATCTCCGAATCTGCTCCAGAGGGATTGGGAGAAACCCCAGAACATATTTAGGGAGAGGAGAGGGGAGAGCATTCTGCTACACAAGGAGAAACACTGGCCCTGATGGAATGTTCATCTTAAGTCTACGTTGACCACAACCCCTGGACTTCAGGCCTCACAAGTGCTGCCTTGGGGAGGTCAGATCTAAAGGCCTGACCAATCTCACATTCTCTTTCCTTCACAAAGGCCTGTTGGATACTAACAAGAAGGGCAGGAAAATGAAGGGCATCCCCAGCAATACACCCAACATTCAGAAACAGATGGTCTCAGAAAAAGGAATCCTACCAGACATATATGGCTGTTACCAACTTTCCCCCTAATACTTCCTTTACTGTGCCTCATGCTCTGCCGGTATCCCTGCGGATGCCTGTTTGAGACCTCTTCTATTCCATCCATTTGCTGTTTCCTGAATGCATTGGCCCCCAGTCCATGCTGCTGAGTCACACCTGCTCACCTGATCCCTGGTTTCTGCTTTATGTTCTCCTGCTCTTGCGGACACAAACCTCCCCAGCTCCCACTCCCGTCCCAGCAAGTCCTCAAGTCAGGGGCGGAGGAAGGGGTGGGGGCAGTCCACCAAACAGTCCGCCCACTGCCTCCCCCTCAGCTGTAGGGCGGCTGAGTGGGAGGAGGCAGGCAGACTCCTTGGAGGCCTGCCCCAGCTCGCCCTGCCCTGCAGGCAGCTGGTCCCACCCCTGGGCACAGGGCACACACACCGCCCCAGGCGCCTAATCGGCTTGCTCTGCTGCTGCCTTAAGTACAGCATTTCACAAAAGAAATACTTCCACTTGCTGACAGGTTTTTTTGTTTTTTGTAATGCATTCCACTCACTGTACCTCAATGCACTTGGGCACTGTGAAAGGAAAGCCACAGAAATTGTGGGTGGTATTTTAATGAAGAGTAAATTATAACACACTGCTTAATGGGGCCTTCACTTTTCTGTGAACCATACTGAGACCTCTGGGTATAGGGCGGTATATAAATTCAATAAATAATAATAATAATTAACTGCATATCAGTTCATCTTCATATCAGAAACTTCATGCACCTGCAAACTAAGCTCCGACCAGCACAAAGTCAAGGTGTTCCCATCCCAAGTGTGCACAGCACAAAATCTACTGCCAAGTGTGTGGGGTTCTGGAACCACAGCCTTTACAAAAACAACAACAACAACAACCCAAACACAAATTTGTGGAGAATGGCGGGATTTATGCTTTCAGATGCAGACTGACAAGCATAAGATGAGATGGGGAAGCTTTCCCAGGCTTGATGTGAAAACCTTCACTTGTTTTATGTCAGGCTGCTGCCTCTTGACAAGACTAGCAAATGGTGTTGGCACCTCTAATAATGTCTACCAAGGATGAAAAAGAGACATGAGGATGGGCAGAACTTCCAGCAGGAAGGACATGGTGAATGGGTGCGTCTTCTGTGCACCTCCTCTTCTCAGGGCCAGCTATGTGAGCCACCACCGGCCTTCTTTATTGCTGCTGCTGCTGCTGCCTGTTCAACATCCCTGTCTGAGTTCGAGAGCAGTGACAGCAAGAGCTTCTACCTCCAGGCCCAAATTGGGCCCAGAGGGAGAGAGCAAGGAGATGGACAGCTGTGACCACGGGAAGGAGGAGGTGCGTCCAATCAGGGCATCTTGCTGCAGAGCCGCCAAAAGATGAGGCCGGCATTGTCTCTTCTCCAGGCTTGTTCACTTATCGTCAGCCTGCTTCCAGTCAGTTGCTGTTTTCTGGTGGGATTCCAATCACATACTGTACCGTCAAATAATTCTGCACAGTTATAATGGATTGGGAGGTCTTACACAATAAAGCTTGTCCTTTTTGCTATGAGGAAAGTGAATGGCGGAAAGGCTCTGCAAAGTGTGGGATAATACTTGCTTTGACACAGCGTCACCTAACTTCTAGCAAATAAACCCAAAAGAATGCTCATTCTTTTGCCAACTACTCTGCCTGCAAACAAATCAGGAGGAAAACTCAAAGAACAGGCCTTCTTTTGAAGGACCTGGAGTCGCTTGCGGCTCTGAAAAAGCAAAACCTTCCACCACTTTTGTGACTTACCTGCAGGGGCTCCTGAGACTCCTCTGGCTCCTCAATCCTGATGTGCAGCTGAGGCGGATTGTCCACTGTGGCCAAGGAGGGTGGTGGTGGTTCAGGGGCAGCAGCAGGGGGTGGCACTGTGGGCAAGAGCTCTGTCTCCTGGCGGGAGACCCGTCCAGCGGGCGAAGGAGCCTGCAGCGACTGAATGGTGAAAGTGGAGTAGAGCCCAGAGCGCATATACTCATTCCGGCTGCTGCGTGGGGCACCCCCAGCTCCACGCAGGGCTTTGGGGGCCCCAAACGCCCCCTCGCCCCCTTTTGCTTCACTCTGCACCTGCTCAGGCCTTTTGGCTCCTCCCTCATCCTTTACTCCCTCCATGCTTGAAAGCTCCGGGTAAGAGACAAATTTGTAGACGAATTTCTGCCCACTGACTTTACGGATGATATTCTGGAAGGAACAGAGGGCGGCAAAATTAGCACAGCACAGGGTACAGTGATCAAACTACATCTGCCATGCATCTCACAGAGGCTCCGTCAATGGTATCTTCCAGAAAGGGAGTCTGGTGTTTTCTAGACTTGCTAGGCTACAATTTCCATCAACCCTGAACTTTCCCAATGCTCATGGGAGCTGATGAGAGTTGGAGTCCAACCGCATCAGGAAAACACAGCAGTGGCCACCCCTGACTTGGGGCATACCTGAACGCCAGGCTGGCACCTGCGCTGCCTCTGCTTGCTGCTGAAACCACACAGCCAAGACCAGGCATCCTGTATGCTTTGTACATGAAAATTACGTGCCACAATAAAAGTCAAATTCTGCACCAAGAAAAGATTAATACTCTGACCAGCATTAATTATGTCATTTGTAAATATTTTCTTGTATGGCATGATTTATTATTTTTGTGGAGAGAGACAAGCTCTGCCCCCTCCCTCACTGTTGTTGTTTTAAAAGTGAAGACAGATATTTGAAGAGAATTCACAGCAGGTTCTTCACCCCTGGCAACAGCAAACCTTTGTAGATTTCTTCATTTTATTAAAGAGAAAAATGGATTTATTTATTTTTACATTGCAGAACGACTCCTGTGAGTGGAGCTGTGTAGATGATGTCCCGGCTGCTTTGCAGAAACAGAATCACACACACACAAACACCCACAACCCCCAGCCCTGGGTAGGTAAGAAATACAGTTATGGTCAACGGACAACCAGCAATCCACCTGATGAAAACTAAGAGTCCCTAGATGTCCCTTTAAGGGAGTTAGTCACAGAGATATGGTTTTGATATTGCTTGAAAGTAAAAGTCACCAGACTTGGTTACAGGTGTATGTGTGGGTATAAAGAAACAGTAGTTCTGAGACACCCACAAAGAAATCCTGTGCAAGTTCACGTAAGAGCAAAGTCCCACTGTATTCCGTGGGGCTTAATCCAAGGGCAGAGATAGAAGCAGAGAAGCGGAAGACACCTTATGGGAGATCTCTCTGGAGATCTGATATCAGGTGGTGGATTAACTGGGTGCTCTTGGCCTCCACTAATGATTCATCTATACATTTGTAAACAAAAACAAATATCACACAAATGTCATAGGTTTCCAGTGCTGTCCCTTCCAAAGGTAAAATACCCTGTGTGGTGGTGTGCTGTCCCTGGAACTTCTTGCCACTTGGGGAAGTGGGGAGCATTTGTATGGACCATAGCCAGGATGCTTCCAGATCAGCCCTGCTGCTCTGCCTCTGTCTTCACCCTTACACAGCCAACACTCAGCCTTCCGAGATTTCACACACTCTCAAGCTTCTCATTGCACAAACAAGGGCTAGAGAGAGGGAGTGATGGGGTGGGGGGGCGGGGGTTGAATGTGAGATTCTCATAATGCTGAACTCTCCTTTTGATGGCCCTGACCACCAAACCTTCTCTTTTGGTAAATATGCAAAGACTGCACACACACACCTCACCCCAAATACCCTTTTTAACTTTCCAGTGCATTCTCCTTCACAGGTAACTGATCCTGAAAAGGCTGATCTGAAGGGGAAAGCAAGGCAGGGGCGGGGTTAATCTAGGAGTCCTTGGTCTTCTGCAAGGGAGATGCTGGGAAGCCAGACTGCAGACTCCCACCTTGTCATAGTAGTAGCGCAGGGCCCGACTCAGCTTGTCGTAGTTCATGTTGGTCTTGTTCTTCCGCAGCCCCCAGAGCCGTGCCACTTCCTCAGCATCAACTAACTTGAACTCTCCGTCGTTGGATGTCCATGCGATGAGATGTCCGTTGCTCTGCTGCTCCAGCAGCTGCAGGAGGAATTGCCACAGGGTGACTGAGGGATCCATGACTAGAGGGGACAAAGGGAGACAGAGTCAAGGGCGCTGTTTATGACGTGTTCCTGTTCCCTTGGGGGTCAGGGCAGTTTATACCGTCAGGAGAACCAAGCAGTACAGCTTTTCCTGAATGACAGGCTAGGAAAGCACCTATCTAAATGCTCCTGGGTCCAGGAGGGAACAATCCCCTTCACAGAAAAGCAGCATATCAGGGGAAAGGTCAGGCTAAATGCTGCTTCACATGCTAGAATTCTGTATGCAAGGAGGTGCCTCCCTTTCCTCCTTGGGGAGCAATGATGTCATTCCCTCATTCGGATCCTGAAGTGATCCAGCCCCAAAAAGTCCCTTTATGTGTTGCTTGATGTTGCCTCAGCTTTACTGTGCTGAGGAGCAGGCAGCTGTGTGGGCCTGATTCTACACACGTTCCTGTCACTTGCCTGGGCCACTCAGAGTTACACTCCACCTTTGCAGATCACCTGTTGATCTACAGTCTTCCAGGGGACCATTTAATGACAATTCAACCCACTGTACAAACACAGCACAAAACACAACAGATGCAGCAAGAAAGTAGGTGCAGTGACACCTTTTCCATCATTTTGTTGACTGTATCCTTTTGGGACCAGCAAATTAGGGAGGCTGCAAGAAACTCACTACACAGCAGTCAAGTTACCACTAGTGACAGTTGGAAACACAGACTGCCAAGTTGTGCATGTGCTTCTTCCTTACAGGGTTAAGTTTATGTCACAAGTTCTATGGTGGTAATTGATTATATGTCTCAGGCATATATTTGCTTGCCACTGGAAGATGTGCAGTGATCATTTGCCCATAACTGTTCCTAATAATATTCTACATACACTTGTAGAAGGTGAAAAGATAACAGTTGAAAACATAATCGCTGACTGCTCTCCCTTATCCAGGCACAAAACAATTTGCAAAAATCATTTGACACCAACCAGTGCTTTTTTTCTAAAGAAACTGTTTAGGGGTTTTCTCATTTTCCTACTCATATTGAAATATTGCCCCTCAATGAGGCCAAACTTAGATTCACAAAATGTTTAGGGGTATGCGTACCCCCACGTTCCCCCAGGGGGAAAAAAGCACTGCTGCCAACTGAGTATGCAGTAAAAACTTATCAGTTCTTGCTCCAAATTTAGCTCCGGCCCACTTCTTGAGAATAATGATTAGACCTTGTTCTGGGATAAACCTGTTATACCAAAACAATAGATTGCAACAGAGCAGACATCATTCTGGTATACAATGCACAGGAACACAGAAAGCTGCCTGCGACCAAAGCAGATCATCAGTATTGTTGACGCTGACTAAAAGCAGCTCTTCCGAGTCCATGGTCCCACCTGGAGATGCCAGGGACTTAACCTTGGATGTTTTGCAAAGCATCTGTTCTACCTCTCAGCTCCAGCCCTTGCACCTAAACACCCCACCTGCTAAAACAGCTACTATAATAGATCTTTAAATACTTCTCTCTTTCACACACATGCACAGACACGAAACAAGAGCATTTACAAACTAGCCTTGGAAATAAAGTGTGCCAGTAAATTCACTGCAACTTGTACATGTCCCCTCTTGATATCAGCCCCAGGAGTTGTTCAAACTGCCCTGAAGCAAAACTTGATGCATGTGTGCCAGCAGACCTATGAAATACAATACAGGAGGTTGTCATTCTCCAAGCTTGTCATATATACATAAGTCTAAAACCAGGATTTTCTTAAATAACAATAGACAGTTCTTATACAAAGAGGCTGAGGAAATCAGATTTCTACCTGAGTAAGCAGCACAACATCCCAGAAGAGACAGGATGGATGAATGGGGTACCAATGTACACCATGCTTTACAGTGGAACAGGAGCAGGTCTCTGCACTGAGCAGCTTACAATTGGCACCAGGAAAGGAAGGAGAGCTGACAAGGAAGAATGCAATGGCACCTACTAAGGCTGAGTTTCTGTAGGGGGTGAGAACTGAGAGCCTATGGCAAGTGCTTCACAGAAAGGTGTGTTTTAAAGGTAAATTTGAAAGAAGAAATAGGAATGACAAAGTAGTAGTAATAGTAACCAGTGCTTTTTTCTTAAAAAAAACCTATATGTTTAGGGGTACTCTCATTTTGACTCAAGAAGATCACCATTTTATAGTTCAAATCAGGAAAAATAAACACAGTAAATGGACAAAAGTACAAAGATTCACAAAATGTTTAGGGGTATGCATGCCCCTGCGTCCCCACTGAAAAAAAGCACTGATATTTGTTTGTTTGTTTGTACCCTGTCCATCTTACTGGGTTGCCCCAGCCACTCTGGGCAGCTTCCAGCATATAGTAAAGGTAAAGGTACCCCTGCCCGTACGGGCCAGTCTTGCCAGACTCTGGGGTTGTGCGCCCATCTCACTCAAGAGGCCGGGGGCCAGCGCTGTCCGAAGACACTTCCGGGTCACGTGGCCAGCGTGACATCGCTGCTCTGGCGAGCCAGAGCCGCACACAGAAACCGTTTACCTTCCCGCTAGAAAGCGATCCCTATTTATCTACTTGCACCCGGGGGTGTTTTCGAACTGCTAGGTTGGCAGGCGCTGGGACCGAGCAACGGGAGCGCACCCCGCCGCGGGGATTCGAACCGCCGACCTTTCGATCGGCAAGCCCTAGGCGCTGAGGCTTTTACCCACAGCGCCACCCGCGTCCCTTTCCAGCATATATAAAAACATTAAAGCATCAAACATTAAAAGCTCCCCTTCAAGTGTTTTTTAAAAGTTGTGTAGTTATCTCCTTGACATCTGATGGGAGGGCGTTCCACAGGGTGGGCACCACTGCTGAGAAGGCCCTCTGGCTGGTTCCCTGTAACTTTGCTTCTCACAGTGAGGGAACCGCCAGAAGGCCCTCGGAGGAGGACCTCAGTGTCCCAGCTGAGGGATGGGGGGTGGAGATGCTCCTTCAGGTCTACAGGGCCAACACTGTTCAGGGCTTTAAAGGTCAGCACCAACACTTTGAATTGTGCTTGGAAATGTACTGGGGGCCAGTGGAGATCCTTTAGGACTGATGCTATATGGTCCCAGCAGCTGCTCCCAGTCACCAGTCTAGCTGCCGCATTCTGAATTAGTTGTAGTTTCCAAGTCATCTTCAAAGGTAGCCCTGCGTAGAGCACACTGCTGTAAGCGGGAGTACCAGAGCATGTACCACTTTGGCGAGACAAGGCAGAGGCAGGGAGGGTCTCAGCCGGCGTACCAGATGGAGCTGGTAGACAGCTGCCCTGGACACAGAATGGACCTGTGCCTCCATGGACAGCAGTATATATATATAGTATGGCCTATATAGGCATTCCTTGGAGGGACTTCCAGGAATAAGGGCAGCAAGAGAGTAAAGGGCAGAGACATTTAACTATGGAAGTTCCCATTTCTCTATATACATCCAAAAGGAATCAGTACTGAGGTGAATGTCTTAATTCAGGCATTACTGTTGTCATATATGGGACGTGGGTGGCGCTGTGGTCTAAACCACAGCGCCACCCACAAGTTTGGTGGTTCGAATCCCCGCAATTGAGTGAGTTCCCGTTGCTCTGTCCCAGCTCCTGCCAACCTAGCAGTTCGAAAGCACGCCAGTGCAAGTAGATAAATAGGTACCGGTACAGCGGGAAGGTAAATGGTATTTCCGTGCGCTTTAGTTTCCGTCACAGTGTTCCGTTGCGCCAGAAGCGGTTTAGTCATGCTGGCCACATGACCTGGAAAGCTGTCTGTGGACAAAAGCCGGCTCTCTCAGCCTGAAGCAAGATGAGCGCTGCACCCCATAGTCAAGTCTGACTAGATTTAACTGTCCAGGGGTCCTTTACCTTTTACATGTGCATGCATGAGGAGCCGTGGGCAGAGGGGCTCTCGGAGGCTGTGCCAGAGCCCACTATAACAAGAGACAGATGGATCTGTTCCATGTGCAAGGGAAGGACACTCTCCTTCATGGCTGGGATTGAGACATGCCCAGGACATGCACTAGAGGCAGGATCCATGCACGGGAGGATACAGAGTGCACAAGAATCTTTGGCAGAATACAGAGTGCACAACCACCAGACAGTAATCAGAAAATGGAAGGGACTATTCACTTGTGTCCCCTAGACTTTAATCTCCAGCTGTCCCTGCCTCATATCCTATTGGTGGCCCTCAAAGAGTGATTAATTTCTAAAATGGAAGCAAATGGTGATGAGGTATTATTATTTTTTGGTCACATCCCACTACTAGATATGTGAGGAGCAGTTGTGGTTATTCAGTGTTAAATGAAAGGTAGCTCTGCACATGCTCAGAATCACACACTCTGGACCGCAGTCTTGCTGTGGCCTGGCTAAGTCCAAGCCTGAATCCTGGACCCCGTCTGGGATGGGCCTCCTTCCTCTCTTAGCTCCCCTTTGCATCCCCATCAGCTCCAGACTCACCCCCCCCCTTCAGCTGACAACCCCCGAATTGTCACAGGGAAGGGTCCTCTGTTAGCCTCTGGTTTACCTTTCCTCCCCCCATCTGACTCTGGGGAAAGAAGGGCCTGCACCGGATCAGGAAGAGGAGCTGCAGGGATGGACAGGCAAAGAAGGCTGATTTGGGACCTCTCCTGCTGCTCCCCCCCCCCCCCATGAATCTTTGGATTTGGCCTAAAGAAAGGATTTTCTGGTGCTGGATTTAATACAAAACCCCATCAAACACTCCGTAATCCGGCAGTTAATGCCGAGTGCGGAGGCGGCAGGGGGCGGAGAGATGGGGGGCAGGTGGTGATCTCGAGGGCAGGCAGAGGCTGGGAAGAGTCTCTCGGCATTCGCAGCGCAGGAGACCTTGAGAGCGAAGTGGGCAGAGCAGCAGCAGCGGAGCGGCTTTTGGCCGGAGATCCCGGGAGCCCGAGCGCGCGCTCCTCGCCAGAAGCGGCTGCAACTCCGTCCGAGGGAGACTCCGCTCCGGGCGCCGCGGCTGCTGCCCGGGGACACCCACCTGCCCGTCAAGGGGGCGAAGGCGGTGCTGGGGTCCCGGGCAGGCGGCCTGGCGGGGCCAAAGGGCTCTGCCCCCCGGTGCCCCCCGGCAGAAAGGAGGCAGCGTCGTCCGGGCGGAGTCGCCCTCCATCCCCAGCTACTCACCCGTCAGCAAGGCGGCAGCCGCCGCGCCCGACCCGGGAGGCTCCATGGGCTGCGCGGCGCCTCTCCCCTCCAGCCGCGTCCCGGGCGAGGCTGCCGGCGGGCTCCAAGTTGCTTCTGCCCCTGGGGACGCGCGGGTCCCTCTCTCCCCGCTCCTCTTCTTCTTCTTCCTGCCTCCGACCGAGCCGCGCAGGCCGGGTCCCTCGTCGGGAGGCAGCGTTGACGGCGCCGTCACATGCAAAGCACGGAGGCGGAGCTGGCGCCCGGACGCCTGGGTCCTTTCCCGGCGGCGCGGGGCGGGGGAGGGGAGAGAGGTTCCGGCCGGACTCCTGGGCCCTCCTCTCCCGGATCTCCCGGGTCCGCTCCGTACTAACGGGGGAGGGGGAGGAGTTAAGCGAGGGCGCCGGGACTCCTGGGTCCTCTCCCAGTTCAGCCGGGAAGGCTCTGGACCCGGGGAGGGGACTGGAGGGGGAGAGCGAGAGCGAGCGCCAGGACTCCTGGGTCCTCTTCTGCCAGCCGAGCGGGATCCGGGCCGACCGAGGAGGAGAGAGAGGCGCGGGGCCCCGGGGCGCCCAGCCGGGTCTGAGCAGGGCGGGCGGGGGGCTTGTCCTGCCAGTGCGGGGCCGCCCCTTGGCCTCCTGCTGCCCCCACGTTGCGAGGGGGCTGCCTGGCACAACTGCCAGCCCACCACCTGCTCGCCCCCTCGCCATCCTTGCGCGCCCCCGCGGTTGCCGCGGCAACGGAGGGAGGGGATGCAGGCGGAGGCGCGCGCGGGGTGCGGGGCGTCGAGAGGAAGTGAAGGAGGTTGCTGCCATGGGAAACCTCTCCGCCGGGGGCTCCGCCGCCCAAGGCCGCCCAGGGCCTCGATCGCTATGGAAACCAGGCTGAGATGGCAGGGAGACCTGTGCATCCTCGCCAGACTCTGGTGGTGCTGGCAAGCTGCTCCATCCAAGGAACAGCGCCTACCTGGCAGGATTGTTGCCAGGATAACCAAGCTCATGTGTGTCAAGTGCTCAGATTTAGGGTTTAGGCTGCAATCATCTCTACACCCGAGTGGAAGTCTTTACTTCTGAATAGACATGCACAATCGATCTGTTTCCCATGAAATATATCAAAGACAGAGAGATGAGTGGCCCACAGCAATTGCAAAGGATATTTCTTTAACCACTGAAAAGCTAGAGCCCACACACATCAGGGTTTAGGACAGAGGTTGTCAGCATGTTGTTGGTGTAGGACAGGTTTTAATGGGTAGGACAGGATATAAAGGTAAAAGGACCCATTAGGTCCAGTCGCAGACAACTCTGGGGTTGCGGCACTCATCTCGCTTTGCTGGCTGAGGGAGCCGCCGTTTTTCCAGGTCATGTGGCCAGCATAACTAAGCTGCTTCTGGCGAACCAGAGCAGTGCACAGATACACCGTTTACCTTCCTGCCAGAACGGTACCTATTTATCTACTTGCACTTCGTGCTTTCGAACTGCTAGGTTGGGAAGAGCAGGGACCAAGCAACGGACACTCACCCCATCGTGGGGATGAACAAAGTTGCAAAATCCAATCCTAGGCAGTCAAATTTAAAGCATAGGAATTAGGCTGTAAAACCTCATTTAGAGGAAATCCAGCTATGAAGTAAGCTGGCTCCCTTTCTTACCCCGCTTAATAATCACACAACCTGGGAAGTAAGCTTAGAAATATTATTTACTTGCTTCTTACCATGTTTTAGTTTATGGTTATGGTGGCAAGTTTTGGTATCCATCCCAACTTCAACCCCTCCCCAATGATTAGGTTCTAAATTATAGCAGTCTTTTATTATGCCCCATGCTGGCATTAAATGTGTATGCAAAACCTTTTATTAGCTACTCTTCAGCCATTGCTTTCAGAGTGGCTTACCAAACAAAACCATAAAAATACAGTAAGGAAGGAAGATGACAGCTAGTTAAATGTCCAGTATAAAATAAGCACACACTAAAAGATTGCCTGTCTGTTCGGGATAAAACATGGCAGGGGGTTGGACTCGATGGCCCTTGTGGTCTCTTCCAACTCTATGATTCTATGATTCTATAATAATCTTTGATTTGGTTTTCTTTAAGCGTAGAGCCACAAACCTGAACCTCTAGTGGTAACTCAGGGACACAGTCCAAATGAAGATCTACCTAACATATATTTTATCAGATGCTTAGCGTTGGAATGCCATTTGGACTTTCCGTCAGCACTGTGGTTGTCAAGTGGCTTGGGGGCATCAAGTGTACTGCTAATTCAAGGGGTCAGACATTTGCAACTCTTAGTACCCTAGATTGTCCACTGCTTTTTATTTTTTTAACTTTCACAAAAAAAGTACAATCTACAAAGTTCAAAACAAGGCAAATAACAGTAGTGATTTTTGAATTTACTTATACTGTAGTATGGAAAAGCTCAGAAATGTAATGGCTATAATGCTGCTGAAATCTCAAAACAAGGGATAGAATTGTTTTAAATAGCTTGTCAATTAATTGTAAACCAGCTGGATCCATGCAGGGAGGGGGACACATTTCCTCCACTAGTGAGGGAAAAACTCCACAGAACTTCAATCCATTTGATTTGGCTTCTAAGGAAAATGTCACTTACAAAGCAGAATTTCTGCAATGCTGAAAATTTCTGCCAACATGAAAAGGTATCGGTTTTTGAACAGGATAATAGAAAAGTGAAAGCTATCCTTGTTTGGAAACTAATTTATTGAGGTGGGGCCTCCTGTCAGTGGACAATCTCCCTGAGTATACCCACTTTCTCCTCACAATTGCCTTTAGGTGGTTTAATACTCAGCAAGGTAAAAACAAATATGGGCCAATGTTCTCTAAGACTAAATTATAGAAGAAGGGTTTGGATTTGATATCCCGCTTTATCGCTACCCGAAGGAGTCTCAAAGCGGCTAACATTCTCCTTTCCCTTCCTCCTCCACAACAAACCCTCTGTGAGGTGAGTGGGGCTGAGAGACTTCAGAGAAGTGTGACTGGCCCAAGGTCACCCAGCAGCTGCATGTGGAGGAGCGGAGACGCGAACCAATGGGAAGGTGGGTGGAAGAATGGGGCAAAAAGACAACCAACTGGAATAATCATCTTTATTTATTACTTTTGCAAATTGAGATGAACTAAGACACAGTTCCTGGGGAAACAGAGGCAGAGAAGGGTTGAATATTTGGAGCAGTGAAATCAACCACCCCAAGAGAAACTGTTTTCTCTCAAACTCTCCAATCTGCTGTCCCTGTAAGTACATTCAGCCTACCCAACTCATAAGGGTTTCCTCAGTTACAAACGCAGTTCCTGCTGCCACCACCAAAATGCCCAAGAGACTAACTCTTCTTCCAGCATATCACATTGAAAACGTCCCCTCTAGGAAGGGCTGGTGCCTAAAGGAAGATGTCCCTTCTGGTCTCCTCAGGCAAATCTTGGAGACCTTGGAGTTCATGCAAGCCCTGCAGAGAGGAGTTGGGAGTGGGAGAAAGACAGTCTGAGCCTAGGATGGTCTACTGATTTCCTAGAGCATCTCTTTCATACTGCTCCATAAGTTAAGTGCTATGGGGTGCAGCACATCTTGCTTTTCAGGCTGAGGGAGCTGGCATTTGCCCACAGACAGCTTTCCAAGTCATGTGGCTAGCATGACTAACTGCTTCTGGCACAACAGAACACCACAGCAAATGCCAGAGCACATGGAAATGCCATTTACCTACCCACAGCAGTGGTACCCATTTATCTACTCATGCTGGTATGCTTTCAAACTGCTAGGTTGGCAGGAGCTGGGAGAGCAAAGGGAGCTCACCCTGTTGCACAGATTCGAACTGCCGACCTTCCGATCAGCAAGCCCAAGCGGCTCAGTGGTTTAGATCCCAGCGCCACCAGCCAGTCCTAAGCACCAGAAGTAAACATGCTTCCCACACCATAGGCAGCACTCCAAGGAAAAGCAGGCCACAACTTTCTGCTGCTTTCCTCCTTCCCCTGCTGGATTCCTGCCCAATAGGAATCTGTCTGCTTGGAGCAAGGAACACCCATCATTACCTCTAAAACCATCCGAATATTGGCTTTGATCTTGGCAGAGTCTTTGGTAAGGGCTTCACTGAGTCTGTTGGAGACAGAAGAAATTGTGGGTAAGGAAGGAGGGTGGATGCAGCCTGAAACTCTAAAGCAGGCTTCCTCAACCTCAGCCCTCCAGATGTTTTTGGCCTACAACTCCCATGATCCATAGCTAGCAGGACCAGTGGTCGGGATGATGGGAATTGTAGTCTCAAAACATCTGGAGGGCCAAGGTTGAAGAAGCCTGATCTAAAGACTCTTGGACCATTCACAAATTAGGGCAACATGCTATACCGGGAGGAATTTGCCTGAGCCCACTGAACACAGTGGAACTTTACTTTCAAACAAACATGCTCCAGACTAAGTGGCGCAAGGAGAGAGAGGGCAGAGTTTGCTTGTTTCCATCTAAGAGATCTCACCTGTGCTTTTCTGGCTCTTCTCATTGCTTTGGGGGGCTCCTGCCATCTGCATTCCCAAAGCATGGTCTGCTTGCATTAGCCAGATAATTGGTTGCAAGAGATCGTCACCCTAAGCTATTGAAGAGTGCTCTTGTGAGGCCTGCCAACTAAGATTCCTTGGATAGCATGGGGGGCACAGTGGGACAACTGAATTCCTTCTACTCACTCTGTTAGTAGCTTGTTCTTCTTCTCAATGAAGGCAAGCGCCTCAGGAAGAGTCAACTCCACAAAGAACCCATAACCCAGTGCTACAAATATGGTGGAGGCATCAGGCCTGCAGGGAGAAAAGGTATTTAAAATGGCATGAATTTATACCACTGAGTATAAATGGGAACACTTACTTTGGAAGAATGGATTACTAAAAATATGGGATATTGGGTGCATGGTGAAATTAACAAATATGTTTAATGAATGTTATTTTTTTCTTGAAAGAGAAAACAACTGTTTTCCCAAGGGCAAAATACTTATACCAGCTGGGTAGAGAGGTGTTTGGCCTTGCAAAGGTGGAGCCTGAGCTACGGCAGCTACCCTGCCATTCCTCCCTGAAAGACCTGGCTTTTAACTTCCTAGTTTCTTCTGCACAGATTGAGCCGATCTCCCTTTTCCACTTGTCCTGATCCACAAGCCCAAAGGAGTCTCTGTGTGAGTGGTTTGATGCAGGGCCACCAAAAATGCTAGAGTGATCAATTCTAGTGCTTTATTAGAAAAAAGTGAAAATGGCAAGCCCTCCGCATAATTTCTCCGCAAGAGGCTAATATACAAAATGCAAGCTACGTTAGTTGGCCTCAACAGCCCAATTAACTCACCCCTAATTTAGAGGCCCTTTCCCAACTCCCACCTATCTCTCAGAAAAGGAAGTAGCTGACAGGCAGGCAGCTAGTCTCCTGACTAGCTAAATCAAAACTAAGGCTCAAAACTTCTAAGCAAGCAGATAGGTACATATGAGCTCATTCTTGCAGCAAATAACCATTATATACACACACACACACGTTTTTATTAATTTTTAACATATCAATTCCAACAGTCATAGAACATAACTTCTCATCTTATACAATATTTTTAGACTTCCGTCAACACCTCTGATTATTTTCTGTTTTTATCACTTATTATGCATTTAATTTCATATTACCTTTAATTGTCCTTAACTAATATTTCTCCTCATTGTCTTTCTTGCAATATTTTAAATAATTCCCCTTACAAAACTTCTTGCAAACCTACTAGCATAATCTGTTCATCACAACTGCTTTTCAAATAGTTCATAAATTTATTCCAGTCTTCTGAGAATTTCTGGTCCCGCAGGTTTCAAATCCTTCCTGTTAATTTATCTAATTCTGCGTAGTCCAACCATTAATCGTGTTGTTATCTTGACTACCTAGATGGCATTTACAGGACTTCAGGAACTTTTTCACTGTTTGGTACCACACACCACTGCCTGATCCAGTTAGCCCAGCCTGATTCAGTTAGCTGAAATCCTCCTTAAACTGCTACTCACATTCTCATGAATAACATTTATAGAGCAGTGAAACTGTCCAAAGTATTTCACACAGCTTGTTCCACTAAATCTTACAATAACTCTGAAAAGCAGGCCGTGTTACTATCCCCATGCTGCCGATGGGAGACTGAGATATGCTGGGTTACCTGGTTAGCTTGTGGCAAAGGTAAAATATGCCTTCAATGACTGACAGGTGTTCCAATAATGAGGAAAGCTATCTACTTCCCCCTCCATAGTAGATTCCTCAGCTTCCCTCAGCAAGAAGCACAATTTGTCTGCCTGCCTGAGGCATCTGAAGCTTGAAAAACATCATACACATACACAACACATCTGCTTTCTGATTGTGGCACATAATCTGGATTGAGTAGGATTATCCAGAGATGCCTGCTTTGTTAGAGGGAGTTGGATTAACTGGCCTTCTGCCCTTTCTCAACTTTTAGGATCCTAGTGTCACACTTTCCTTACACGCAAGGATGCCATGAAGGAGATGTGCAGAACCTTTTTCAATGGAGAACTACCGTATTTTTCGCTCTATAAGACACCCTTTTCCCCTCCTAAAAAGTAAGGGGAAATGTGTGTGCGTCTTATGGAGCAAATGCAGGCTGCGCAGCTTTTGCTGAAGCCAGGAGAGCAAGAGGGATTGGTGTGCACCAATCCCTCTTGCTCTCCTGGCTTCAGGGATAGCCGCCCGAAGCCTCCTGAGCGCAGCGAGAGCCTCCCGCTGTGCTCAGAAGGCTTCACTTTGCTTGCGCTGAAGCCAGGAGAGCAAGAGGGATCGATCCCTCTTGCTCTCCTCGCTTCGCATCGCTGGAGAGGTGCTGCGCAGCTTTCCTCTCTGGTCAGCGCCCATTCAGCGAAGCGGGGGGAGAAGTGGAAGGGGCTCTGCTTCTCCTGCCGCTTCGCTGAAGGGGTGCTGCGCAGAGGGAAAGCTGCGCAGCGCCCATTCAGCGAAGCGGCAGGAGAAACGGAGCCCCTTCCATTTCTCCTCCCGCTTTGCTGGAGAGGCGCTGAGCAGAGAAAGGAGAGAATATTTTTTTTCTTGTTCTCCTCCTCTAAAACTAGGTGCGTCTTACGGTCAGGTGCGCCTTATAGAGCAAAAAATACGGTACATTCCCTTGTGGGGCACATGCCAACCGTGGGTGATTCCATAGGCAAAACATTAGATGCAATTCTTCTTTTTGTATAGTAGTTTATACTGTAGTTGCACAACTGAAATAAATATTTCACATGGCAAAAGCACTTGAGGACAGTGTGAAGAAGGTCAGGTGATGGGTGTGGTCTGGGGAGAATCCTTAGGACAGATAGACCCTGAGATCATCTTCTGAGGCCCTTCTTTGTTTTCCTCCTCCACGTGAGGTCCAGGGGGTGACAACATGAGAAGTGGCCTTTTCTGCAGTGGCTCTCCATTTGTGGAATGCTCTCCCCAGGGAGGTTCAGCTGATATCTTCATTATGCACCTTTAGGAGCCAGGTGAAAACATTCCTCTTCAACCAGGCCTTGGCTGATCCAATACCCATTTAAACACGTCGTGGGAGGGGACTGGGGAAGGGGAGTTATTGGTTTGTTTTGTTCTTGTTTTTATTATGTATATTGTGTTTTTATGTTGTGAACTGTTCTGAGAGCGACGGATGAAGGGCGGTATACAAATGCAATAAACAAAGAGGCCTGGAAAATCCGTTTGGCACTGCAGCTCCCCATCCCTGCCATAAATAGGGCCAGGCAGTATCTGGTTTTCAGCATCATGATATATCAGCAATATATCATGATATCTGAAACAAGGATGGAGTTATGTAGAGGAACTGCCTGAATTCAGGGTTTTTCCCACATTGTGATTTTTGCCTGCACCTGTTCTTGTGATTCACCGCCCAATGCAGGAGGCAGGGGAGAGCTGAGCCGTTGAGAGTAAACAGGGGCTGCAGGAATCAAGAGAAGCACTGGCTGGCTTCACATCCCCCCCCCCGTGTGATTTTTGCATAGCAGACACACCATGATTCACGATATATTGCCAGGTCAAAAGTTATGAAACAGTTACCACAATATGGATTTCAAACCAGTTTTGGACAATATATTTATATATCACCCAGCCCTAGGCATAATCCTTACTTTTTATATCAAAGACAGGTCTCTCCTGTCACTGGAGCAGACAGGAAGTCAAGGGGCAAGAATACATGTGAAAATGGATACAGATGAGCTCTGTCTTTGTGCTACTCACACTTCTGCATTGACATAGAAATTGCAGCCTAGATCCACTTGAGTTGTCAGCTCCTGGCTTCCGGTCTCCTGGGAGAAAAGGAAGAAACGTTTACCGATCTCTGCTCTCTGGAGTAAAACAGCTGTTATAGTAAGTAAGACGCAATACCCTGCTGTCTCCTACATCTAAACCCCCGCAGAACACTGCTGCAGATCTTTCTGTGTAAAGTGCTGTAAACAACTTAAAGACGTTTTTAGTTACCTGCAACCGCTCAATAATATTCTTGAGCTGCAGGTACTGAGCCATCTTTTCATAGACCTGATCCCGCTGCTCCAGAACCTTCCTGGGGAGAAACACCAACAACAGTCTGGAAGCACGAGCAGAAAGCGGAGCCAAAGAAACCGAGGGGCTCTATCTCGCAGCCGGGGGTGGCGGCCTGAGAGGCGCCCGGGAAGGAGACACTCACCGGAGGTCCCTCTGCAGAACCTCGCTGACGAAGGCCTCGTACTGAAGCACCTTCTCCTGCACCTGCCGCTCGCCCGGCATCCCGGCCAGCTGCCCGCGGGAGATCGGCGCCACCGCCAAGCGCGGCGACTCTGCGCCCCGCCCCCGCCGGAAACCAGGAGACGCCACCCAGCCCGGCGCAGCTCTCAGCTCATGGCCGCGACCCGAGGGAAGGCCAGGCGCGGGGGCGCTCTGCTCGGCAGACTCTATGGCGCACGCGCGCTCGCAGGCGGGGCGCAGACTGCGCAGGTGCGGAAGGCGACTTCTGGCTGCTACATCCGGGTTCCCGTCAGAGGGGGAATCTTGTAACTGAAAGAAAACGTGCCTCTTTTAGGCCCAAAAAAGGATTCCTCTCGTTAGAAACTGCTCGCCCGTCTACGTAATTCAAGAGACGTTTCTTTTGGTAAACAAAACTGTGTTCTGAGCCCGCAAATACGGTGCAGGAAATGACGTCGTTTCCGCTAGGGTCAACCTCCGACCCCCTTCACAAAGCTGGAAACCGTGGCGGGCGCGAGAGAAAGGCGGCCGGAAGTCGGCGTTGAGTCAAAGGCGCCACTTCCGGCGCCCTATTTGTGCGTTTCCGGCCCCAGGAGCCTCTTCTCTCAGGCGCCATGGCAGCTCCGGAGCTGCGCCTGGACGGCTCCATCCGCTTCTGGGTTCTGCTGCCCGTGGCTTGGATCGCGCTCGCCATAGGGGTTCTGCGCCTGCGCATAGCGGGCCTGCTGCGCGGCGAGCGCGCGCTGGGCTGGCTCGAGCAACGGCAGGACACGTGAGCGGCGGCGGGGGGCGGGGCTGCGGGAGGCCACGCCCACATGCCGGGCCCCTGAAGGTGGAGTCAGGGAAGAGGACGCGAAAGGGACGCCTTCCTGTTTCCCGGGATGGGGGTTTCTGGGCGCGCGCGCACGTCTTCGCAAGCTTTTAAGTTTCACAGAAGTCTGAGCTACACTAAGGCTTCCAGATTTCTCTCAACGAATCTGGACACTTTTCAACTAAATAGGTGGATTTTACCAGGGGACTGATTTGTAAATCCGAGGACTGTCCCCGGGATCGGGACGTCTGGTAACCTTAAGCTACACATGACCAAGAGTCCTGTGACACTTTGCAGCCTGCATGTTTGTTTTCTTTATGTATTGGTAAGTTTAAAATAGTGTTTCTGCTACAGTCAAGTGTAACAGCACCTTGCTGACAATCCAGAAAAATATGCACACTTGGAATAAAAAAGCACAAACCACCATAATAAATGACAACCTTCCATATGCCATCTTCCTCCAATAATTGAATCATAGAATTGTAGAGTTGGAAGGGACATCAAGGGTCATCTAGTCCAGCCCCCTGCAGTGCAGGAATCCTGCCCACAACTGCCCCTTCCAGTTAACACCCAGACACCCTGACCCGTTGTGCTGCTGGGCTGTCCGTGTCTCATAGCCACAAGGGCTACGTTCTTCCATTGTCAGAGGCGTCACACTTCTGAACACCACTTGCTGGGAATCGCAGAGCATATGCCCATGCTGCCCAGGGCAGGCACGCTCCCGGGGGAGGGCGTGGTGTGGCGGGTGCCCTTCTGGGCATGGGATAGCCACTCAGGTGTATGGAGTTGCACACGCGCCTTGCAGCCTGGGGCGGAGCGAGCAGACATTGGGCGCATTGCCCCCCCCACAACTGCCAAATGTCCCCTCCCTCAGCGAAGACACCCAGGACGGTTCGCCCCCACCGCACCCCCCTTCCTCCACCCCGATCACAGAGTACTGTGTGTTCATGTCCAGCTCGCAGGCTTCCAGAAGGTTGTGAGAACAAGGTGCCAAATAATGAAAAAGCACAGCCTATTTAACATTCTAACATTGTGTATGCCATCAAATGCCAGTACTGCCCTTCAGCTCTCTATATTGGACAAACAGGCCAAACCCTACGCCAAAGGATAAATGGACATAAATCTGACATCAGGAATCAAGACAGAGAAACCAGTAGGACATTCAATACGAGATCTCAAAGCAGCTGTCTTATTCCAAAAGAATTTCAGAAATAGACTTGAAACCAAACTGAAAACTATGGGGAGCCCTGGTCTGAATAGAGATATTGGATTCTTGTCTCATTGCACATGCTAAAGCTATTTTTGGTCATCTGCATACTATTCCTTGCTTTTTCCTGTAGGACTAATTGCAGTCATTAACAGTCGTCAACAGGTTTACCATACACATTGAGCCAATCACCCATCTCTACTACCCTTCTGAGAAAAACCCCACCCCACCCTCCCACTATATATAAGGGTCTGGTGACTTTTGCTTATACCAGAACAAACTTATGGTAGTTGGTCTAAGTTTGGGCAATTTTAAAAAAAAATATTTTTGTATATAAGTGTGTTTTGCCCTTTTGTTCAGTGTTTCTCCTCCATCCTGCATGTGTGAGTGAGGACCCTGTTGCAACAGTCTGTCTTCCTGACAATAAAGATCAGGCTTACTTGCCGCCTTGCTTCAGCATATCTTAGGTTGGTCTCTCTTCATTCTCCAACTGATAGAGAACCTAGCGACCTCTATACAGACTTCTCGCGTACCTCCTACAGGGAAAGAAGCAGGTTTTTAATATTTCTTGATCACAGATGATACAGTGTTATAAGAAAGGGAAAACCCTGCTCTTTCCCCTTATGCGGTATCCAAGAGCCCATATAGAGTCCTTAAGTAGGTTCCCTATCAGTAGGAGAAAATAATGGAGGCCAACCAGAGTATATTGAGAAGCAAATCGACTAGTAAGTCTGATCTTTATTGCAATAGAAAAGTACTGTTGCAACAGGTCCCCACTCTCCACACACAGGAGGGAGGAGGAACCCAAAACAATGGTGCACAAGTCCTTATATAGACTTTTGAAATTACCCACCCTGTAGCCCCCCCAAGGAGGCTGTCTGCAGCAGTGGAGGTGGTCTACAGCAGAAATCCTGTTTGCCAGGATACCTGATGATTGCATTACCTGGGCAGCCTGGCCATTCTTTTGTGATGGTAAATACTTTAGTTCCTGAATCCAGGTCATAGGCTCACCTTATTCATACACAAATATGCCCTTAAGACAGGATTTGTAAGCAAAAAGACAATGGGAAGGCTTTCCCCATTTTCCTCCCATACTGCAGAGGAATATTTGAGGTCACTGGGAGTCTCAAAATGGCTTCAGGATTGCTCTCCTGTACTATTACGGACATGTGGTTTCTAATGTATGTGTTTGCCTTGTACATTTATGAACATTTATTTTATTTTTGAGACCTTAGAATTCTTATAACAACAGTATGGCCTCAGAGGATGGATGCCAGGAGCATGGAGCCCTGGACCAGCACATTTAAGGCTTTAAAAACCAAAATCATCCATTGAAAACAGTTTTCTTCCTTGCAGTATTTAACTTTAACCATAAGGAGAGCTGGTGTGATGCAGTGGTTCGAGTGTCGGACTAGAACCTGGGAGACCAGGGCTCAAATCCTCGCTCAGCCATGGAGCTCTCACAGGGTGACCTTGGGCCAGGCTCTGCCTCTCAGCCTGACCTACCTCACAGGGTTGTTGTAGGGATTAAATGAGGGGAACGGAACCATGGAGCTCCTTGGAGAACAGGTGGGATAGGAATGCAATAAATGAATACAATTTCTCAAAGTGGCTCACAACATTGAAATCAGATGCATAGATGACAGGTCCTGTGAAATGTGTCCAAATCATACTTAAGTGTGGAATTCCAGAATTGCACAACTGCTTTGTTCGCACCCCTGAACATATTGCTCCAGGCAGCTGTTTGTCTGTAGTCATGTGGATTGCATGAGTAGCTGTGAGCGGGCCAGTCTTTTACTGCCGCATTTGGTTTGATGATCTGATCCCATTACTTTTGTTTGCAAATTCTGTTGGACCTACAGCTGAGTTGAGTGTTCTTTGTCTGTCAGGCAGATTCTGGCTCGTAGTCGCCTCCTGAGAGAAAATGGACGCTTCCTAACTCATCAGGTAAGGGAGAGTGTGGGTGCAGCTGCTTCTGAAAAGCCACTTGCCTCCTTGCATAGAGAGAGGCCTCGAGGGACAGGCCTCAGCAAGGGTACAGACATAAAGCTAGGAAATTTCATGGTCCACACACAACCTCCTTTGGCTTGTGACCCAAATGTGATCTATTGCCCCACAGTGGTTCTGGATTAATACTGGAACCACTTGATTGATGCAAGTCAGAGGGGTTTTTGTTTTACTTAGGCTGCTGGCCTAAAAAGAACTGATATGAGGGTTTGAATAGCAGAAGTGAAATTTTATTCCCCTCTGAATTTCCTTTGTAATTCTGTCTTGTCATTCTTGAAAAGGAGGGGAAGAGCAAAAGGGCGCTTCTTTGGGGAGGGGTTGGGAGTATCTCTGCCATGTGGCTATTCTCAAGAATGCCTGTATCATTGCTTGAGACCATAACTATAACAAATGGGGTTTTTTAAATACATCTTTGCAATGTAAATATATTGAAGGGCAGGCCTTTGAACGTTTCCTGCCTTCACCCATCCTGCTCCAAAGCCAGGAATGGCACCCTCAAAAAGGCAGGTGACCAAGACTTCGCACCTGTGTGCTTTTACCTGGAAGGAAGTCCCACTGAAGATTTAACTTATTTATTTAACTTCCGAGCACATATGCATAGCATTAACATAAGAAACTGCATGCCCTGGTTCAAATCTTTCCTCTTCCATGAATTTAGTATGTGACATGAGGCCATTCTAAGGTACTATCGGGGAACCTGTAGATGCCGCTGCCGCCGCCCTCCCAGCTCCCTTGGGTCCTAGCAGTCAGGGATGAGAGGAGTTAGTCCAGCATTGGAGGCCACAGGTTCCTTTTCCCTGGTTGAAGATGTAAGGCAGTCAAAGATAATGCATATGAAGCCCTTCAAACCGTCTCAAATGCAATGATAATCTTCCTTGTTGAAAACACCTTCAGCTCATCTGGATTTCTGAGGCCCTTCCTCTTTCCCCAGGGCTTCCTCATGCGTAAGCATCACTTCAATAACCCTGAAAGTGGCTTCTTCCGCCAAACGAAGCGTAAAGTGCAGCCCAGAAACCTGCTGACAGGTAACCATGGGCATGGGAGTACAAGGGGCAGTGGAAGGGTTCTGCTGTCTCATCCCCCCGCCCCCGCCCCGCTTGCTCAATCAGTGCTGCTGTCCAACCGTGGGACTGCTGCCTGGAAGCAGTGATAGACTTGATGGGGCCCAATAAGCTGAAGCTGATAAGGTGGAGGTCCTGTGAGTGGGTTCCTTCTGTGTCCCGCCTTCTTCTTGGAGTGGTGGGACTCCCCTTGAAGGAGCAGCTTTGTACTGTGGGAATACTCTGGGATTCCAACTTGCCACAGGAGTCTCGGGTGGCTTCTGTGACTATGTGCCTTCAGCCCAGCTTTGGGCAACCTGCCAGCTACAGCCTCTCCTGGGCCATGATAGCCTCACCTCAGCTGACTGCCCATCTGGACTACCATCACAGCCTATGTGTGAGACAGCCCTCGAAGGTGGCCCAGAGGCTGCAGCTAGTGCAGAATGTGGCTGCTAGGCTGGTAAGTGGGGGCACCATGTGGCACTGGTTCTGAAGGTGCTCCTGCACTGGACCCAATTCAAGGTGTTAGTACTAGCGTAAAAAGCCCTAAATGGCTCGGGGACCAAGCACTTTGTTCTCCAGTATAAACCACCTTGGACCCTACAATTGGCAGGTGAGGCTTTGGCGGCAGCAGTGGAATAAGGGGGGGGAGATGAGCTGCCAACCGTGAGGGGGCCTGGTTCTGTGTGTGCTGGGGCTGGTGCCTGTGGACAGAACCTGATTTGCCCTCCAGAGTCACCAGCTCAATTTAACAGACATTGGCTGCCTCGGGATATCAAACCAACAAACAAACCAGTTTTTTAAGGCAGGGTTGTAAGCGCTCTGTGCTCAAGTTTATTCTGGACCAATGTGGTGCAAATCTGCAAGAAAACGAGCGGTTGGATTCTGTGGTCTGTATATAAATTATGCTATTTAAGCACCCTTCCCTTATTTTGGACATTTTGTTCAAGTAGACCCCTGCTTGTGTTTGAGATTTCTGCAGCTATCATATGTCCCCACACGCCCACAAACCCCAAGGAGTTAGAACTTGCTTTTGTTTTTGTTTTGTTTTTTATAAAAATTTTATTAGGGTTTTTACATTACAAAATAGAAAAAGAAAAAATACAAAATACAAAATAAAAGTAGTTAAAAACAATCAATCTTTTCATCACATTATTTTTCATTTACTTGTTTCCCGGACCTCCTCGTACCTCCCTTTTTTGTATTCCAGTTCAATTTATTAGCTCAGCAGTTTCTTTCCCTCTTTATTCTACCCAGATCTTTAATCTTAAGTTATTATAACATTAAATTTTTACTTATAAAAAAACCATTTTTTCATATTCTTTTATACCATTACAGCTAGAAACCACTTAATTTCAATCCAACATCATTCTAACATTCATTAATTTTACAATATCTCTGTAGATAGTCTTTAAATTTCTTCCAGTCTTCTTCCACCGACTCTTCTCCCTGGTCACAGATTCTGCCAGTCATTTCCGCCAATTCCATGTAGTCCATCACCTTCATCTGCCATTCTTCCAGAGTGGGTAAATCTTGTGTCTTCCAATACTTTGCAATAAGTATTCTTGCTGCTGTTGTAGCGTACATAAGAAAGTTCTATCCTTCTTTAACACCGATTGGCCGACCATGCCCAGGAGAAAGGCCTCTGGTTTCTTCAAGAAGGTATATTTAAATACCTTTTTCAGTTCATTATATATCATCTCCCAGAAAGCCTTAATCCTTGGGCACGTCCACCAAAGGTGAAAGAATGTACCTTCAGTTTCCTTACATTTCCAACATTTATTATCGGGCAAGTGATAGATTTTTGCTAGCTTGACTGGGGTCATGTACCACCTGTATATCATTTTCATAATATTCTCTCTTAGGGCATTGCATGCCGTAAACTTCATACCTGTGGTCCATAACTGTTCCCAGTCAGCAAACATAATATTGTGTCCAACATCTTGTGCCCATTTAATCATAACAGATTTCACCGTTTCATCCTGAGTATTCCATTTCAACAGCAAGTTATACATCCTTGACAAAGTCTTAGTTTTGTGTTCTAACAGTTCTGTTTCTAATTTTGATTTTTCCACCTGGAAGCCTATTTTCTTGTCCAAATTATATGCCTCCATTATCTGATAATAATGAAGCCAGTCTCACACTTTGTTCTTTAGTTTCTCAAAACTCTGCAGTTTTAATCTATCTCCATCTTGTTCCAAAATTTCCCAATATTTTGGCCATTTAACCTCTATATTGAGCTTTTTCTGAGCTTTCGCTTCCATCGGTGACAGCCACCTTGGGGTTTTATTTTCCAATAAATCTTTATATCTTATCCAAACATTAAACAATGCTTTCCTAACAATATGGTTTTTAAATGCTTTATGCGCTTTGACCTTATCATACCATAGATATGCATGCCATCCAAATACGTTGTTAAAACCTTCCAAATCCAAAATGTCTGTGTTTTCAAGAGGTAGCCATTCTTTCAACCAGCAAAAAGCTGCTGATTCATAATAAAGTTTAAAGTCTGGCAGGGCAAATCCACCTCTTTCCTTTGCATCTGTTAATATTTTAAATTTTATTCTAGGCTTCTTGCCCTGCCAGACAAATCTTGAAATATCTCTCTGCCACTTCTTGAAACAGTCCATTTTGTCCACAATTTGCAATGCCTGAAACAAAAACAACATTCTAGGCAATACATTCATTTTTATAGCAGCAATACGGCCTAGCAATGAAAGCTTCAAATTTGACCATATTTCTAAATCTTTTTTCACTTCAACCCAGCATTTTCATAGTTGTCTTTAAATAAATTCCCATTTTTTTGCTGTCATGTTGATCTCCAAGTATTTGACTTTCTTAACCACTGTTAAACCTGTCATATTCTGAAACCTCTCTCTCTCAATTGGTGTTAAATTTTTCTCTAAAACCTTGGTTTTTGACTTATTCAGTTTAAACCCTGCGACCTGACCAAATTCTTGAATCAGTTCTAAAATCCTTTTAGTACTAGATTCTGGCTCCTGTAACGTCAATACTAAATCATCTGCAAATGCTCTCAATTTGTACTGTTTGGCTCCGACCTGTATATCTTTAACCAACTGATCCCTTCTAATCATATTCAGCAAAACCTCCAGGACCGATATAAAAAGCAATGTGGAGATTGGGCAACCTTGTCGTGTCCCTTTTTCTATTTCAAATTCTTCCGTCACCACATTATTTACAATTAATTTAGCCTTTTGTTCTGAATATATTGCACTTATACCGTTTTCAAAACCTTGGCCTACCCCCATACCCTGTAAGTTCTTTTTCATAAAAATCCAAGAAATGTTGTCAAAAGCTTTCTCCGCATCCACAAATATTAAAACTGCCTTAGTGTTTATATTCACTTGTAGTTTCTCTAGAATATTAATTATGTTTCTCACATTGTCAGATAAATGTCTTCCTGGGAGAAAGCCTGCTTGGTCTTTATGTATCTCTTCCACTAACACTCTTTTTAGTCTTTTAGCCAAGATATCTGCAAAAATTTTGTAATCCACATTAAGCAGTGATATGGGACGATAGTTCTTAAGCCGCGTCTTTTCAGTCTCTATTTTCGGTACAAGTGTGATATATGCTTCTCTCCACGACTCTGGTGCCCTTTTCCCCTCCATTATTTCATTACAGACCTCTTTCAAAGGTTGTACTAGCCATTCTTTTAAAGATCTGTAATATCTAGAAGTCAGTCCATCCGGTCCTGGAGATTTGCCCAATTGCATATTCTGAATGGCACCTTCTATCTGCTGTTCAGTTATTTTATAGTTCAACATTAATTTGTTTTCTTGAGAGATTTTTTGTAAACCATTTTTTTTCAAAAATCGGTCTACATCGGTTTCTTTCTGTGGCCCTTGTGTATATAGTTGTTTGAAGTACCTCTGGAAGCAATTTCTGATCTCAGCTGGGTTCTGTATGTTCCTTCCTTCCACTTCTAAATTTGTAACTGTATTTAATTTTTGTCTTTTTTTCATTTGCCAAGCCAACAGTTTCCCACATTTATTAGCCGACTCAAATGTCTTTTGTCTCATTTGTTTAATTTTCCATTCAATCTCTTGATTCATCATTTTCATAAATTGCACTTGATATAACTTTATTTCTCTCAAAATCTCTTGCGACTTGGGTTTTGCTCTCAATTTTTTTTCCACTTTCCTTTATTTTCTCCAAAATTTTATCCTTCTCATTCTGGATTCCCTTTTTTAATGCATTCTGTTGAACCCTCTCATGACAGCTTTACTAGCTTCCCAGATTACTCTTTTTTCCACATTGGTGCTCATATTTATCTCAAAGTAGTCTCTCAAGGTTTTTTGGGCCTTCTTAAACACTTCTTCATCTCTAAATAAGGTGTCATTCATCCTCCATCTGAAGGAACCAGTTGGTGTTAGTTTCATTTCCATCTTGACAGCATTATGGTCGGAGCAGGTTTTTGGGCAGATTTCCACTTTTCTAATCTTTGGTGCCATTCCTCTAGTTACCCATATTTGGTCAATTCTAGTCCATGTCATTTGGCTTCAGAAAAGAAGGTTCCCTCTTTGGCCAAGGGGTTCTTTGTTCTCCAAATATCAACTAAATCCAAGTTGTCTGTCACCTCAAAAAAAGTTTTCGGTAGTCTACTATCCTTAGTGACTACCTGTCTTTGTGCCTTGTCCATATGTGTAGATACCACTCCATTCATGTCTCCCATCAAAATCACATTGTAATCCAAATAGTCCATCAGGATCTCATGCAACTTTTTAAAAAATCAGATTTCCCCTCATTTGGTGCATAAACACCTACTATCAAAATTATTTCTCCCTGTGTTTGAATTTCAATTGCCACAAATCTTCCTTGGTCATCTTTAAAGATAAATTTCGGTAGTAATCTCTCTTTTGCGTAAATCACTACCCCTCTTTTTTTAACCTTGTCCGCTTTTGTTTTTGTAAGATGCTGATATTCACATAAAACCAAATTTTGTTCCTGGCACTTCCTTCTGTGGTTTCCATGTGTCCTTGTGGAATCCCAGGCTGCACAGTACTCTGTTTGACACACACCTCTCTCCCTCTCTCTCTCTTGCAGATCCCGGCCTGGTTATGGAGATGATGAAGGGCAACTTGGTCCATGTCCTGCCCATGATCCTAGTTGGAGGCTGGATCAATTGGGCCTTCTCTGGCTTTGTGGCCAGTGAGTGATGCAGGGATTTAACACAGGCCTGGAAGCTGCAGGGCGGTGCCCTCGTGGAGACCCATTCCTTGTGCAGCAGAGGATGAAGGGAAACGGTGGCCCTCTAGCTGGTTGCTGGACTACAATTCCCATCATCCCTCACAGTTGGCCATGCTGGCTAGGATTGATGGGAGTTGGGAGTGTCAGGAGCTCGTCCTACACTCAAGTAGGACCCTAGCAGAGACACATGCCCAACTGGCATGTTCCCTCCCTCCTGGTCAATTGTTTGGGAGCTTCAAAAGCTTTCTTCAGCCCGAACATCACAGCGACTGATGCCAACAGACACTGGCACACTTAGGGATCTGCAGAGTCTTCACAGCTTGTAACTCAGCACTTTGGCTAATCTACTTTATTTACATATAAACACACACAGAGCACTACAACATGGCTCCCTCTGTCTCTAACATCAGACAGCAAAGAGAAAAAGAACAAAGGACAATAGTCCCACTTTGCGGAACACAGTAACACAAACATCCTGTCTCCGTCACTTCCCACTCTGTGCAGTCAAAACATACACCGTCATGTGATAGACAAAAATCCCATGACTGCAATCTTGGAGCAGGAATTCTAACAGGGAGCCCAATAGCCCCTGCAGGGCAACAGGGGCCCCTCCCCCTGGTGGACAATTTTAGTATTGCTGTATGTGCTATTTGATTACAGTGGTACCTCAGTTTAAGAACAGTCTGGTTTAACAATGATTTGGTTTACAAACTCCACAAAACCGGAAATAGTGTCTTGGTTTGAGAACTTTACCTTGGTGTAAGAATGGAATCTGAACGGTGGAAGGGCACCGGCGGAGGGAGACCTCATTAGGGAAAGTGCACCTTGTTTTAAGAACAGTTTCAGTTTAAGACGGACTTCCGGAATGGATTAAGTTTGTAAACCTAGGTACCACTGTATTTTGTTTCTAAGTCTGCTGCTGTTTTGTTTTTGTTTTGCTAGGAAGAGCAGTATAGAATATTTTAAAATAACAATATTTAAAGAGATAATTAAAGGCAGGCATTGGGCAGACCTCCAGCCCTCCATACTGTTCTGGAACGACCAATTCCCACCATCCACCTAGCTAACAGGACGCAGTGGTCAAGGGCATGATGGGAACTGTAAGTCCCAAACATCTGAAGAAGAAGAAGAAGAGTTTGGATTGATATCCCGCCTTTCACTCCCCCTTCAGGAATCACAAACTGGAACGTGTCCAGAGGAGGGCAACCAAAATGGTCAAAGGCCTGGAAATGATGCCTTATGAGGAACGGCTAAGGGAGCTGGGCATGTTTAGCCTGGAGAAGAGGAGGTTAAGGGGTGATATGATAGCCATGTTCAAATATATAAAAGGATGTCACATAGAGGAGGGAGAAAGGCTGTTTTCTGCTGCTCCAGAGAAGCGGACACGGAGCAATGGATCCAAACTACAAGAAAGAAGATTCCACCTAAACATTAGGAAGAACTTCCTGACAGTAAGAGCTGTTCGACAGTGGAATTTGCTGCCAAGGAGTGTGGTGGAGTCTCCTTCTTTGGAGGTCTTTAAGCAGAGGCTTGATAACCATATGTCAGGAGTGCTCTGATGGTGTTTCCTGCTTGGCAGGGGGTTGGACTCGATGGCCCTTGTGGTCTCTTCCAACTCTATGATTCTATGATTCTATTCTATGATTCTATGATATCCCGCCTTTCACTCCCCTTCAGGAGTCTCAAAGCGGCTAACATTCTCCTTTCCCTTCCTCCCCCACAACAAACACTCTGTGAGGTGAGTGGGGCTGAGCGACTTCAGAGAAGTGTGACTGGCCCAAGGTCACCCAGCAGCTGCATGTGGAGGAGCGGAGACGCGAACCCGGTTCCCCAGATTACGAGACTACCGCTCTTAACCACTACACCACACTGGCTCTCCATCTGGAGGACCGGAGTTTGCCTATGCCGCCAAGATGCACTCTTCCAGCATCCAGTGTGTTTCATAGCCTTTGGCTCAGCTTGCCTGTAAAGCAGACCATCACCCCTAGTCGTCCTTTTATTCCAGACCAGAGAGCTTGGGCTGAGGGCAGGTTGCCTCTAGCTAAATTAGGTGGTTATGAATCAGGAAGGCCCCCGTCCAAATTTGCCCTCTGCCCTGAACTCTTAGGAAAGTGATCACCCCTCTCAACCTCTTTCCCTCCCTGCCACCCACCCAGCCCAGTAATTTACTGGGATTCTGTGACCTGCATGAGAAGATTTGGTAAGAAGGGATTGTAGGCCCCTTAAGTTGCTCCTTTGCTTGCAAGGGGAGGGGGCTTTAGCTTGGGATCTGAGCTGATCCGGAGGGTGGCACTATGCGCAAGACAGCTGGGAGCTGTAAATCACTGAGGAGGAGGGTGGCGGGGCAGCAGCCCTAGAGCTTGGGGTAGGCGGGTCCAGCTCTAACACCTCTCCCTCCCAACCTCCCTCCCTCCCTCCCAGCCAAGGTTCCCTTCCCCCTGACCCTGCGGTTCAAGCCCATGCTGCAGCGTGGAATTCGCCTGCCTTCCTTGGACCCCTCTTGGTAAGCACTTGCCTGCCCCCAGGCCCAGCCAGCCCTTCCATGGGTTTGGGGTGGTGATGGCTTCTGGCCTGGGTTCCCACCCTGTGGGACTGGGGGCCAGGAAGGCTCCCTGAGATAGTCACTGACAGATGTTTTCACTTCCCAGGGTGAGTTCGGCCTCCTGGTACTTCCTCAACGTTTTTGGCCTCCGCCGAGTGTACAGACTCATCCTGGGAGAGGAGACTGGTGAGCAGCTTGGGGACAGGGAGTGTTGGGCTTACAGGTGGGGTTGGTGTCTTACGTGGGATGTACCTCTTCAGATTGCAACGTGGAGGGTGGACGTTTGAGTGCTTATTGCGGCACGAGCTTTCATGAACCAGAGACTACTTTGACGGCTGCATGAAGTGGTCTGATACTTTGGGGAACCAGTTTGAAACCATGGGGGGCAGCGCCCAACCTCTCAGGGTTGTAGTGGTCACATGTTGGAACTTGCTCTGTACAGCCACTCATTTCCTGCATTTGTCTACTCTTTGAAACTCTACTATTGCTCTATAGGTCAATGCAGAGGAAAAAGTGTCAAAAAAACCCATTTCTGCTGAGAGTTTACACCTAATCAAAGGCAGCCAGACTGTTAGTAGCTGACAGTTCTCTTTTGCCTTGTTGTCAACTTGCAATGTTTACATGCCTCCCTCACAAGCTTCCCTGATGTTCTCTCCACAGCTGCAGAGCAGAACCAGCTGCTCCTGCAGGACCAGTTCCTCAGCCCAGCTGTCCCCACCCCACCTGATCCCAACAAGGCTTTCAAGGTACTGCCCTAGTTTGTTTCAATGGTTTCACTTAGGTGAGAGCACGTAGCTGATAAGATTAGATGCAGTCCATTTGATGCAAGACTAATTGGCTGGATGGCATCTTATCTGCAGGGCGACAGCTGTGCAGCTGCTGTGCATGTGCAGGGTCTCTGCTGTGCCACAGTGAGACTTGCGGGCGTAGGCAGCCCTGCATATCCCAAGAGCTGGTGCTGTGGCCCAATATGTGCGCTAGACAATATCTTTTTAAAGAAATGACAGGAGGGGGGCTCAACATATGGTTGGACTTGCAACTCCCATCAGGCCCCCGACAGCACGGCAGTTGGTCAGAGATGATGTGAGCCAGTTTCCCCTCCTACCTTAAATCATTGCCATGGCCTCCTTGGGTGGTCTTAGAACCCTCTCAGCTATCCTCCCCCCACCCCCAACAAGGAGACAGTGCTGACCTTTCCTATGGGATCATTGTAAAACTGTATTGTGAGTGAGCATGGGAACACTTTGGAAGTTAAGGGCCATACAAACACCTCGGGAACAGTCAGCGCTGCTCATTTTGAAGCTTAGAGCTTTGTGCTTGCCAGGGCTGTCACCTAGCAAACATCTCTGATGGCACTGGTGTTTGCACACACATCCTGTTCAGCACAAATTTCTGTTTGTGCAATGGGACTTCCTTCTTTCCCCCCCTCCCCAAAAGTATCCCAGAGGGCTGGGGGAACCATATGGACCAGATTTAAGGGGCACATGGGAGAACATTCCGTTGCACAACCAGAAGTCCTTATGCTGACGGAATGATGGTATTGGTGCTGCTGGATCCCACCCTTCGATTGCAGCTTGATGCAGAGCTTGTATGTGTGAGTTTCTGCAGCGATACGCTGCTCAAGGCTGACAGACTTTTTTTCTCCATCCAGGCCGAGTGGGAAGCTTTGGAGTTGGTTTCTCACCACTGGGCTCTGCAGGATGTGGAAGAGCAGTTGATGTCACAGGACCTCAAGCTGGCAGGGCTGCCTGGGCCTGACTGATCCCATCCTGTGACTGCTGCAGGCTACTTCTGTCCTATGGGACAAATGTGTGTGTGCAAGAGACCCTTTCACCTCCTTGGGAGGTGGAAGAGGCTGACCCTCCCTGCATAATCAGTGTGGAACGGCTTTTCATCTTAGAGGCAGGAAGGTTGCAGAAGAGAGCTTGAAGTCTGTAGCATGACCCACCCCCCATCAGTCAGTCAGAGCAGTGTGCAAATAGCCTCTGTGGAACTGGCTCTGGGTGCCTGAAGTCTTGCAGGCATAGCTGGAGCCAGCAAGTTAATGTCAAAAAGCTCCTTTTCTTGTTCTGCTTGCAGAGAGAGAAGCCCAGTGTGGCAGACAGCTTTATGGGATGCCAGTCCCAAGTGTGTGTACAAGAAGTTTGGCTATTAAAAGCAAGGTAGCTGCAACAAACCCTGCTTTACTCTCCTTATTTGCAGTCTCCATGTCTGGCCTGCCCCTGGTGGCTGGTGCATAAACACTGCCTAGGTTCTTCCACGCTGCACCTTGAGTTTTCGAGAAAAGCATCACCTCCTTAACCTTTGCAGGGAAAGGCAGGACTGAGTGGAAGCTCAGGGCCAGTGTAACTTGAAATATAAGGCACCAGTTTTGAGCAGGGGGGCACACAATGTATTAACTGAGAACTCCAGTAATGCTTCTGCCAAGTTGAACAGGCTACTTAGCACTGTCAAAGGCCTCCACCTCCAGCCTCTCCAAGCACCCAAGTTGAATCCCATCCTGCAATGTGGGGTGTACTCTGCCCATCCAGTCGAGTTCTTTTCTCCTTCCGAGAGAGAATCATGGCCTCCACAGCACAAGCTGGCCACCACATTGGAGGTTGCTGTCCAGAAGTTGGAAGAGTCATGTTGTGGTTGCCTCTGTCCTGGCTGGCAGAAACCGATGGTTTGGAGAACACGATCCTCCTCTACTTAGGGGTAAATGTATCATAGAAGCTTGCCAACTGTCTTCCTCCCCAGAGGTCAGTCCACTTCTAAGCTATCCAGCACCAAAGAGCATGGAACAGCTTGAAGGCTACCAGGGAAGCGTGCACCTCCCTGCTGCTGCTGACCAGATTTGAATTCATTGGTGTGGCATCTCGCTACCAGACATTGGTTTTCCTTACCCATCCCTCTGCAGAGCAGATGGCAAAAGCAGCAGAAGGAAGTGCAAGTCTACCGCTCTCTTATGGCTTGCTACAATGGCCAGGAACATTTGCAAGAGAAGTCCCCACGAGTGGCACCATGAATTCTCTCTGTTCCCATAACTATGATGGGACATGCAGTGGCAGCTTGGGGCTGGAGATGCCGGTGCCTGAGGAGGCTGGAAGTGAGTCAAAGCACAACCTGAAGCAGCGTAGAAGTCGCCAACACGGTGCCCTCCAGATGTTGCTGGGATTACAAAGTCCTATAAGGCCATGGGGGGTGTTGGGGGGCATCCAGTTGGCTTGCCCTGTTTGTGGAAGAGTCCTGGATCCAAAGAGAGGAATGAAGCGCTCAGGAAGGAAATGGGGGCAAAAGGAAGCCACATGCCATTTGAAAGAAGTTACTTTATGTACAAGTTTTGCCACATGCCAAAAATATTTTCTTCTGGGGGAAAAACACACCTTCAAAAGAAAAGAAAGAAGCCCCCAGAGTCAAGTGAAGGAATATTCTTCCCAAACTCCTTAAGAAAATACCCGATGTGCTTCTGCAGGCCAACCCTGCCTCCGCGGGTGTCCTGTCCCTGCTCTCCCCAAACATTGCACACAGAAACCTATTTACAAGCCAGTGCAATCCCTGAGCCTGGAAGCAGCAGCAGTGGCACCAGAGACACTCGGCAGAGGGGAGAGAACTTCCATGCACTTCTGTGCGCCCAGGGCAGGCGCAACACCCGAGGTGCCCGGGCAGAGAAGGAAGGGGGCATTCAGTGCTGGTGGCGGCGGGTGTTGGAGACACTCCTCCTCTGCCAGGGTGGGTGTGTGGTGGCAGCAGCAGCAGCAGCTGTGACATGGTGCAGGCCCAAACCCCTCCGTGGCCTTGCCACAGGCTTTGCTGCTAAACTCTCAAGCGGCACCTCAGCTCAGCAGCTCGACCACCACCCCTGTAGCTAGAGAGGGGCTTTGGAAGCAGCCGGCTGTCAGAGAAGGAGGTCCATGAAATGCAGGTCAAGGAGAGCCGTTGGCTGTGAGAGGAAGACGGCGGTGGGGCAATGGCTGGAATTATTGCTCTCGTTGAGGGGAAGAGGAGGCACTTGGGAGGTGAGGGGGGAGAAAACAAGGGTCTCTTTATCCAGCCAGTGACCAATGGGAGGGGTTTTTTGGGGTGGGGGAAGTGTCCCAACCGGCTGCAGAACCACAGCGGGGTTTGAATACCTTTGCAAAGTCCTGCAGGGCTTTCTAGAACAGAGGCCCTAAGACCAGGAGCAGCAGAATAAGGGCAACTCCCCCTGACGCTAGAGAGTAAAAGGGGAGGGGGCAGCACCCACAAGGGATCACACGAACGATGCACACATCCCCTCCCCCATTTGAGCTGGAGAGGAGGGACACTTCCCCCCTCCCCCTTCGCATCTTATAAAAATGCTGGTGCAAGACAGTGGCCCTGTCAAGGGGGCAGGAGACACACACACACACACACACACCCCAAAACAGCCGCTTCAGAGCAGGGGAACTATGTGCAAAGCAAAGGGCCCTGTGCTTTGGGGCACAGCAGAGGGGATCCATTCCCCCTCCCCCCTATTCCATAGCCTGAGTAAAGAGCTGCTGCCCTTGGAGAATCCACTGCTGGCTTCAGCCTGAGGAAGGGAAGAGGCAGGGCATGCAGCCGCCCTCCCCGGCTGCAGATGGAGGAGGGAGGGGGGTCAAGGTCAGTCCACATCCATAAAGTCCCTACTGGCTTGCTCTCTGGGGTGGGGCTCGCAGCAGGCCCCGCCGCCACTGCCGCCGTCCTGGTCTCTGGAACCTGCAGGGTGCCGGATTTTGTCCTGGCGCTGGTAGAAGAGCACATAGGCAGCTTTGGACTGTTGGGGGAGAAAAGAAGCATAAGAGGCAGCAGGTGAGGGCAAAAGAGATGCTTGGGAGCCTGAGATGTAGATCAGGGGAAGGGGGTCACAGGGGAGTTCAAGCGGCATAGGATGGGGCGAGGGAGAGTCAGGAGACATGCAAAGGTCCACACCGTTGAGTTAAAATGTCCTGTGCTGCTTTTTCAAAGAGGATCAAAGCAACTTGCACTACAGGAAACTCAGTTAACAAAGAATCAATGGGGTAGAGTAGATCACATAACCAAGAAGGGGGGTTTGTGTTTGAGTTCTCCTTGCCCCACATCTCCAGGCCATGAAGCTGATAGAGCAAGTCATTCTCAGAGTTGTGAGGATATTGTTGGGTTGGAGGGGGGAAGGAGAGCAGTCAGATCTCGAGATCCATTGCTTGAGGGCTGCATAACTGCTACCCTGAGCTCACTGGAGGAAGGGCAGAGTGCCAACGTGAGAGATTCAAGTTCCTGACCCTCCATTCTTAGTCCATGGAAAGACCAATGAAGCAGACCTCCTTCCTGCCCCCACTGCCCCCCTCAACTTGTTCAGGATAACACCAGGGTTCCAAAGCAGGGAAAAGGGATAAGTATCAGTCTGCTTGAGAAAAGAGACTGGAGGACAACCAAGTTCTGCTTCTTCCTTGCAAATGAAAAGCCCAGTCTGCTTAGAGACATGCCTTGCTGAGATGCGATGGAGGTGTTTTTGTAAAGAGATGCACAGGCCATCGAGAGGGAGATTTTGCCAGCCTGCCAGCCAAGAGGGTGGGATGGCACTGCCATCCAAGACACCTGCCAGCAAGTGCCAAGAAGCTGAGCCCATCCAGGGCTGCCCTGCCTGACTCACCTCAATCTGGACTTTGGAAACTGCAGAGACACTGCTGTCATCAAAGTAGAACCACGTTCCGCTGTCTTTGTTCCGGGCAAAAGTCGTGTCTAGAGGGCACAAAGACCAGTCAGACTCACCAAAGTGCTGCTTTGCCTTCTGACACCCCCTTCAGGTGCTTCACAATCACATCACCTGTCAGCCACTACCTAAGCACTTGGGTCCTCCATTTGTGGAACCTTCCTCCCATTTGAAGAGAAAAGAATAGGGCCAGCTGGAGCTACTGCACAAACAGCATTTTGCGTGGCGCACCCAGTCCTCTGGGGAGGGAATCTGCGGGGTGGGCTACCTGCACTGCTCCCCTGCTGCATGAATCCTGCCGCTAGCTGAGGCATCCATCAGAAGGGCCTCAGTTTACATTTAAAGCGGAACCGAGCAAGTTCTAAGCTGAACTAGTGTCCACTAATATCTCTGAAACTACAAAAGGGCTGGTGAGGTCTTAACAGTTGGAGAAGGGATTTTCATTCCGCACTGAGCTTTTCCCCTCCCCTCAGGGACACCACTTCCTACCCACCCCTCTTTCATCTACCAATAGCCAACATTTGTTTGCACTTAGCCTTTTCTAATAGCAGCTGTTTACTCCCCATGTGAAATTCTGCAACAATGAATTGTTCCTTTCTAGACTGTTCTCATGGTCATTTCTGTTCCTTACTGTTTTGTTCCCCCAAAAAGAAATAGCTCTCGCACAGGCACACAGGCCACATTCACCTGCAGTGCTAAAGAATGGTTTAGCATCCTGATAGGCCACAGCAGGCCGTGGGCTTGCGTTTTTGGCAGGGGAGCTGCAGGACACTTCAGTTTCTGTCCTAATTAGCCAGAATTCAGTGTGATGTCCTAAACTGAACTTAATCATAACTATGGTTACAGAAAACAAACTGGCTTCATAAACCATGGTTTGAAGTTGGCTGGTTTTCACTAACTATGGCTAAGACTAATTGAACTGACACAAACTGCGGATGTCACAACAAGCTGAGGTTACCCCCTTCCTCAAGGAGTTTCACCCCATGTCTCATTTAATTAAAGCATCTGCTCTGTTGTATCTGTACAGCATGTCACCAATGCTTTAGTTGCTTCTACTGGCTCAGCAAATGTTCTCTGCTCTGTTGGTTTGTACAGTTTTTAATGCTGAGTTTTATTATTCTACTGTTTGATGTGAACCCCACCCCCACCCCTGGGAGGGGTTCTTTGTAACTAGAGGGTATCATATAAGTATTACAAGATGGTGATAATAACATTATAGATTTAAATTCAGTTTACCGTATTTTTCTGTGTTTAAGATGACGTTTTTCGCTAAATTTTGTTAGTCAAAAATTGGGGGTCATCTTATACATGGAAAAATATGGTATTTCCTTGATCTTCCCGCAGCCGCCAGAGAATGCTTCCACACATGCCGCTCTTTCTCACATGCACACACATATGTGCCGGGTCATGGGCTGCGCTGCAAACCACGCAAAGTTACGGGCAGCAACTGGAGCACTGAAAGGCAAGTGCATCTGGGGCCTGCTCCACTCCTTTGCTTGGCGTGTGTGCCCTGGAGAAAGAAACCGAGTGCCAACAGCTGACTAGGGAGACTTCGGGCTCTCCAGCAGTAAAGCACAATGTCCCTTCAGTGCCACCGCCAGGAGAATGGGGGTTGCAGTCAAAATTATCTCAACAACTTTGAGGGCAATTGCCCCCCAAAAGCTGAGCAAATTCTTAATTTCTTCCTTTGAGGTTAAAAAAAAATAGGGGTCATCTTATACATGCAAAAATATGGTACTACATGGGGTGGGATTCACCTAATAAGCCCCGGTCAGCAGAAGCGCTGCCCAGGGACTTCCACAATGGGGCTTTCCTTCCCTCTCCCCTCTCTGAGCTCCCCCTGAAATTGGCTCTGGGGGTATGTGGAAATTGAGAGAACTCACCAGAACAGCACACGGGGAGGAGGGGAGGGATTGTTCCATCTGGCAAGCTGAAATGCTTGCGCAGACAGAATTACTGGAAAGCCACCCATTAGATCTCAGATTTACCTGTTGTGCATTTTCACTTTGTAAAGGTAAAGGTAAAGGTACCCCTGCCCGTACGGGCCAGTCGTGTCCGACTCTGGGGTTGTGCGCCCATCTCACTTAAGAGGCCGGGGGCCAGCGCTGTCCGGAGACACTTCCGGGTCACGTGGCCAGCGTGACGAAGCTGCTCTGGCGAGCCAGCACCAGCGCAGCACACGGAAACGCCGTTTACCTTCCCACTATAAAGCAGTAACTATTTATCTACTTGCACTTAGGGGTGCTTCCGAACTGCTAGGAGGGCAGGAGCTGGGACCGAACGACGGGAGCTCACCCCGCCGTGGGGATTCGAACCGCCGACCATACGATTGGCAAGTCCTAGGCACTGAGGTTTTACCCACAGTGCCACCCGCATCCTTTCACTTTGTAGGAAGGATAAATGAACCACAGTCCTAAGTCTTCGGCTGCCCAACAAAGCAGGCTCTAATTTTGCTGTTAAGCATTTCATTTCAACTCCAAGTGTCTCTTCCCCACCTTGCATTCATTCCCTTCAGCACAAAAGGAATACATACAGCCCCAAAATAATACATACAGTGCCCATCTCGGAGACCCCCGTAGTGGTTCGACACGGCGATGAGGTCATATTTGTACAGTGTGGGGTCAGTGTCTTTCTGTGGCTTGATGACGAACTCTGAGAAATCGAGATCCCTACAGGATAGAGACGATAATGCTGCTGTTTTCTAGAGCCAGAGGGGGATCCCCTCAGCAACACCCTCCACATAGTTTTGGGGCAGAACCAGCACTGGCATCAAAAGTCACAGCCACCCTCAAGGCATATTCCTAAGCATCATGCTAACTTCTGGGGTTTAAGGCTGCACTTTCCTGAAGTGTTTTCAAGAACACCTTGAAACACAAACACCCACTCTTGACTCTCATCATCTCCACCTTTGGGCCACCCTGACTTGGGCTGATGGGTGTTGAGAGCCCACAGTGCCCAGAGGGCCACAAGTTCCCCAGTCCTGCATTAAAGTCATTTTTTAAAAAAAGCAAATGTGCTCCATTTTATCAGGTATCTTCAGAACTGGGAAACTGCTCTCTGCAAGCTGCATAAGCCAGCTCCAGTGGGAAGTCAACATGCCTTCTGAAAAACCTTTATTGATACTGGGTTCAAAAGGAGGAGGTAACTCTTTGGCCCGTGGAATCCTGAAAATTTAACAAGCATGCCTGTTTCCTCTGAAAGATTTCTCCCCAGTGGAATGATTTCAGAGGCATGAGCCACCCAAAATAAGCTGCCCCCATGTCTCTTCTCATCCCTACAAATTGTCTAATGATTTGGACCAAGTGGCTTACTGGACAGGGAACTCCACCAGGGTGTCGAGCTTCTCCCTGGAGAACTTGGTGTAGGAAAAGCGCTTGAGGTGGATGATCAGGATCTCTGGCAGCGACCACAAGTCCAGCTTCTTGGTGGCCAACTGGTGCTTCTTGCAGGTGGGGCAGTACCTGCACGAGAGGAGCTGGGGGTGAGCACAGCACTCAGAACAGCAGAAAAGCCACAGGTGTTTGCATGAGGACTAGCAGGCAACCCATCTTAGGAGACAAAGGAGGAATCCTGAGACGGGTATCTGGGTTGGGGGTAGGAGAACAAACGTGAAAATGATTTGGGCAGGGCACCCAAAATCCTGCAACACACACCAATTCTGAAAACTGAAAAATGCCTAAGTGAAAAAGAGGGTCATCAGGAGGATCTGCAAAGAGACTGGCATATTTACCCACCAGCCCCATGGTTCATCATCTCTTTGAAGTGAGAAGTCTGGAAGTCTGATGTCATCAGCTGTGATGGACCAGAAGACTCTGCCATTGATGCCCGCTGCACATGAAGGCATGTTGCCCATGATGAAACCTACGCACATCCTGTGTGCGCGGAGGGGTGGGGGTTGTCTTCCCCTCTTACATAACAAAAGTGCACAGGGTCACATTGCATTGGGGGGGGGACTCTCTCCTTCTCAAGATCCCCCGAAGGCTCTCCAGTCAGGCTAGGCAAGAGGGTTCCCGCTGTAAGGCCCCTTGGCTGCCACTACCAGGCCAGAGTCGAATGGGGCCATCTGCACAGCAAGCAATACCAGGCCTGAACAGTTTGAGCCATAAGAGAATCTGAGGCACTGCAGCTTTGCCAACCCAGCTGCCTCCAGGATTCGACTCTGCTCCACCGGTAGCTCCTTCCCTTCCTTTCTGCCTCTGGAAGCAAGAGCCCCACCTGACCCCCCAGGGCTCTCACCAGGGATTCTCCTCCTCCAGGGTCTCCACGGTGGTGAAGAGTTCGAGGCACTCCTGCAGCCTCACTGGATTCTTCCTTGGCGTGAAGTCCATGCAGTCGTGCTTGATGTAGCCCTGGCAGTGCACACACAGTGGGGGGGGGGGAGGTGAGCGGAAGTGGGGGGGGGCGCCCATCACCCTCCAGTTTTTTGCTTGTTGTCCCTGAGAGCCAGGCTGGCAGGAACTGGGAGTCCAGAACCCTCAGGAGGTCTGCCAGGTCCCTGTGGCTGAGCTGGGGGAGGGCAAGGGAAAGAGAAAGGAGGACGACTGGGGGCAGAAAAATGCCTCGCCCTCACCTCCGCCTCCGCCTCATTGTAGTAGCGTTTCCTCATGTTGGAGTCCCAGTCCATGGCAATGTACGGTTGGGCTGTGCCAAGGGGAGAAACTGTGGTTAAAGTGGCAGGAACCCCGAGCATCTCTCAAGGCAGTGCAGGGGGAAGACATTCATGAAACCCTAGGCTAGAAGGACCCTGAACAGGACTAATCCTGCTGCTCTCCAGTCACCACTGCCACACCCACTACAGTCCCACCCCCTACAGAAGTATCCAGAGGGCAGTGCGTCAGAAGGAAAGGGGCCAAACAATGAGGAATTTTGCCACTGGAGCAGAAAAGGGTTTCTAGCCAAAGGGCCATTTCCCTTCCAGGTAATCTTTCGTAGGGCACATTTCACTGGTGGCTGCAATTACTCCAGCAAGGCAGCCATTAAGACCCTACACGGAGCCTTGACCAGAAGGTGGAAAGGTGAGAACAGGCTCACTTCTTAGGGCTGTATCCTTAAGAGCACAAGAGCCCTGAGAGATCAGGCCAAGGCCCCACCTGGTCTGGCATCCTGTTCTCACAGGGGGAGACCCCAGGCAGGACCTGAGGGCAGCAGCACTCTCCCCTCCTGCAAATTTCAGCAACTGATAGGACCACCAAAATTAGTGGACCTAAGCGAGTCGTGTTCATTCGTGTCAACGGGTCCACTCTGGTTAGGACTGACCCGGGACACAAGCCTTAATCAACATTCCAGTAGATGAGTGTTTGCATATCTGAGCTGGAGGCCGTTAAACAAAAAAGGTGAACCTGAGAATTTCAGAGAAGAGGGCTGGAATAGCCCATGGACACGTGTGCAGCCAGGCTGGGAGAAAGGCTCCGAAGAGGGCCTCCCCACCCCCACCTGTTGCTGCAACAACCGCAAGGGAATCCCAGAGACTCTCCCGCCCCCCAATATTGGGAGCTTGCATGGACCAGCAGCCAGAGGGAAGACTCACAGTTGAAGGAGACGGTGCTGCCCTCGTCCTGGGCAGCCGTCCGGTCGCTGGTCCCGTTGGAATTGACGGCCTGGAGGGTGAAGAGCAGCTTGCGGCGCTTCTGGCAGCATTTGCGTTTGGCCTGGTTGGCCGTCGGGGGGCTGGGGCTGGAAGAGGGTGTCTGGGGGGACTGAGGGGGCCGCTGAGGAGCTGGGCTGGGGCTGGGCCTCCCCTCCACGCCAGCCCCTTCCTCCCCCACAGAGGCGTCCAAGGGGTTTTCCTCCGCCTCCGAGCTGGGCTCCTGGCTCGTGGAGCCTTCTGCCGTCGTCTCCTCCTCCTCCTCGTCCTCCCCTGTTGTGCATTTGGAGAGGAAAGGACAGGCAGCGGCCAAATTAAAAACCTGGTCAGCCCCACCCCATCAACACTCTGCCCTCGCACCAACCCCTCACCTTCGCTCAGCCCATTGGGCCTCTTGTTGTAGAGGTCCTCCTCATCCTCCTCACTCGGATCCTCCTCTTCCTCAGAGTCTGGTCGTGTCACGTAGCGGCTGCCAAAATGGGGGGGGGGGAGGAAGCCAGTCACACCCTTGGCCAGTAGGGGGAAGCACTGTCATGGGCAAGCTCCACAGCTCCCCCCTGTGGCAGCACTGTACAATGAAAGGTGCTGCTGGATGAAGATTCGAGTGAAGAAAGCAAGAGACACAGGAGAGGCACAGGGCTGGAGGGAGAGCAGGGGCAAAGCTACTTTGCAGAAAAATAATGTTAAAAGAAGATTCCGTAAAGTTTTTGCTTCAGGCATGAACCAAGGTTTACTAGGTTTAATAGAGAGCAGAGCGTTTGAGCATGAATGGGCCACATCTCCCCCCTCCCCCTCGGGAGCAAAGTGCCCCAGATCATGCACTGAACGCTTCTCGCTTTTTGGTAATAGGAATATCCCTCTGAGCATCTGGAGATCAAGGGGGCGCAACTATGGTGCCCTGCACTGCCAAGGGCAGCAGCAAGCCCAAGGCTGCTGCTGCAGGGAGATGGCAGGCAAGTCCAATACAACACAGGGCAGTTCTTCCATCTGCCATAACTGCAACCACAGCTCCCTGTGAAGATTTCTCTCCCCTGCAAGCAGCAGACCTAGAGGGAGTGGCCTCCCTGCTTTTGAAGGGCCTGAATGGGGAGTTCAAACTCAAACTGGAACCAACAACCCAGCTGGACTTTTATATCTTCTCGCACACAAGAAGAGAACCTAGATTGCTGAACCCAAACCAGTTTTTAGGGTCATGCAGGAGCGTCCCCAGATCCAACCCCTGGCATCTCCGGGGAGGGCTGGGAAAAGAGCCCTGCCTGAACCCCTGGAGAGCTGCTGCCAGCCAGTGCTGACACTACCAAGCAAGGCAGACCAGTGGTCCAGCTGAGGGCAAGGCCGTTCCCCATGTTCCTTTGTTTCTGCTGAATTCTGTGCTGCAAACCACAAAGTGCGGCTGAAGCCGTTCAGGAAGTGCCCTGCCAAAGATGTCGATCTTGAGGGACGTAAAGAAAAAAAGGGGTGGGGTAGGAGGAAGCACAGCATAGGGGAAGGCAGATATGCTTCAGACATGGAAAAGTACCAGAAAGGGAGCAGACCCCAGCAAGGAATTCCTAGGAAACAGTACAGCCCCAAGGGGAAAGCACCTCAGAGTAAGGAAAGGAGATTCCCATCCCACAAACCTGTGGGATGGAAGGAGCCATGTACTTGCAGGGGACAATGGGGGATTGAGGTTCAAAAGCATCCTCAGCCTTGAATGCTCACTGTGTGATCTTGTCTGTGAAAGTCACCCAGGGCTGGTTGACCCATGCGCAGAAACATCATTTTGAGGCCTACCATCAAGCATGAATGAGGCCACCAGAACCAAGGGTTCCATGTCCCCTCCAAGGTTTATAAAACAAGAGACTGTTCAGACACACAAGCTGCTGGCCCTCCAATATGGAGTAAAATCAAGAGATGGACACTGAACCACCTGGATCTCACCTTCTGGCCTTCAGCTTGAAAGTTGGAATCCAGGAGTGGACAGCAGCCTGACCACAGGTGAGCCGCACCAGCACCATACAAAATGCAACACAAACATTCCCAAGGTCCCCAAATACATATGTTTGGGCTAAGGGTGGGTCTCAGGTCTAGACAAAAGTTGAAGACTACTGGCCTCCCTGATGCAAAAAGGAAAACAAAGGCAAAAATAACCTAGGGCAAAACTCTAAGTCTCCCCACTGCCTTTGGGCTGCAGGCACATCCTACAAGGCAGGCCCTAGGCAAGGCACTTCTGTCCCCTCCGCTCCCACCCCCTTCAAAGCAAGGCAGGCAACAGCAGGAAGGGCACTCGGTCTGGGAGGAATTGGAGGGCCAAGGCTGCTGCCAGGAACTCACGAGAGCCGGTGCAGCAAGAGCTGATAGAGCGAGTCCCAGGAGAGCTGGTCCCGGGGCACAGACACCAGGAGCGGGTGACCAAAGAGAACCACCCCATAGTAGGTGTTGCTGTAGTCGCGGCCCTGGGTGCGCTCGCGGAGGTACACGGGGAGCACCACTGCATCTGCCGTGGCCGGATCCTCCAGTGTGGACACAGACACCTCGTATCTGGAGGGAGAAGGAGACCAAGATCCAGAGGGGGCGGGAAACAAGCAATGCCCCCCTTGCCCTCCCCCGAAAGATGAGACATGCATATTACCAGGAAGTTGGAGTAAGGCTTTGAGTGTGGTGGCGCCTGCCCCTCCCTTGACATATTAGACAGGTGCTGCCTCCGTTGTCTTTTTGGCACCTACAAGACCTCCCTCTTTCAACAAGTGTTTTAAATATGCTGTAAGCTGCCCAACGTGGCTGGGGAAACCCAGCCAGATGAGTGTGGTGTAAATGGGTGTGGTGTAATTGTGATTGAAGTGGAGATCTTTCTCCCAGGCTGAGTCTGCATTGGAGCTATTTTTAACCAGTTCTATAAACAGAATTGTTTTGGCATTGTATATATTTATGGAATCATTTTTCTTTCTACACTTTTCTTGTTTTATGTTCTTTGTTTTCTTGTTTTATGTTCTTTGTTTATGTAACTGTTCTTTGTTTCATTTTACAGTGGTATATTTCATTGTTCTAACACACCTTGGGGTATTACAGTAAAGGGTGGGTAAGAAATCTAATAAATATCCAGAGGGCAGGCCCCGCCAGGCCTCCAGATACATTTCAGCAGCAGGCAGAAAGAATAACAGAATTGCAGCGTTGGAAAGGACCCCAAGGGCAATGCAGCATTCTGTAGCTGGCTGTATGCTACAAAGAGCCACTTCTGTCCCTGCCCAGAGATGCTATTTCTAGGGCCAGTTTCAATTATCTCACTAACTCCTAGATGCCTTCCATAAGGCACTCTTTGTACACATGAGCCCATTTCTCCAACTCTGGCCAACATCAGGTTCCACAGAGGTACTGCAAAGATGCCCCCCTCCTCAAAGAGAGCTCCTCCCTGCTGGTCTTCAGGTGCAGCCAAGACAAACCCATTCTTGCAGATTCAGGTAGGTAGCCGTGTTGGTCTGACACAGTCAAAATAAATTTAAAAAAAATAAAAAAATTGTCCAGTAGCACCTCAGAGACCAACTAAGTTTGTTCTGGGTATAAGCTTTTGTGTGCATGCACACTTCTTTAGATACACCTTCTAGCAGACCTAGCATGCCTAGGCATCTTCCTTCTCCAATGGATCTACTCCAACCCTCCTCCGCTGCACCCCCCTGCTCGCACACTCACATGAAGATGTCGTCCCGGTCCAGGATGCAGCTGAGGGATTCTTCCATCTGGTAGATCTTGTAGAAGCGGTGACTGAACACGTCAGCCACCATCATCTGAGAAAGAGAGACACACCGAGTCACCACAGAGGGAAGAAGGAACTAAGGGAACTCTTTTACTGATTATTTATTTAACCAGATTCAATCAAAATCTCTAAGCAGTTTACTTAACATATGCACTAAAATTACTGATTAAAAAAATCAGATGTTTTTCTCTCTGCCCCCAAACTCACCCGCTCAGCAGGCACCTCTGTATGCTTGGAGAGGCTGTGGCAGAGATCTAGCACTTTCCCAGCCTTTGGGACAATCAGTCTGTGCTGTAAAGAAAAGAAAGGGAAAAAGGAAGTTCAACTTAGTGGAGTCTGCCTGGAACAAAGCCAGAAGCCCAAACCCAAGACAAGTTGCTGTGAGGTGGCCTGTCTCCAGCCCATGCTGTCTCCCTGGGGACCACCTCCCAAGGCTCCCTTCAGCTCACGGCCAGATATGGGCACGTCCTGCCCCCGCCTCTGTGGTGCACCCTTGTTCATTGTCCCCAGGCAGGAAGAGTATATACAGGAAACTGCTGGGTACCAAATCACACCGTTGGTTCCCTCTAGCTCAGCACTGCCAGCAGCTCTCCAGGGTTGCAAACAGGAGACATTTGAAGCCCCACCTGAAGGTGCTGGGGATTGAACCAGACTTCAGGCAGGCAGGCAGGCAAGCAAGGCATTGGCTTTCTGGTCCTTACTGCAAATCCCAGCGACTCAATCCTGGTTCATGCAGAAGCCCTGCTCGTCTTGCCAGGCATCTTCCCTGACTAGTTGCTTACCTGTTCGGGTTTCTTGCTGGGGTCCATGGACACGAAGAAAACCTCCATCACCCGGTCCTTGCTGATGGGCAGGGGAGCACTGAGGTAGCAGAAGGGATCAAAGGTCACTGAAACCTTGCCACATTCGGGGCACACCAGCGTCGACTTGAAGAGCCCGTGGAAGATGTCAACAATGATGGAGTGGTTGCGGCGCTTGTGGTTCCGCCACGCTTCCTCCGCTACTTCCTGGGAGGGAGAAGGAAGAGCTGAAGGAAGGACAGGGCTTCCCTCTAGCAAGGGGCACATCACTGCCAGGGGATTCCAAAATACATACACCCAAAACCCAGGCACAAGCCTAGCTGATAAATCAGTTTCTAGGACGCAAGGCTGGCAGTCGAGACCTTTGTCCTACTGCTGCCCTCCAGGGGTTTGGGGCTACAGCTCTGTGCTGGTCAGGGTGGTCACTGCAGGCCAAGCATCCAGAGGGAGGAAGGCTGCCTTAGAAACAGCACTGAGCTGCCTACAAAGCACAGAAACCTCCTGCAAACCCCCTCAAGGACAGAGCTCTCCTCCGGCTTCCCTCCTGCCTCACTCCTCTCGGTAGGCTTGGAAGACCAAGAGCAAAGCTAAGCTCCTCTTTGCCGGCTGTGGAGGCAAAGGTGGGATGTGCAAAGGTGGGACCTGAGACAGTGGTAGAAGGCTCCAGAAATTCATTAAGATTATGAACTGAATTGAACATACAATGACAGAGTATTTCCTGCATCCCACCTTCTATGGCAGCAGTAGGGGACCTGCGGCCTTCCAGTTACTGTCAGACCCCCAAGTCCCATCAGCCACTGTCCGTGTGGTCAATGGCTCAGGAATTGCTGTCCACCAGAAATCTCAAGGACCACAGGCTTCCCATCCCACTGCCTCAAACATCCTCCAAATTCCATCATTCGCCAGTGAAAAAGCTTTAGCCGAGTCAGCACCTCTGTTTTCCACCGCATGTTACAGGGAGCTAGTGACCTGCTCCGTGAGGCTACACTGAGGATCAAGACTACCAAAGACTTGGCACATCACTGAACTTCCTATGGAAGCAACACACAAAGAGCATGGAAATCACAACTGAGAAGGTTGCGAGTTTGCCCAGGTTTACTCCCAATGTGCCGCATTCATTTAAAAAAACAACGCAACAGTGGCTGGGCCCCAGAGTTGAAATCCCCAGCGCTGCCAGGCCCTGTACCTCCTGCTCACCTCGTCTGGCCTCCCTGCTGCATCCTTCAGCTCGATGTACTCTTTCTTCTTGACCCGGTTGAGGTCCTCATGCAGCCCGTCAAGCAGAAAGGAGAGCAGCTCCTGGGAGTCGTGCTGCTGGTAGCCAAGGAACTGGGAAGCAAAATGGCCCACTTTGGTCTGCAGGGAAGAGGAACACCAAGAGGGTGGCCTTGAGCCCCAAGGAAGATAGCAAGAGAAAGCGCAATGGCGAGGAAAAGGAAGCTCACCTTGAACATGCGAGGCACGATGGAGCGGTGGTGGCCGGACCACTGCTGCTTGATGAGGTCAGCGTAGGCCTCTGCAATCTCACCCTTCATGCCCAGGGGGTTGTTGAAGTTCAGCTCGTCCAGGTAGCGGTTGTTGAGGAAATACTCAGTAAGAGGGGGCACATTGCTGAGACACTGAGAGAGAAAAAGAGGACCATAGTCCATAGAAGGAGGAGCTCAGCAATTCCAGAATGGAACAGGTCTTGCATATCCTAAGAGCCTCAGCTGCTTGTGTATTCCAAGAAAGTCTTTAGGTACAAGAGAGTGAAAATAAACTTCCAAGTATGCACTTAGACCTGCACAGAAGACTCATTCCCCCAAGCCAGGATATTTATCCTGGCAGTTCTTTGCCCCTTTGCTTCCTGGCGGCTCCTCAAGCAGCTCAGAGAGCACGTGGTAAGGACACAATATTAAGCGGCTCACCAGTCCGGGGGGGGGGGGACCTGCATAAAGAAGATGACAACTTGGCTTCTCTGCCTTAGGAGGATCTAGTTCCCACCCATTAACCCACCAACACCTAACCCGAGATCTCCCGGTGTAGGGCAGTAGACAAATTTAATAAATGGTAATAGTAATAACTGGAGAACTGCTTCAAGTCTTTCCAGCAGACAGCAAGTTTTGCTATTTTACTCCCCACTAGTGGGCAGACAGAGAACTGCAACAGGGCACCCTGCTAGAGAGCTCAAGCAAAACCCTCCTTTTGGCCGAGGGGCTCAGCCTCCAAGCAACAGCCCCCCCCCCCAGCCTCCATTTTTATTTACTGTGCTCATGTCCTACAAGGAGCTCAAGGCAGAGTCTGCTGCTCTTCTCCCCACCAGCCTCCATTTTTATTCCCACAGCAACCGGAGTGAGGTGGGTTAGGCGTTAAAGAGACAATGACTGCTCCAAGACCACCTGGCGAGCGCCACGGTCGAGTGGGGAATTTGAACCTGGGTCTCCCTGGCCCTAGTCCACCCACTTAACCAGCTACGCTGTCCTGGCTCTCAGCTCTGCACCTGCCACAGCCTGCGCCTCCTACCTGCAAAGCAGAGTTCATGAAACAGGTGTTGCCTAAGTTGGTGAGACCGCAAACGCCAGGCTGGCCCTGATAGAGTTCCTCGTCCTCGAGGGAGTTCTTCCTGGGGGGGGGGAGGGGAGAGGGAGACTGTGAAGAAGGGCAGCCGGCAGGATGAGGCCCAGGGTCAGGAGCCAGCCCACAGTGAATCACACAGCACAAGTTGCAGTTAACTCTTTAATTGCAAAAACACATTTGGCACAGGAGTGTCAGGCCTAATGAGCACAGTGGCGCATCTCCAGTCGGTTTTGCCTGCATGAAGCCAACACTGAGACAGAAGGTCCCCACCTCTCTCAGCTGCCTAAGCCCCCTCCTCTCCAGGGTTTCCCCCAAGCAATTGGAAACTGTGCCGGCGTGAAGCCAACCTCTCCTCCACCCTCTTCATGCCTCTTCTGGTTCTGGGACACCAGGGGGAGGGGCTGCACCAGGAGGAAGAGACACCCCCCCCCAAGGTTCCTTTTTATTACTTTTTTATCATTTTCATTTTTTTACAACTTTAAACAGATAACTTTAAGTCCAAATACAAAACATACATTTATCGTTGATTTCCCTCCCACCCCCATCCGTGGTTCATTTTCTACTACATATTCTATTCTGCCGCCGCCACCCCCCCCCCATTCTCATTTTTCCAATTTTGTATCAATATATTTCTTACTGCTGAATTTATTCTAATGCTGTTAACATTTTAATATGTTTATATTTTTTTTCAAATATCTTTTCCAATCTTCCTTAAAAATTCTTTCATCCTGATCTCTTATTTCTATATATCCTGACAATTTCATCTGCCATTCTTCCTTTGTTGGTGTCGTGCCAACTTTCCATTTCTGTGCAGACACCAAGGGTGCTGCTGTAGTTGTGTACACAAAGAAATTTTTGAGACCCCCTGGATTCTTCACCAGCTGGACTCTGCTCTGCCTCCGAGTCTGGACTGCTCTCTGCCACAGACTCTCCCTGTTCACTAAGACCTGTTATACCCCTTCAGCTTCCACCACCTCCTCTTCCCAGTCTCCTTCCTCTGACCACGCATTGTCGTCCCACCACAAATCTTTGGGCTATGAGCCTTCTTCCCTTGGGGGCTCTCCAGCTGGCTCCTCCCACCATTCCTCGACATCCATGACACCCGACTATCTGCTGGAACAAACAACAGCCAGAGAACAGCAGCACCTGCAGCCTCCCACAGTTCAGGCTCAATCTGCTCCTGAGACACAGCAGCCTCTCAGGCAGGGAGGCAGAGTCTGAAAGCGTAGAGGAAAGCCAGGTGCCCCACTTTGGAGCTGTGCAAACACCACATGCAGGTACTCACATGATATGTGGTCTAGAGCTGGGCCAAGTGCCGTCCTTACTCCTGGTCTCCATTACCACCACCTGGCAGGAGTGCAGGTGCCAGCCGGGGGGGGGGGGAGAGACAAAGGAAGGAAGGAAGGAAGGAAGGAAGGAAGGAAGGAAGGAAGGAAAGAAGGGCTGGATTAACTGCCATGTATCTGGACAAGCGTCTCCGAGGGGCTCATAACAGAAGCCTCCATTCTTTCAGTCCAAAACAGATGGGCCCGGAAAAGGCCAACTGGTGGCAAAGCATCTCAACACACTCATATACACTTTAAAACTGTTTAACTAACTCCAGCACACTTTGTTTTAAAAAAAGGGGAATGGGGCAGTGAGGGAGAGGTGCTAGCGCAGGTGTCTGTCTGAAGGCAACTGATTCTTCTTTTTTTGCCCCCTCAGCGTCACCTCCCTCCATCACTCCTCCCAGTTTTGTGTTGTTGGTTTTTAATGGCAGGAACAGCAAGAGGGTATGGGCTGGTTTTAAATCAAGCTTATGCGATGGACACTTCTCTGTTCTTTATTAGCATCCAATGTAGTAGAGGGGAAGACAACCCAGGATCCAAGTCCAGGTCAGGCTAGCCTGTGGCTTGTGCAGGAGGGGAACTGGCTAGAGATTCTGGAAGGGTGAGCTTAAACACAAATGCTCCTCATGATGGTGTCAAAGCCTCACACAGAGGCTCCACACTGGGGACCCCAAGAGGATATGAACCCATCCTTCCTATCCCACCAGGCTATTTTTCCCTCTAGCCCAAGCTGACCAGTTAGCTCAGAGCAGACTAGACCAACTGGCCGTAGCTCTCCAAGGCCAACTCAAACCCTTGGACTCAGGTGTGGAAAACTGTTGGCCCTCCAGATCTTGCTGAACTGCAATGCCCATCCCTCTTGGCCCTCCTGGCAGTGGCTGGTGGCAGTTCTGGTTCAGCAACATCTGGGCAGAGGTTCCTCACACCTGCTTTGAATGGACACGCCAGGGATGGATCCTGAGGTCTTCTGCCCGCAAAGTAGCCCCAGACCCTGGCGATCGGAGCGTTACCTGCCCTGAACTGAGGCAGGCATCCAGCACCGTCATCTGCAAGTTCCGTAGCCGCTCACATGAGCCGTCTGAGTTTTTCACCCACAACCTTGTCTCAGCCTCTGCTGGAACGGAAAACTGGCATCGTGCTTCCTTCAGCACCGTTTCTAGGTGAGGGAAAGAGGTTGTTTTATTTATTTATGTTTAAAATAGATATGTGACCAGTGCTTTTTTTCTGGAGGTACATACCCCTAAACATTTTGTGAATCTAACAGAAGAAACTAAAAAAAATTTTTTTTTAGTTTCTTCTCTAGCACGGTGAATCATCCATTCTGTTGCCACCCCCGATGGCAGCCTCATTTCCTGTCATGGTGTTTCCTGAGTCTCAGAGGGAAGCGAGTGTTTAATGTGTGAAGCAGGAGTTGGAATCTAGCGCCTCATGGCAATGTGGAAGTTACTGTGAGCTGTCAGCTGTGTAATATGAGGTAATGCATGTTCTTTGTACTTTTGTCCAATTTAATGTATTAATTTTTCCCAATTTGAACCACAAAATGGATTTTCTTGAGTGAAAATGAGTGTACCCCTAAACATTTTTTTAAGGGGGGAAAGCACTGTACGTGACCAAAGGAGAAATGGTCCCTCTGTGAGAATCCTGGGCCTTATTCCTTCTCCTCACAGCCCGTCTTGTCTCCACCATCTGGGTCCTTACCGATAACGTCCATTCGGCTAAACTGGGCAGTGACAGGGTTGTCCATGTCACTGTGCTGGCAAAGGTAAAGTTCCACCAGGTAAACCTCCACTTTCTGCATGCTGGAAAGATCCACCACCTGAGAAGGAAGAATCAGAACTGCATCCGTCAGTAAGAGACCGTGTACTATTAAAGGGGGTGGGGGAAACTTGAAGCAATGCATTTCTTCTCTGCCAACACCAAGGGATCCTTGAGGAACATCAGTATTTCTGAGCAATGTGGAATACGTTGTTCTGTTGGACTCTACGACAGGAAAAGCACGTGTCTCCACAGTGAGTTTCTAGTTCTCATGGCTGTGGGACAAAAGACTGAAACTGTGCAGGGAGTTTCTGCTAAAAGCTCAATAAAACTTCACAGCCCAACTCCATGTGCCTTTTTGCTCAGAGGTGATACTGCCCCGCAATCTGAGCTGAGGTAAGCACAGGACTGCAGCCTTTAAAGCAAGGGGAGCTAAGGTCCGGAGAGAGAGAGAGAGAGAGAGAGAGAGAGAGAGAGAGAGAGAGAGAAAGAGGGCCCACTGTGCACCAAAAGGGAACAAGCAGAGCACTTGCTAGGATTCTGGGCTCCACCAGAGAGCAGGAATGGCTCCAGAGGGGGCTGTGTCCAGTTAGTCTCTCTCCAGCCATGACCCCAACAGGCCCGCCAATCTTTTCAGCGCCCCCTGCAAAACAGGGCCGCTGGCGTAGATTGCAGGGACGTGGTAAAAATTTCTGAGAGAACGTTTATGAAGGACGCTGAAGGAACCTATGCTGCCCAGGGGTTGCCAACCTTTTGGTGCCCATTGGGGCACCTGCAAAGCACCCGAAGTGACATGAGCACCGCGTGCGGGAAAGGCCCTTGCCCCTGGGCCAGAGTTAGGCTTGCAAAAAGCCACCAGCTGGCCAAAGGCTCCCTCTGGGTCTAGTTCCAGCAAGGGGAGGGCATGGGACCTTCCGGGTGCCGGGGCAAGCCCTGCAGGCCCATGTGCACAGCAGGCACTGCACTGGGGATCAATGATAAAGCCCACTTCCAGTTAAAATTCTTCTTCTTCCACACAAGACAGCTGCTGTCACTGACATAAGGAGAAGAGTTTCACACAGAAAGTCCTGCAGCCTCTCCTCACATTCCTGTCACACTCTTGGTACAGTGGTACCTCGGGTTACAGACGCCTCAGGTTACAGATGCTTCAGGTTACAGACTCCGCTAATCCAGAAATATTGTCTCGGGTTAAGAACTTTGCTTCAGGATGAGAACAGAAATCGCGCAGCGGCAGCGGGAGGCCCCATTAGCTAAAGTGGAACCTCAGGTTAAGAACAGACCTCCAGAACGAATTCAGTTCTTAACCCGAGGTACCACTGTACTCTATAACCAGTGCTCCCCCCTCTAAATAAATGTTCAGGGTTTTTCTCATTTTCCTACTCATATTGAAATACTGCCCCTCAATGAGGCCAAACTTGGATTCACAAAATGCTTAAGGGTATGCATACTCCTGCGTCCCCCCAGAAAAAGGGCACTGTCTATAACCTAAGCTAAATGGCCTGTTATTACATCCTGGCAAGTGCTGGCCATTACAATGGCTGGAAAGCGGGCAAAGAATAAGAGCTTCTGCGTTGGGAGCAACCTGAGCTAAGGGTGGAGATGCCAGACAGAGGGGGCCAGACATCAGTTTCCAAGGGCTGAGGGTGCATTAACCTCAAAGAGGGTCTCCAGGGACTTTTCTGCATAAGAGTGAATGGAAAGCACTTGGCTGCACAGGTGAAAATAAAGGCTGACCTCAGGGATACCTTTGGCGTGGGGACTCTGCCAGTTGCTGAACCACCAAGACTCTTGGGCAGCCCTCTCTCCACTGAGAACCAAGGGAAGTCCCAGCCAGTATGGAGGAAACTGGCTTCTAGTTAGATAACCTCTCACACACACAATATGCACATCAGGTTTGAATGGGGCAGGGGGGAGCCTCTCCTCCTCCCCATTCTCTACCTCATTCTCAAAAGCTCCATCTCTCCTCCTCTCCCTTTGTCACAGTAGAATATGCCAGTGCTGAAGCTCTGGGCGGGGGGGGGGGCGGGGGCGGAACAACCTGTGGCCACCCAGACGTTGTAGGAATCCAACACACAACCAATTGCTCAGGGATGTGATGGCAGCTGGGAATCCCAATATCAGGAGCACAGATTCCTCAACAGTCCATGCTCTCTAAGCTACAAACTTCTCACCTTGCGTTCAATGGCTGGCTGGTCATGCTCAAGGCCATACCAGGTCACCAGCTTGTTCCAGACCTCCTCTGGCACCAGAACGTATTCCTCATGCTCCACCAGTCTATCCTTCAACCGGTACGACTCTGTATCTGGGAGGATGGAAGGAAGGAAAAGGGCTTGAAATCCAACAGGGCCGTCTGTCTGTGGAGAAGGAGAAAGGCTGGCACAGGACCTTCATCAGCAGAACTCCCTGCTGTAAGACGGGAAAGCTATTTCTCAACTTCCAACACATTTCCCCTTCCATGATGCAGCAAGTGCATCAAGGAGCCAGCTCTGGAATGGAAAGCCAGACGAACAGCTGACGGGGCATCTTTGGATCTGTTGCTACATCTTAGCCCACTCTACCCCACAGGGTTGTTGTCTGGATAAAATGAATGACATTCTGGGCTCCTTGGAGGATGGGGGTAAAAATGACATAGTGCTGGTTTTCATCTAGCCGTGCTGCCCTGGGAATGTATGTCAAGGGAAGAAGGAAAGAATCTTAAAATAAAATAATAGGACAGATGAAGCTGTACCTTCAAAGAGCTCAGCATTGTTGATCCGTCCAGGGAAAGAGATGGAGTTTTGATCTCCAGATTCCACGTATGCTCTCCACTGTTTGTACCAATGATTCTCCAGCAAATACCTGAGGGCAAAGAAGAAGAAGAAGAAGAAGAAGAAGAAGAAGAAGAAGAAGAAGAAGAAGAAGAAGAAAAAGAGTTTGGATTTGATATCCCGCCTTTCACTCCCTTTAAGGAGTCTCAAAGCGGCTAACATTCTCCTTTCCCTTCCTCCCCCACAACAAACACTCTATGAGGTGAGTGGGGCTGAGAGACTTCAAAGAAATGTGACTGGCCCAAGGTCACCCAGCAGCTGCTTGTGGAGGAGCAGGGACGCGAACCCGGTTCCCCAGATTACGAGACTACCGCTCTTAACCACTACACCACACTGGCTCTGGATTTGAACACACACACTGGATTTGAACAGCAAGTTCAAATCCAGAACCACAACAGTGTGCATAAACATAAGCAGGCAAGTCTCCCTCCAGCCCAAACAGGGTCAGGAAGGATGCCTCCTCCACAAGGAAAGCTAAGGTCTCAATCCAAGGCCTTGCAACTGTGCCAAATACTGCATACATCTGCTTGCAGCTTATCAGTCCAGACAACTGAGAATTCCCACTATTTTGATTGAAATAGCAAATTTCTAGTCCTCTTGACCACAGAGATAAGCTTTAAAAAGGTAACAATCACACCATCCAAAGGCTCAGATAAGGAGGAGGCAGGTCATGGCTCCCTTCAGCCGCAACCACTCTTTGCAGCTTCCTGTCACAGACCCAGTACCAGCTCGCCCAGGTCTGCTAATATCCAAAGTCCTCCTCTCCTCCACTTCCCTAGACTATGGCAGTAAAGATGGGCAACACAGTCACAGCTTCGACTGAAAGCAAACAGGTGTGCCTAAGAAATCGTAAGTTATTTCTAGGCCCATCATCTAAAAATATTTAGTTAAGTAAACACCTTGAACCAAACTATGGCTTAACTTAAATATATATATACATATTACCCACACTATGTGCTTTGTTGCAATGCGAAAGAATACACATGGTAAAGGTAAAGGTACCCCTGCCTGTACGGGCCAGTCGTGTCCGACTCTGGGGTTGTGCGCCCATCTCACTTAAAAGGCCGGGGGCCAGCGCTGTCCGGAGACACTTCCGGGTCACGTGGCCAGTGTGACGAAGCTGCTCTGGTGAGCCAGCACCAGCGCAGCACACGGAAACGGCGTTTACCTTTCCGCTATAAAGCAGTACCTATTTATCTACTTGCACTTAAGGGTACTTTCGAACTGCTAGGTGGGCAGGAGCTGGGACCGAAAGACGGGAGCTCACCCTGCCGCGGGGATTCGAACCGCCAACCATGCGATCGGCAAGCCCTAGGCACTGAGGTTTTACCCACAGCGCCACCCGCGTCCCAATACACAAGGTAACTTTTGCTTATTAAATTGTGGATTGCCACATCATTAGAAGGAAAGGCCCTCACTTGCAGCTCCACAGAATAAAAGAACCCCTTCCAGTTGTTCCTGGTTCAAATATCAAGTTAGCCAAGAATTTACCAGGCAAGCCCCTGCCATTCAGTCTCAACCCCAATCCTACAATTTGCAACTACTGGATAGAAATGACCATTCCTCACACCAGGGGCAGGGCAACGGCGGTCCCTCCAGACATCAGCTGCCATCACCCTGACCAGCATGGCCAATGCCCTGCAAAAACTGGAATTTTAGCCCAGCTAAGACCCGGAGGGCACACATTTCCTCATCCCATTTTGCAGGGTCACTGTGTAAGAATTAGACTGCAATCCAACACTCACCTACCTGGGAATAACCCCCACTGAACTCAGCAGGACTTCCTCCTGAGACACGCAGAGTATTGTGCAATGTATAAGAAATACTTGGGACGTTCAAAGTAAGAGTCTTTCTATTAAATGGATTAAATCACGTAGCCTCAATTATTTGCATAATTTATTCATGCATTCAACTTGCAGATGTGGATTGTCTACAAAAGTCAGTTTTAATTTTCTGCTTGGCAGTAAACCAAGATCCCTGCCCATAATCTCCTTCCTTCTTAGTCAACAGCCTGGATTTCCATGGGCAGAAAAACCTGCATTCCACCCCCAAGGTGGTTGATTTTATATTACCCCTTTATACCACCATAGGGTCAGCTCAGACCATGAAATATGTGTCCCATCCTGAAAAACAGTTCCCTCTCCTATTGCCCTGGGGCACTATATTAAGAAGTCCACAGAAGGGAACAGGCTGTCACCTTAACACCAGCCGCACGATGGCAAGGAGCAACCTGACGGCAGCGGAGCCTCTGCCTGATCTTCCAGTCACATCTCTGGCGGCTCCACACAAACCACAGGGCCTTAAAAGGGCCCTGTGGGCACAATCATAAAAGGGCACAATCTTAAATACATATTTGGTGTGTTGTAAGCAGACCACCTCGAAGTTTCCACCCTTTTCACGGAGGAAACTTTGTTCTAGCAGCAGCATCAAGGTTTGGACCCCTTCCTCGTAATATTGCCTTGGACATTAATGTAAGTTCAAGTGCAGAATGCTCAGCTTCCGTCCTTTTGTGACTGTGCAGGGGTCTCTGGACATTAAGGAAAGCAGGTGGGGTAAGGGGAAGACCCCCCTCCCCTCTTCCCTACATCCAATGGCACACTCTCACCGACTGAACTCAGCCCTGGGTGGTTCCTCCATCCAGCCAAGCTCTATGGGGCCAGGAGGAATGGGAAGGGCTGAGGAGGGGGAACCCAAAGGCAAGATCACAGCTTGCAGGTGTTACGCTGGCTCAGCATCCACTGGCGCAGTCCCACTGAGAACCTGGGAGCGACAGCATCTGATAAAGCCAGCACCCTTGAAATTCCTCAAGGCTTTGGCCCGCAAGGAGAAGCAACACATGAAATGAAAGCATGCCTTTTAGTTAAGACAGACATCAGCCCAGCAAAGAGTTCTATGTAGCTAAAAAGCCTGCCAAGTCTAATATATGGTCTCTCTTTCCTTTGCTCACGATTTCAGGCCCAGATTAGTTCTAACTCAAGATCAATGAAGACCATTAATTGGCTGGGAAACATTTTTAATGCTAGGAAAAAGTTCTAAGTTCTTCTCAGGCTGGGGAAACCAGTGGCTGGGGAATCCCTCAGGGCTACCACAGTGGGACAAATCCTAGGAAGGAAAGGGCAGAACAGCTTGTTGAAAGCAGTTCAACCCCCCCCCCTGGTGAGAGTCTGCACCAGCTTCCCAGGGAGCTACATATTGATCATGACACTCATTCACTGCCATGCAAGGCTGGCTCCTCCCACTAGTGACTCATGGGGAGGAAATTAAATGGGGGACCAAACTGGATCTGTGCAAGCAGTAACTGCGGCAGCTTTCTTGTCTCAGCCCATTGTGTGAGCAGGAGCAGAGGGGAGAAACAGCAGGGGAGCCTGTGCAGAATGAAGGGCACAGGAGAGGCGTAGAGAGCTTTAAAAAAACAAGGCTAGAACAGTGGTTTTCAACCTTGTGGGGTCCACAGCTCCCTCGACCAACCACATTCTTTCTGCAGCTCCCCTGTGGAAGCCACTTACCCTGGGGTTCCATTACAGAACGTGCATTAAGTGGGGACTTCTCCGTTCTGCCCTGCCCCTTTTCGGAGCCACTTTTGGACACGTGCAAGGGGGAATACAAGTGTCAATGAGAACCCAAGCAAACGTGTAAAACTAAGGAACTGTTATCATTACTGAAGTTGAGGAGGATTCTTGTTTGTGTGTAGGGAGGGGGAGATTTTAAGAAGATCAACAGTCAGGCAAAAATGTTTCCCCACTTTTTTTGCCATTGTTTTATTTCAGGAAGATAATGGGCTGCAAGTTAAAGGTGTCGACTCCCCTGAATGTTCCTCAGAGAGAAAAATAATGCAGGAAGATATGGGCTGCAAGTTAATGAAAGGATGCCCCCCCCCGGCTCCCCTGAATGTTCCTCTTGTCACCCCAGGGTGCCACAGCACACTGGTCAAAAACCAATGGACCAGAAGCTTGAAGCTGGTATGCAATGTGAACCGACTTACTTGTGCCACACTTATCTCATTTACGCTGCAATCCTATGCACACATTTACTAGGAAACAAGCTCTTTTGAACTCAGTGGGATGACTGGCTTCCAAGTAAAGGAGCGTGAGATCGGACTACGCACCTCATGGAACTGCAGAGTTTGAAGGGACCCGAAGATCCTCTACAACCCCCTGCAATGAAATGAGGAAGCTCTGCCTTTCTGCTCTGTGACAATGGAGGTGGTTTGTTTCACTACTGGGGCTGTGGTTCCCCAACTGTCTTCCCCGAGACACAAGTGCATGTTAGTTGGCACAAAACAGGTTGGAGAGGTAAGATTTCTCTAAACCCCATCTAGGAGAAAAGTAGATGTAGCTGACACAGGGAGCCTAGGTTCAGTGACAAAAACAGGAAGTTTGCCAGTTTATCGAGGGTGAAATTAAAACTCATTCCACAGAAGATAAAGCCACACAAGGATACAGAAGACCGCCAAGCGCTCATGCAAGAGAGACAGGGGCTGCTACCAAATGAGGCTGGCCTTGTAGGGGGGGGCAGCTGAGAAACTGAAACTTCACTGCACTTGGATGAAGCCACTAAGAGGGCGGGGGGGGGTAAGAAAGCTTTGGAACCAAGCCCACAGCATGTCTATGGGGGATCACTCACCTCCAAAACTAAGGTAGCTCTTAAAAGCAACAACTCAGTGCTCCGGGGGGGGGGGCAGGAGCAGCTCTCTCCAACAGTAACTCCATGCTAAGTACCTATTGAAATTCTTTCTGACTCTGACACAGAAGCCTTTTCTTGGGGTGGGGATAACGAAAAGGTCACCTCAATAATCCTGCTACACAAGAAAAAACAAAGGGTGGGGGAGGGAGGTGACTGGTTTTCAATCACATAGTTGTTTAGAAATATTTGAATGCTACAGCAAAGCACACATATTTTGGCAAAGAGTTTAGAACCATTTTTTTTAAAGGGGGGAAAAAAAACCATGTAGGAAGAGTGGGTCGCATTCACGAAATCCACTGATGTAGTTGGAGTGTCTACCCAAGACACAGGAAGGAACAGAAGAAAATGAATTAAACAACCAAACGCAAGAAGATGCCAAGTTGATTCAGAGCAGCTATTGCCTCCCAAAAGGAAAAAGGGGAATCGCGTTTTCATTCCGGAAGTGAACATGTCAGCAGTATGAGAAATGTGCTCCAGAAGAACTTGAGGCTTTCGCTTCCCCCGGAGACTCAGGGAGCCGAAGCAGCGCGTCTGAAGGGAGTAAATCCCGCGAGCTTCCAGGGAGAGGAAATGCTCCGCGACGCCCGCCCGCCGGGCAGCCCCGTCCCGCCCCAGGCAGGGAGGCCTCCCGGGAGCCCGGCGGGGGGATTCCGAGGAAGGAGCTCAGTCGCCCCGTCCAGGGAGGGGACTCAGCGCCGGTTCCCGGGTGAGGGGTCTCCTCGCGAGGAGCCTCCGCCCCGCCCCGCTCACCACTTCTCTCCGGCGCGCAGCGGGCGCTCCCTCCCGGGCTGCTCGGGCCCCTCGCCCTCCACCTGCCGCCTCTGGGCCTCCAGCCCCGGCAGCGCCGCCGGCAGCCCCCGCTCCGCAGCCATCGCCGCCTCCCGCCCGGAAGCCCGTCGAGGAGGCGCCCGGCTCCCGCCGCCACGCCCCCCCGCTTCCGCCGGCCCCGAGAGGTGTGGCGGGGAAGGGGAGGCGGGCCGGCGCCATCTTGAGGGCGGCGTCCGTGACGAGCGGGGCGGGGACTCGGGCCCGGCCTCCTGGCTGCCCCGTCTCTAGTCGAAAATGGACGCGGCCTCTTTTTATCCGTATGCCGGGTGCCGTCAGAGAGAAAGTAAAGGGGACGCGATGCATTCTCTTCCGCAAAACCAGGCCCGTGTCTCAGGGCGGAAGCTTTTGCTGCCATGTTTGTTGAGGGCACGTTCCCTGCGCTAGCCAGTCTGAAGTCAACCATCTTTGGTGCTGGTAAATGTGCGGGGCGGACAGAGACGCCATCTTGAGAGTGGCACGTGTGATTTCCCCCTTTCCAAACCTTAGGTCCTCATCTGTTTAGTCGTTAGTCGTGTCCGCCTCTTCGTGACTGTTGAATAGTGGGTAGACATGGCAGACGACACAGCGATTTCTCCAAAGCAGCTCTTTATTTTGTAAGCTGGAATAGAAACTGAACAGCAAACAGCTCAGCCGGCCTGCTTTTATAGGCAGCTAGCTGTCAACATTGTAGCAACAACAACCCAGGGTTTCCCGCCTAAAATAACTGGACCTGAGTGAAAACTATCTACAGTATCCCCCTGCTGGCCCAGGGTGAGAACTTCTGTACATAACAGTGACCCCCTGGACCAGAGCATGCCAGGCACTCCTGTCTTCCACTGCCTCCCGCAGTTTGGTCAAACTCATGCTGGTAGCTTCGAGAACACTGTCCTCTGTCATCCCCTTCTCCTTGTGCCCTTAATCTTTCGCAACATCAGGGTCTTTTCCAGGGAGTCTTCTCTTCTCATGAGGTGACCAAAGTATTGGAGCCTCAGCTTCACGATCTGTCCTTCCAGTGAGCACTCAGGGCTGATTTCCTTAAGAATGGAGAGGTTTGATCTTCTTGCAGTCCATGGGACTCTCAAGAGTCTCCTCCAGCACCACAATTCAGAAGCATCAATTCTTCAGCGATCAGCCTTCTTAATGGTCCAGCTCTCACTTCCATACATCACTACTGGGAAAACCATGGCTTTTAACTACCGTATTTTTCGCACCATAGGACGCACTTTTTCCCTCCTAAAAAGCAAGGGAAAATGTGTGTGCATCCTATGGAGCGAATGCAGGCTTTCGCTGAAGCCTGGAGAGTGAGGGGTCGGTGCGCACCGACCCCTCTCACTCTCCAGGCTTCAGGAAGCTATCCGCTAGCCGTGGGAGACCCAGCTCTCCCACGGCTAGCGGAGCGCTGCATTAATCCCAAAGCTTGGGGCGTGCAGAGCTCAGCGCGCCCCAAGCTTCTGGGTGCAAGCAGGGTCTCCGCTAGCCCTGGGAGAGCCACGCGACGTCGCGCGGCTCTCCCAGGGCTAGCGAAGCACTGCGGTAATCCCGAAGCTTGGGGCGTGCGGAGCTCAGGGCGCCCCAAGCTTCTGGGTGCCGGCAAGGTCTCCGCTAGCCCTGGGAGAGCCCCGCGACGTCGCACGGCTCTCCCACGGCTAGCGGACCGCTGCGCTAATCCCGAAGCTTGGGGCGTGTGAGCTCAGCGCGCCCCAAGCTTCTGGGCGCCGGCAAGGTCTCCGCTAGCCCTGGGAGAGCCCCGCAACGTCGCACGGCTCTCCCACGGCTAGCGGACCGCTGCGCTAATCCCGAAGCTTGGGGCGTGCGAGCTCAGCGCGCCCCAAGCTTCTGGGCGCCGGCAAGGTCTCCGCTAGGCTAGCGGAGACCTTGCCGGCGCCCAGAAGCTTGGGGCGCACTGAGCTCCGCATGCCCAAGCTTCGGGATTAGCGCTCTGCTAGCCGTGTCTAGGCTGCAGATAGCAGCCTGCTTCCCGGAGCGTCGGGTGCCCTGAAAGCAGAGCTCCAGGCGCTTCGGGAACACATCCGCAGCGTGGGGAGGCTTGCAGGAGTTCCCCACAGGGCTCCCCACGCTGCGGATAGCAGCCTGCTGCCTGGCGGGTGGGGCGCCCTGAAGCAGAGCGCCCCTCGCGCCAGGCAGACATCCGCAGAGTGGGGAGCCTTGCAGGAGTTCCCCACAGGGCTCCCCACGCTGTGGATAGCAGCCTGCTGCCTGGCGGGTGGGGCGCCCTGAAGCAGAGCGCCCCGCGCGCCAGGCAGACATCAGCCAGCCCCACAAGCTCGGGGGACAGCAGGGAGGCGCAGCGCCACTATCCCGCTGTTCCTCGACCTGGTTCGGTTTCCCTGACCTGCTTTTGGGGGGGGAATAAAGGGAAAAATTTTTCCTTTATTTCCCCCCCAAAAAACTAGGTGCGTCCTATGGTCCGGTGCGTCCAATCGTGCGAAAAATACGGTATATGGACCTTTGTTGGCAAGGTGATGTCTCTCCTTTTTAAGATGCTGTCTAGGTTTGTCATTGCTTTTCTCTCAAGAAGCAGGCGTCTTTTAATTTCGTGGCTGCTGTCACCCTCTGCAGTGATCATGGAGCCCAAGAAAGTAAAATCTCTCACTGCCTCCATTTCTTCCCCTTCTATTTGCCAGGAGGTGATGGGCCCAGTGGCCATGATCTTCGTTTTTTTGATGTTGAGCTTCAGACCATATTTTGCGCTCTCCTCTTTCACCCTTATTAAAAGGTTCTTTAATTCCTCCTCACTTTCTGCCAGCAAGGTTGTGTCATCTACATATCTGAGGTTGTTGATATTTCTTCTGGCAATCTTAATTCCGGCTTGGGATTCATCCAGCCCAGTCTTTCGCATGATGAATTCTGCATATAAGTTAAATAAGCAGGGAGACAATATACAGCCTTGTTGTACTCCTTTCCCGATTTTGAACCAATCAGTTGTTCCATATCCAGTTCTAACTGTAGCTTCTTGTCCCTCATAGAGATTTCTCAGGAGACAGATGAGGTGATCAGGCACTCCCATTTCTTTAAGAACTTGCCATAGTTTGCTGTGGTCGACACAAAGGCTTTTACATAGTCAATGAAGCAGAACTAGATGTCTTTCTGGAACTCTCTAGCTTTCTCCATAATCCAGCGCATGTTTGCAATTTGGTCTCTGATTCCTCTGCCCCTTCGAAATCCAGCTTGCACTTCTGGGAGTTCTCGGTCCACATACTGCTTAAGCCTGCCTTGTAGAATTTTAAGCATAACCTTGCTAGCGTGTGAAATGAGTGCAATTGTGCGGTAGTTGGAGCATTCTTTGGCACTACCCTTCTTTGGGATTGGGATGTAGACTGATCTTCTCCAATCCTCTGGCCACTGCTGAATTTTCCAAACTTGCTGGCATATTGAGTGTAGCACCTTAACAGCACCATCTTTTAAATTTTTTAATAGTTCAGCTGGAATACCATCACTTCCACTGGCCTTGTTATTTGCAGTGCTTTCTAAGGCCCATTTGACTTCACTCTCCAGGATGTCTGGCCCAAGGTCAGCAACCACACTACCTGGGGTAGGACAGCCATATCTTTCTGGTATAGTTCCTCTGTGTATTCTTGCCACCTCTTCTTGATGTCTTCTGCTTCTGTTAGGTCCTTTCCACTTTTGTCCTTTATTATGGTAATCTTTGTACGAAATGTTCCTTTCATATCTCCAGTTTTCTTGAACAGATCTCTGGTTCTTCCCATTCTGTTGTTTTCCCCTATTTGTTTGCATTGCTCATTTAAGAAGGCCTCCTTGTCTCTCCTTGCTATTTTTTGGAAATCTGCATTCAATTTCCTGTATCTTTCGCTATCTCCCTCACATTTTGCTTGCCTTCTCTCCCCCGCTATTTGTAAGGCCTCGTTGGACAGCCACTTTGCTTTCTTGCATTTCCTTTTCATTGGGATGGTTTTCGTTGCTGCCTCCTGTATAATGTTACAAGCCTCCATCTATAGTTCTTCAGGTACTCTGTCCAAATCTGAATCCTTAAAACTGCTCCTCACTTCCACTGTGTATTCATAAGGGATTTGATTTAGATTGTATCTTACTGGCCCAGTGGTTTTTCCTACTTTCTTCAGTTTAAGCTTGAATTTTGCTATAAGAAGCTGATGATCTGAGCCACAGTCAGCTCCAGGTCTTGTTTTTGCTGACTGTATAGAGCTTCTCCATCTTTGGCTGCAGAGAATATAATCAATCTGATTTTGATGCTGCCCATCTGGTGATGTCCATGTGTTGTATTGTTGGAAAAGAGTGTTTGTGATGACCAGCTTGTTCTCTTGACAGAACTCTATTAGCCTTTGCCCTACTTCATTTTGAACTCCAAGCTGGACTACAACTCCCATCATCCCTGACCACTGGTCCTGCTATCTAAGGATGACGGAAGTTGCAGTCCAACAGCAAATGGTGACCCTGGGCAGAGAAAGGCGGAGCTTAAATAGAGATGGAGGAGGCTGGCTCTTTGCATTTGCTATGCAAAGAAAACCATTTTTAAGGGGGGGGAACCCTCACCAATTTCTTGCCCTTTTGAAAAGGATTGCGGAGCAAGTACTTTTGGGTAAGTATGGAGATATCAAAGAAAACCCTGCATAAAATGCAGATTTCCTGCTTTCTATTTCTGTGGCAATCGGAGAACTGGAGCGCACAGGATAAGTTGAGAGAGAGAGAGAGAGAGAGAGAGAGAGAGAGAGAGAAGTGTGTTCAGTGTCTTCTGATGAAGGCTGGTATTAATAACAATCTCTCCAGGAGTAGGACTGGCCAGAATCTGAGCCCCCCACTAGTGTGGAGCCCTCTGTGGGCCAGGCGCCTTTGGTGGGCGGAGCCAGAGGGGAATGTGGGTGGAGCAACAAGTGTATTTTACCTTTGTACAGGAGGCTGATTTGTGCCCCACACTCGCCCCTTTCCATCCATCCAGATAAGAAGAAAGCCGCATCGGTGTTGAAGGGCACATCCCAGGCAGGCAAAACCTCTTGGGGTGGGAACCAATGTCAGGGAAGGGTGTGGCCCTTGGAGAGTTATGAGGGCCAGAGAGACAGAGGCCTGAGAAAGGCAGAGGGAGAACTTTATGCTGGAACAGGCCCCTTTTAAAGACATCCTGTGGTGCTTAATTATAGGATTTGGGGGTTTTTTACCTGCAAGTTTCTTTAGTATACCAGATGTCCCTCCATCATCAAGACTGTGCCTAGATCAGCAGTTTTTACACAAGTTGCTGTAAAATGCCCAAAGTCCAGGACACACCTGGCAAACTCTTTGGTGCTGCGCTTCCAGACTTCCTTGTGCAAAAACACAGCCTCATGTATTTTTAATCATTGTTGGAAGCCGCCCAGAGTGGGCGGGGTATAAATAATAAATTATTTAAAACAAGGATGTGGAAAAGGGGAGGTATGGGGAAGTCCAGGAAGTAAGGTGTATGAAAATAAGAGTATGGAATTATACATGTTTATATGTTTGTATGTTTGTGTATTGTCTATTGTTTGTTTTTTATTTTGTGTGTTGAAAACCAATAAAAATTTATAAAAAAATAAATAAATAATAAATTATTATTATTATCAGTATCATCATCATCATCACCATTTTAAAAGGGGGAACATTTTGTATAATTGGTTTAATCTCACAATGTACCAATGTAGGTTTTGTTGGCGTGACTTTGTGACACAGGGGAAGCTGGAGTGAGTTACAAGCCTCACAACCCCACAAATGCTTGCATTTTGCATATCTGGTTTGTCTGAAATCTTAATGTTATGCATCTGCATCTGTACACATAAAACACCATATTCTGCATAAGATGTTGTGTTGAAATGGTATTTGGGCAGGAGTCTCCCTTAGCTCCACCTGGAGATCATAGAATCATAGAGTTGGAAGGGATCCTGAGGATCACATAGTCCAACCCCCTGCAATGCGGGGATATGCAGCAGTCCCATATGGGCTTGGGTTGGCAAACTAAGGCCTGCAGGCCGGATCAGGGCCAATTGCCCTCTGGATCCGACCCGCGGACTGTCCTGGAATTGCTGCTTGGATCGACGTGATCATTTGGGCGGCACCATTTTATTTTAGCAAAAAAATTTAGGCGCCATTTACCCCCCCCCCCCACACACACACACCACTGCGGTGCCTCCTCCCTCCTGGCTTCTCCCCACCCTGCAGAGGGAGCTGGGCTTTGATTGGTGCCAGCCAGTCCGAAGCCTCGCCACCCGTGTGCTGAGGTGCAGCCCAGACTCGCCACCCGCCCACCGGCCTCTCCGTCCATGGCCATGCTGTGGGCATCATGATGGGCGCGCCGCGGGGCTTTGGCTGGAGCTTGGCACGCCTGTTGGCCCCATGCCTGGCGCCCGGGAAAGCTGGCCTGGAAAGGAGAGGTGCCACCACCACCGCTGGCTCCCAACCACAGGCAGAGTGGCAGAGGAGGTAGGAAAGCAGGGGGGGAGGGGCTGGGGGAGAGAAAGAAGCCCCCCTCCACCACATGCGTGTGTGTGTGTGCGTGCGCACAGTCCAGCCCGCCACAAGGTCTGAGGGGCAGTGAACAAGCCCCCTCCTGAAACAAGTTTCCTCACCCCTGCATATGGGGATCAAACCTGTAACCTTGGCATTTGTATTGCTCAAGCAATACCTGAAAGTGGCATTTCTCAATCTCGAGGTAATTGCAGCAGTAAATCTTTATCTCTGGCCGTGGCAGAAATCTGTCGTTAGATGGTGCATCTGCTTCCAACGCAGCTTTGCTATAAATCTACCTGTACAATGAGGAGGAGTTAGTTGGCGTCAAGCACAGGTCTAGCCAGCTGGCCTGATAAGCAGAGGAGTCAACTAGCGGACAGGGCTTCCTTGGCCCAGCCACTGAACTGGCACTTTGACATGAACTTTGGCTTGCTGCTGAGAACAGAGGGGAGGAAGGATGGTATCATGCGAGCACCTGTACAACCTGGCATGGAGTCCTTTCTTTTGTCTATAAAAGCACCGACCTGAGGAGATGAGTTTAGTCTCTGAAGAAGCACCGAAGAGCTGAGAAACTAGAAGGAACAGAAGAATCAGCAGTGCAGGGACTGACCTCTTTTACCACCCAGGTGTGTGACCTGCCCACCAGCCTGAAGTGTCGGAGCAGTCTCTTAGTGGTGGGCAGGATGTGCAGTTGAGCTCATGCCCATTAATATTGTTAGTATTTGCCAATCAATAAACCACTTCCTCCTTTATCTATCAGTCCACCAGTCTTCCATCTGCTCGGATCCAAAAGAAATCCCTGCTTGCTCTAACCATTAGACAGCAGAGCACAGCAAGACAGTATTATCAGCACCATGCTCTCATCAAATGAGCAACCAGGCGATGCAGGGATATTGAGCTTGAGATCTTTTGCATGCAAAGCAAGAACTCTACCGAGAACACAAACTGCCTCTGAGAAGTTGTGTACTACTAAGAAAGAGATGTCAATGAGCTCTTCAGGCAATGGCGAGTGTGAGGTTTGAATGCAGAAAGTGCAGCCCTGAAGGATTGGCCAGAACCCAAGATCTGAAACCACTGTTTGAATTGGTGCTCATAAACCACAGGTTATACTTCCAAAGGCTAAATGTTGCATCTGATTTCAGTAAAAGCCCAGCTGTGAAGCTTTTGTAACTTTTGCAGCAGGGGCAAAACACCTGGAAGAAACAGCACTACCAGCAGCAGAATATTCCACTGGGAAAGGCTAGGGAGGAGGACAGCCTGCTCCAAGGGTACCACCAAGGCTGAAGCAGAACTCCTTCCTTTTCACCAAGACCCACTCCATAACCCAACCAAGCCAGAGAGTGCTCCTGCCACATGGGTCCCAGCGAGAAGCATCAAACACCCAGAATTGTTGGAGACTTTTTATTCAGTTCCGTACATTTGAATATGGCGCATTTGTTCACCCTGAACAGGGGCAGAGGGAGCACCTGGGAAAGAGAAGTCTGCCCATGTCCTTCCGCAGGGAGTTTTCTTCTGCAATGATAAATTTCTTATTTGATAAATAGAAGGCTGCTCCCTCAATTCAAGTTATGTACAAGAACAAGAATTCCCTTTTCCGTACCAGGACAACTGATCTCCATATCTACTCTGTCAAAGGGGGCAGGGAAGCACATGAAGATAAGTCCGCTCCAAATGTGAATGATTATCTGCTCCAGGGTTTCAGTTTGCTCCAAGGAAGGGTGGTTTATCACCTCCAGCCCAGAAACAAATTCTGGGGAACTCCCCTACCCCCGCTACACACAAAAAAGCAAAGTCCAGATCCTCTGTACATTCATTGTCCAATACATCGTTTTGGGTTTCCCTCTCACACAGAGAGATCCAGTCCAGATGTTCTTACCCAGATGTGCCCCAAGAGGAAATCTATGCTGGTTGAATTCTTGTGGCATTTGTCCCCCCTGTTCACCTCTGAGAATTCTCAATCCGGGGGTGGGGAAGGGGCTTTACATTTTAGCCCAATCAGAACCCTGGCACTTATTTGAGTGGGGGGGGGACACCAGTGGATGGGTGCAGCACATCTATGTCCCCCTTTTGCTACAGTTCCCTGAACTCTAGAATCCCACTCCTTATCTGCCAACAGCAGACAAAATGGAAAGCAGTTCCATGAACCAAATCAGATTGGATTTTGGACCCCCCTCAAAAAAGTGGCACCATATATTTTGGCCAGCCTCTCCCCACTATTCTACCCAGGCTGCACTGAAAAAGGAGCTCCCACAGGCCCAATGCAGACCCAACACTTAATTAACCATGGTCCATTGTCCTCAACCACAATTAAGTGTTTAGTCTCAGTACCTAAACCATGGCTAGGGATAGGCTGCAAACCAAGATCTGAAACCATGGTTTGTAGTGGGGCTCATAAAACAGTTTATGTTATTAGTAGCTAACCGTTACATCTGAACTGAGTGAACACCATGGTTAAGGCAGTTTCCCTGCCCCTTTCTTTCCATATTACTGAGATGCACCCCGTGGGAGAAGGATTTAGCTTGGCAAATTCAACAGAGGTTTCATTGGATACCTGGAACCTTAATCAGCATTAAGGCAGCAAACCACAGCCAGGGCTAAACCACAGGAAAGCATTCTGCCTTCACTGTGTAATAGTAAAGGTGCAACAGAACACATGTGCCTTGAATGGAAGTTCCCATGGGAAATGGGATTGATACCCCAGAGATGGATGAAGAATTCAGAGGTCGAAAGAGCTTTTTGCATCACCACAGCTCTTAAGGAAGAAACAGGTAAGAAGAGGGCAACTGTGATTGGATGGGCTTCAGAAACAGGCCCACCCAGCACAATTATGGTGCACCCGATGGAAGAGACTAAATGGAAATGGGAGTCTAAACTGGAACAAGCAAGGAACGGGGGGGGGGGTGTCATTCAGGCAGGTTATTGGGCTAAACAAAGACCCTTTGTTGCTGTTCTCTGATCCGAAGGGCTGGCATTTCCTGCTTATTGGGTCCCCTTTGTAAAGACACCCTTGGCCTTGGCCTATTCACAGCAGCTGTCCTTTGGCATCAGGTGACCATGCCTTGCATGCTGGGGGCTCTCAGATCTGTCTGCCCTCCCAGGCAGGTGCCAAGCAGAATTTCCCCTGTGCTGTGGAGTTCTTGAATTCCAGCCCAAGGCATATCCTCTATGGAGGAGACTCCTTCCCAGATATCTTTTATGTTGCCTGAGGGTTATAATAGTTGTAATCATCATCATCATCAGAATAATACTAATAATAATATTATGGCTCTCATTGTGGGAGGGTGGAGATTTGTGAAACTTACAAGTGCTTCATGCTGTATATAAAAATGGTTACATATGTACATATAAACACACACAAATACACTCACTCACTCACTCTATGCTGTGATCAAAGGGAGAAGGCCGGGTGCCACTTTGTCCAGAAACATGGAGAGAGCAAATGGGCAGCCTTTGGATCTGCTCCCTTTAGTTCTTCACACCCAGGCCTCTGTCCTGAGCTGGAAAGAACAGTCCTAGCCACCTGGGAAGCTGCAATACAGTTGGGGTTTGTAAGCTGGGGACAAGTGTGGCTGACATTTCCCTCTTCCCTTGAGGCACCTCTCGGCAGCAGAGTAGGAAGCATAGTGAGCCGAAATCTTTGGAGATCCCTCAGGCAAGCAGGAATCTCCAATGTTTCATTTGCTTAAAGGAAGATTTAGTGTAAGGAGAGATATGGGATTGACTGGCCTTTCAGGAACTGATAGCTTGCTTCAGGGATGGAGAACCTGTGGCCCTCTAGATCTTCCTGGACTACAACTCCCATCATCCCTCATCATTTGCCACACTGGCTGGGACTGATGAGAGCTGGAGTCCAGCAGCTTCCAGAGGGCCACCAGTTCTGCACCACTTGCTTTTGTGTTGCAAAAAACAAGAGGAGAAGCTGAGATGAGTAAGTCATTGGAGTCAAGACTTAGCCAAGCAGTGTCTGATGATACAAGCTGGGCTTAGCCCTTGGGCAGGAACTGAGTGACTTCTGAGATCACTGCATAAAGAGCTGAGCCAAGGGCCCATTAACCCTTGAGTGGCTGGCCTGTGAGTGAAGGAGTGGAAGTTGGTGAGCCTCAGAAGAGCTACTGGTTTACTTTTCATGTGGGACAGAGTAGGACCTGGTCATTGGATTACAGTCTGAGAAGCAACTAAGTAAAGGTGACACAGAAGGGGGAAGGTGTTAAGCTTGCAGACACTGACACAGACTTCTGTGAAAGAAAATACAGTGGAATAGGGGCCAAGACAAGGGTTCTCTTCACGAAGACCATCTAAGGAGTGTCCAACATGGTGCTCTGCGGATGCTGCCGGACTACAACTCCCATTGTCCCTGACCACTGGCCATTCTAGCCAGGGCTGACGGGAGCTGGGGTTCAGTAACATCTGGAGGGCACCTCAGTGTCATTATATCAGCAAAGAGTTTGGGTAGTACCATTAAAAACAGAGCTGTTTGGATTCAGGAAACATGGAACAAGCAACGAAGAGTGATCATCTAAGCACTGCAGGACAAGTAAGTATGAAATGGAGGGTGGGGGGTGGATGAGGCCCAACCCACCAGGGACTTCTCCTACACATGCCTGGTTGAAATAAATGGCACCTGTGTTTAAGCTCCTGGTGGACAGGGCCAGCAAAGGCAAAGGAAGAAGACCAAACCCTGAGTATAAGCAAGCAATGCAAGAGGCATGACCGGTCGACAGGAGTAACTCAGCCGAGACTGACAGCGTGGACTGAGGGTGTGGGGAGAGCCCAAGCGAGGCACAAATCAAGACCAAAGGAAGACACAAGCAAGAGAAGAAAACATGGGACTTGGCTTTGGTGTGAGGAGAAAATCGGGAGGAGCAAGTAAGTGGCAGATCTAATTGGAAGCAGTGGGGGGGGGGGCTCGCTGTAGCAGAAAAGCCAGGCAGATGAATAATCTTGATAGGGATCGAGTTGGCTAGGAAAAGATGGGATTGTGTTCTGTTCCTTGAGGATACCTGCTTGCCTGTTCAACACTTGGACTCCTAAACAAGTATCCGCAACGGGAAAAGATCTTGCCCCAAGTCCACAGAAAGGTGATTGAGACTTGGGGGTGGGGGAGACAGAAAATTCACATGAAAAAAAGAGCTTCCCTTCTTCCAAATCACTGACGTTGTTCACAGCTCCAAGATATACAGCGGATTAGGACCCAGACACAGTGGGCCCCATGCTTCTCCTCCCTCCTCCTCCGTGCTTCTCTCCCCCGGTCCAACCAAGTGGGGAGGGGGGTGGGCTCCCTTGTAGTTAATACTGTACACTCCCCAGAAATGGAGAGGCGAGGGCAGGGGTGTCTCTCTATAGATATTTGCAAATATAATATTTATAGTATTGCATTGAAAAAATAAAACTTAAAAAATAAAATGAAACACCACGTTGGGGGGGGGGAGTCCATTCCGCAGCAGCAGAGGGCATCCGTGCCTGGCTGTCGGGTGCTGGGGCAGGCTGCACTTCTACTTGGCATCGTTGCCCCCAGCCCTCACCCCTACGAAATCCCAGCACAAGTCCTTGCTCCACCGTCTGATATGGAGAAGCCGGCAGCGGGAGTGTCCGCGGGGTGGGGGAGCTGTCTTAGCTCCTGCCCCCACCAACCCCAATCCACAGGTTTCAAAGCAGCAGGCTTGGTCGTCCGTTCTGCCCATTCACTGCAGGAAAACAGCAAAGGGTTATGGGCATCTAAGAATCTAAGCATCTAAGAAAAGGTTGGGCAGATTTCCTGCATTGGCAGGGGGCTGGACTAGATGACATTTCTGGATCTATTCCAGCTCCAAGCTTTCTAGAAGGCTTTGATCTCCCTGAAGTGTTTCCCAGAGATTCTTACAACTACGTAGGGAGCAGCTCTCTGTAAATGCATGTTTTCCATACGTTATCTCGGTCATCCTTACAATCACTCTACAAGGTAGATGAGCACCATATTCCCACAATGCAGATGAGAGACTGAGACTCAGGGCGGCATGCCTGAGGCCCTCTTGGTACTGAGTTTGTGGTGGAGGGCCGTCCTGGCTCACAGCTCAGCCTCTAGGCCTCCGTGCTCTGCTCCGTGTGCTCTTTGCACCCTGGCTCCCTCCCCGCACCTCCAGCGCCTGACCTCTCTTCTCCCTGCTTCTGATCCCAAGTGATACAGCGCCCACGAGCTGGTGTGTATCGGGGTTGGTGGGATCAGGGATGCAGAAAGGACCACAACCATATGCTGATGAGAGAGGGGGGAGCCACCTTGTCATGCTGAGAACAGGAGGGGGTGCTGATGGAAGAGAGGCGGCACATATACCTGACCTGGTGGCTAAAATTCAGTGTCCACTACCCGGAACGCGGCGCTGCCTGTGGGAGAGGAGAGACCGTTCACCGCACAGTTGTAGACAATTGCTACAGGGACTGTACAGCTGCATCTCTAACCTGGAAGGTGGGACCAGAGCTCTCCCCCACCTGTAGCTGGCCTTGGGGAGAGGAGAAGGGGCAAGAGGCAAGGAAGAGGCTGTCAAGGACAAGCTTGCCCCTTACCATGCCGAGTGGCAGGACTACCTGTTCACAAGAGGGAGGATGGAGAGAGCTTCCGTCCAGAGCCAAGGCAGAGAATCTAAGCAGCACCCATTCCCCTCTCATGCATTAACACCCAGGGGCATAATCTGCGGGGAAGTTCTCCTGCACAAGTCTGTGGTGGGGTCTCTCTGCTTCCTGCTCTGGCAACTGCAGCTGCCTCGCCTTGGCCTCATCCAAGGACTGACTCTGGCTTGGGTGACTTCTGAGTAGGAAAGGATGGGGAGGAACGTTTGGGGAAAGTGCTGGAGTAAAAGTGGGTGGGGCTTGATTCCCAGTGGGCGGGGCTCTCATTGCTCAGGAGTAGCCTCTCACCTGATTCGGGCAGGGAAGCCGATCTCAGGCCCGTCTCTTTCTGTAACTGAATCTCCTTTAGTGCAAATATTGACGTTGCTGCAAGAGGAGGAGATGGAAAGGAAGAAACACAAGACCACGTGAGAGCCTTTTACAGGAGCTGCTAGTCTGCAAAAATAATGGGAGAAAGCATCTGAACTGCAGCTAAAATCCATTTGTGTGGGAACTCTTCTCAAAATTGTGGGTTTTCCCTACTAGGCTCCTTTGGGGAGGTGGGATATAAATTTAATAAATAAATAATTAGATCTCTAGATCCACATTTTTTAAACACATTCTTCAATTAGGGACGGGGCAGGTTGCCTCTCAACAATGACACTTAATATATTAAAAATTCAGATCAATTTTGAAAGTGTGTTAAATCTTATTGCAGCTTAGGCTCAAACTATACATTCTTCATCAACCTTCAGCATTAAGAGGAAAAATAATACGGTGATCAAATGATTTTTTTTATTAACTGCTTACGTAAGTTAAATGATTAACTGATTAAATTTAAATAACCTTTCCCAATTAATAGTAGGAAATGCCACCTAATCTCCTGCAATGATTTTGCAAAGTTTTTTGCAGATAAAGTTACTCATATTCGGAAGGAGGTAGACTCTACTGTGGCAGCAGGGCCGGGGTGGGAGAGTGCTAGAGCCCTGTCTGGTTGAGTTGCATAGAATCAATTTCAATCTGTTACCCCCGAGGATGTGGACAGGCTGCTTGGACGCGTGAAACCAACCACCTGTCTCCTTGATCCTTGCCCATCCTGGCTAATAAAAGCAAGCCGGGAAGGGTTGGGCGATGGGTTCTGTGGGGTGGTGAATGCTTCCCTCTGTGAGGGAACATTCCCAGATCCGCTGAAAGAGGCAGTCATTAAACCGCTTCTTAAAAAAACATCTTTAGACCCAGCCAGTATGGCCAACTATTGCCCAGTCTCAAATCTTCCATTCCTGGGCAAAGTGATTGAGCGGGTGGTTGCTGAACAACTCCAGGCACGCCTGAAGGATGTGGACCATTTGGATCCCTTCCAATCGAGATTCAGGCCTCATCATGGGACTGAAACTGCCTTGGTCGTGCTGGTTGATGATCTCCGGCGGGCTAGAGACAAAGGTGAGAGCTGTTTCCTAGTTCTGCTGGATCTCTCAGCGGCCTTTGACACCATCGACCATAACATTCTTCTGGACCGTCTAGAGGGGCTGGGAGCTGGGGCACTGTTATACAGTGGTTCCGCTCCTTCCTCCTGGGCCGTGTTCAGAAAGTGGTGGTGGGGGATGAGTGTTCAGACTCCTGGGCTCTCACTTGTGGGGTGCCTCAGGGCTCTGTCCTCTCCCTTATGCTTTTTAACATCTACATGCAGCCACTGGGAGAGATCATCAGGGGGTTTGGGCTGGGTGTTCATCAATATGCAGATGATACCCAGCTCTACCTCTCTTTCAAATCGGAACCAGTGAAGGCAGTGAAGGTCCTGTGTGAGTGCCTGGAGGTGGTTGGAGGATGAATGGTGGCTAACAGATTCAGGTTGAATCCTGACAAGACAGAAGTACTGTTTTTGGGGGACAGGGGGCAGGCTGGTGTGGAGGACTCCCCGGTCTTGAATGGGGTAACTGTGCCCCTGAAGGACCAGGTGCGCGGCCTGGGAGTCATTTTGGACTCACAGCTGTCCATGGAGGTGCAGGTCAATTCTGTATCCAGGGCAGCTGTCTACCAGCTCCATCTAGTACACAGGCTGAGACCCTCCCTGCCCGCGTACTGTCTCGCCAGAGTGGTGCATGCTCTGGTTATCTCCCGCTTGGACTACTGCAATGCGCTCTACGTGGGGCTACCTTTGAAGGTGACCCGGAAACTACAACTAATCCAGAATGCGGCAGTTAGACTGGTGACTGGGAGCAGCCACCGAGACCACATAACACCGGTCTTGAAAGACCAACATTGGCTCCCAGTACGTTTCTGATCACAATTCAAAGTGTTGGTGCTGACCTTGAAAGCCCTAAACGGCCTCGGCCTGGTATACCTGAAGGAGCGTCTCCACCCCCATGGTTCAGCCCGTACGCTGAGGTCCAGCACCAAGGGCCTTCTGGCGGTTCCCTCATTGCAAGAAGCAAAGCTACAGGGAACCAGGCAGAGGGCCTTCTTGGTAGTGGCGCCGGCCCTGTGGAACGCCCTCCTCTTAGATGTCAGAGCGATAAACAACTACCTGACATTTAGAAGACATCTGAAGGCAGCCCTGAATCAGAGAATCACAGAATCATAGAGTTGGAAGAGACCACAAGGGCCATCGAGTCCAACCCCCTGCCAAGCAGGAAACACCATCAGAGCACTCCTGACATATGGTTGTCAAGCCTCTGCTTAAAGACCTCCAAAGAAGGAGACTCCACCACACTCCTTGGCAGCAAATTCCACTGTCGAACAGCTCTTACTGTCAGGAAGCCCTGTTTAGGGAAGTTTTTAATGGATGACATTTTAATGTATTTTTAATTTTTGTTGGAAGCCTCTCAGAGTGGCTGGGGTACAAATAAATTATTATTATTATTATTATTATTATTATTATTATTATTATTATTATTATTTGCATCTAACTCTAATTGGCTCAACTGAGTTGATGTTATGGGTTGCCTATAAACATTCCAGCTTCATAGGGATTAAACCTCTCAGCAGCAAAGAAGGTCTACAGTCCGTATGAAGAGAAGGTTAAGGACCAGAAAGCTGCCTGTGTCGAGGGGAAGAGGAGACAAGGAGAAGGCTGAAGGAGAGCGGCAGCATAAGCTGAGATACATGCACCTAAGAGGGCAGGTGGGTGAAAAGGCTTCCAGGGCTTAGCCTGGGGCACCAAAGGGTACACCAGGTGGCAACACCTGGACCCTGAGAGAGCTCCTGCCCACTTAAGGGTGGAACAGAAACGGGTTGCTGCTCTGGAAACAAACCAGCTGGCGGGAGGGGGCAGAATTCCACCTCTTGCGCTGGCGAGCCAGTTCTTTCCCTTCCAACCAATCAGAAGCAAAATGGCTTCAAAATAAGCTATTTTTCCCTTAACTTTTAGCCTCACAGATCAAAACTTGCCTTCGCCAATTAATCAAGCAAAGCTCACCTGCCATTTAAACAAATCAAATCTGGCAGCCCTACAAAATAACAGAGGAACCTGAGAAATGGGGGGGGGGGGTCCTGCGCTCCCACTCCGGGGACAACAGATCACAGAGCATTATCAATACCATAGACCCTCACCCTGCTGGTCCGCCCTCAGAGGCCAAGACCACCTGCCCTTCTGTACATCCATATGCCCATCCCCATATCCCATAGTGCCGGCCTCCTTCCCTCTCTCCCTCCACAGCCTGCACCTACTGTCTGGGAGTTTGAGGACTCGTTCGCCCAGACTGTGGAAGAACAGGTGCCGCATGGCCTCGTCTGCAGAGATCCGCTTCCTGCCCTCAAACTGCGTCGGGAGAGAACAGGGAGGGGGAAGAAGAGAAGACGAGAGAGATCAACTGCTGTGCTGCAAAGAGAGGTGCCTGCCCTTCTGCTTCCACCAGGAATGCCATTCTGAGCGGAAGTGGGAATGTATAGCCATTTACCCAGGAGTAAGCTATGCCCAGCAGTCACCTGGCTGGATAGAGAGGACTCCTTCACCACATGTTCTAACCCCCACACCGGCTTTCCCCAGCCTGGTTTCCATTTTGTTCCCAAAGGGCAGCTGTGTTACATTTTTCTTGGCACAAACAACAAGCCCCTGAATATGGACAAGTGCAATGCCACATAAGGCTCACAGTCCTCAGTCCATTCTGCAATTCCCTGAGGAGGGCAAGGCCAGGCCATCCAGCCCCAGCAGAGAAGGCCTTCCTGTCACCTGAAGCTGCAAAGACAATAAAGGTCCGCATCCGGCCGGAGGGAGAGACAAAGAGGAGCCACAACTTCTCACCTGCAGCAGCTTCCCCAGGAGGTCAGCCCCTTCGCTATCCAGCCTGTGGAGATCCAGGAGAAAAGGAAGATCAGGCTCTGGAAGGGAAACGGAGGCCCTGCTTCCCAGGTGGAGGTGCTCAGCTGCTCCGCAAACAGCATTAATAGGGGCTTGTAAATGAGCAAAGTACATCTCAACTACGGGTTGGCAACTGGTTTGAAAAAGGGGCAGGTCTGGAGCAGGACTCAAGGGCCAGCAAGGTCCCCAGACCCTTCAGAGCCAAGACACAGGCAAAGGCCTTGTAAAGCCCCCAGAGCCAGTTTTGGCTCATGCATCAGTCAGCAGAGGAGGGGCACAAGCCGCCATCTCTGACAGAATCCATGTTCTGGAAAGGAGAGGGATAAAAAGCCTTTGATCTGCACCTCTGCTCAGGAGAAAGCAATGGAAGCCAGTGCATAAAAGGGGGGGGGCGGGTGTCTCTGGGATCAAGGGCCAAGTAGAAAAACAGCAAGAAGAAGAAGAAGAAGAAGAAGAAGAAGAAGAAGAAGAAGAAGAAGAAGAAGAAGAACCACCTGTAAGTACTTGGCAATCATTTCTAATGATTTCTATGCAATTTTACACACGTTTTACTTACTAAGCTAAACTAAATTACATTAATTAACAAAAGTATCTTTTGAATTCCCACCCTTCATTTGGGGAATTGGAAAGTTGAAAAGTTCAACCCACCCTAACATTCCCTGAATGACAGGTTGACACTCACCTTGGGGCATGGTTGATGAGGGCCTCGGGACGGTATTTAGGGTAATTATAGGCTCGGAATTCTTCATTAGACTGGATTCCAGGCCATGTCTCTTCATTGGGAGTCCCTGGTGATGCAGAGGAGAGAAGGAGAGACCAGAAAAGAGTCATCTCAGGACACAGGCAGGTTGCCCTGTTGCCCTGAGCAGAGAGCGGCGCTGATCCTGAAACAGGACTTTTAAGGAGCACCCACACCAGCACTTCTGCCATGTTTACTTATGTATATGTTGTCCTTTATTGATTGACTAGCAGAGTTGTTTGGGAATTCTAAGAAACAAAGAAATCAGTGGTTAAAATCAGTGAAGTCTTGAAAGGCTCAGCCTGCCATCTTGATCCAAAATGGCATCCAGCTGAATCTTTGATCTTCTTTGATCTCAGAAATCACCATGCAAAATTTGGTTACAATACCCTAAAAGCTATCCAAATTCATAGCAAGTAGACAAGCAACTTGCTAAAATATATAATAGACTGGTTATCGTTATGGATTTATTATGGTAATTATTGATCAACTGAGTTGTATCCCCCTCCTTGTATAGATTCCTCAAAGCAGCTTAGAAGACTCCTGTGAATCAGCAGTCTAGTCTTCTGTAAGGCCCTGCTGCCTCTCCCCACTGATCTCTCGGCAACACAGCAGTCCCATCAAGGTCACCCCAGGACCATACCCAATATCCGAAAGATGAAGTGCAGCTGCTCCTCAACTGTGGAGCCTGGGAAGAGCGGCCGTCCTGTGGACATCTCATAGAAGATGCAGCCCACACCCCTGTGAGGAGAAAGACAAGGACATCACTGGGAGGAAGTTCAAAGCAAGGACCATGCACTTTAGGCTTTAAATCAAAACCCTGATTCTCTCCAGTGGATCAAAACATTATGTTCCAAGAAAATCCAAATTCTGCCACTTGAATGTGCTATGCGACTTAACCAAATATGTATCTATTTCTTCATTTTGAAGCACCATTTTCTGGTGAAGAAGAAGCAACAGAGGTTTTCCACAGTCAGTGGGTGGAGCAGCTTCTGGATTCTGCACAGATCTTTGTCCCACCCATGAAAATCAGAAGCAGAATTAGAAAGATATAAGAAAATATGCAAAATTCACATAATTTCAAGAGGGTGCAGAATTAAACTTTTCTTTTTCTTTTTAAATCTTAATTATCATTTTTAATCATACAAAATTTGCACATTTACATTTACCAAAATACAAACCAAACATTTAACACCGACTTCTCTTCCATGGTTTGTTTTCATTATCATATATGTAAGGGATTTTCAAACTTGCCGCCTTTAGAGTATATTTTTTAGAACTAGTTGGCCAAAGACCTTCCCTGCATCTCTGCCATGGACCTTAGCCTGCATATTGCAGAGGATTCTGGCATGCATTGAGAAGGGCCAGAAATATCTCAGAAACAAGTAGGGCCTGCAACTAAATGTTACAGCGCAGAGTCCTCCTCACTAGCACCATGGCAATGCTTAGTCAGCATCTATGGCCAGTGAGCATTCTCAGACTTCATGAGGCAAGTGGGGAGGGGTTTCTCTCCTTCTGTTCCGCTCCTGACCCCTCCCCAATGTACAGTGGTACCCCAGTTGTCAAATGTAATCCGTTCTGGAAGACCGTTCGACTTCCGAAACGTTCAACAACCGAGGCGCAAAGAGCGGTCGGCAAAGCCAATGGAGAAAAAAGGGGGGGAAACGCAGCGGAAGCTGTTTGACTTCCAAGGCACGTTCGAAAACGGAAGCAATTACTTCCAGGTTTTTGGCATTCCGGTTCCGAAATGTTCGGCTTCCAAGACGCTTGAAAAGCAAGGTACCATGTACTTCTTTCTGCAAACCTTTGGATTCCCCTCACCGTGCCCCAAGCTTTCTGGTATCTCCCTTTTGTTTGAAGAGGGTACCATTTTGGAGCTGCTGTTGGAGAGTCTCGTTAACTCTCTTATCCTCTTCCCTGGCAAATGTCCCCTTGGGAGGCCACCTGACACTTAGAATCCTTGTTTTGAAGCATAGAAGAGAAGGCATTCCAGGGCAGGGGCAGCCAATCAGATGTCCTCTAGATCAGTGTTTCCCAACCTTTTTTGGGCAAAGGGACACTTGTTTGATGAAAAAAATCTCGAGGCACACCACCATTACAGCCCCGTGACGTCAGCGCGCAGCGTCACGCCGGGAGGGACGCACGAAAGTGTAACTTTCAATAATTTTCCCTCCCCCTTGCCGGGGAACCTCCAAGCTTTGGGGGTGGGGGGGGAGGAGGCAGCAAAGCGAGGGACTGAGGGGCTCCTCCAACGACAAGGGTTGGGGAAGAAGAGAAAGGGCTATTCCGCTCCAGTCACGGGAGGGGAATATGTACTGGCCCAACTGGTGTGCGGTCTTCGGAAAGCGGGGTGCGGGAAGGAAGCCTAGGCTCGGGGTCATAGAATCATAGAATCATAGAGTTGGAAGAGACCACAAGGGCCATCGAGTCCAACCCCCTGCCAAGCAGGAAACACCATCAGAGCACTCCTGACATATGGTTGTCAAGCCTCTGCATAAAGACCTCCAAAGAAGGAGACTCCACCACACTCCTTGGCAGCAAATTCCACTGTCGAACAGCTCTTACTGTCAGGAAGTTCTTCCTAATGTTTAGGTGGAATCTTCTTTCTTGTAGTTTGGATCCATTGCTCTGTGTCCGCTTCTCTGGAGCAGCAGAAAACAACCTTTCTCCCTCCTCTATGTGACATCCTTTTATATATTTGAACATGGCTATCATATCACCCCTTAACCTCCTCTTCTCCAGGCTAAACATGCCCAGCTCCCTTAGCCGTTCCTCATAAGGCATCGTTTCCAGGCCTTTGATCATTTTGGTTGCCCTCCTCTGGACACGTTCCAGTTTGTCAGTGTCCTTCTTGAATTGTGGTGCCCAGAACTGGACACAGTACTCCAGGTGAGGTCTGACCAGAGCAGAATACAGTGGCACTATTACTTCCCTTGATCTGGTGGACTTGTCCAAAAGTGAATGCCTTCTGGGAAATGATCTATAATGAGTTAAAAAAGGTATTTAAGTATACCTTTCCCAAGAAACCAGAGGCCTTCCTCTTGGGCATTGTTGGCCAGAAAGTGTTAAAGAAGGATAGAACTTTCTTTATGTATGCAACTACAGCAGCAAGAATACTTATCGCAAAATATTGGAAGACACAAGATTTGCCCACACTGGAAGAGTGGCAGACGCAATTGATGGACTACATGGAACTGGCTGAAATGACTGGCAGAATCCGAGATTTGGGAGAAGAAACAACGGAAGAGGACTGGAAAAAATTTAAGGACTATTTACAAAAACAATATAAGTTGTATGAATGTTAAAAATTTACACGATTCGGAAACTATAGCTTCAGCAATTAGATTTGGGAAACAGGAAATTATATTTTAAGTAAGAAAAGGTCAAAATCTAAGGTAATACTATGTTTAATTTAAGATATAAGTAACTGATGAAAAGTATGTTAAATTTAGAGGTATAGTATTTGAAAAGTACAAAATAAGGTACGAAACAAGGTAATAATTTGCTGATATCTTTATTATAAAGAATGCAGGGTAAGGGAGATGCGAGGAAGCCCAGTTAGTTATATAAAAAATGTGTTGAATGGTTGGTTTTATTTTCTTCTTTTTCTTTTTTTCTTTTCTTGTTCTTTTACTTTTTTCTTCAGTGTATGTTTCTAACTTTGTATTTGAAAACTTAATAAAATATTTATATATAAAAAAAGGGAAAATCCTTTCGCTTTTCTGGGGTGCAGGGAAGTCTCAGAGCCGGAGGTTGGGGAAGGGACCCCCTTTGCTCTGCCCTCTTCTCCCGTCTTAGATTCGCATGGGGGTCCCCGCCCGAGCTTGCCTGGCCACCGGGCCACACAAGGACCGCGCTCTACGCGGCGCACCTTGCTAGCCGCGCAGCTGTCCTCCGCTGCGCTGCCAATGACAAGCGGGCGACGGTCGCGGGCAGGGAAGGCGTCGCTTTCTTTCCCGATCCTTCATCCTCCCAGTCTTCCAGCCCTTTTTTGGGTTGGAAGCTCGTCTCGTTCGCCCTTCTCCTTTCTTCACCCTGCGCGCAATTTTCCTCCCTCGTCTCCCTCCCCATTTCTCCTTCCTTCCTTCCTGACTGACTGACGGGCTCGGGCTCGGGCTCGGGCAGCCACAGCGTCGGCGGTGTTGGCGCTCGGCGGCGCGGGGGGATGGCCCTCCCGGGGGAGCCGGCGCTGCTCAATGGGGTTGTCAAGGAGACAGGCCGGGCGCCCCCCTCCCCCGGCCCGGCGCCCCCCGCCGCGCCGGTGCCCGTTATCGAGCTGGTGCGCGCCCGGCGCCCTATAAAAGCCACGGACGCGCCAAGCGTCGACACGCAGAGCCAGCGCGGCAGCGGCGCTCTGCTGGAGGGGGCCCCCTCAGGCCCCATGGAGCCTATGCGCTCAGGAGGGGCCGGTGGGCTGGCAAGCGCCTCACAGCAGCAGCACCAGAGAGGGAGAGAAGTCCGCCTCCCGCTGCCGCCGCCTCTTCATCCCCAGCAGCAACTTCCCTGCCCGGCTCCCCGCCGCCGCCGCCGCCGCCTCCTTCTCTCCCTGCTTTGCAGTAGCAGCCGCCGCCGCCGCCGCCGCGGCACACCAGGCAACATCTCCCGGCACACTAGTGTGCCGCGGAACACCGGTTGGGAAACACTGCTCTAGATGTCGTGGACCACAACTATCATCCTCCCTGACCTCTGGCCAGGCTGGCTGACTAATGGGAGCTGGAATCCAGCAAGAGCTGGAGGGCACAACATTGGCTATGCCAGTTCTAGGATGTGCACCCAGTTCACCACACTTTGCATGCTCTTGTTCCTGCACATTACAGGGGAATGTCACATTCCAGTGGGCAAGTTGTCCTTCAGAATGGCTTGTCTGCCACCCCTGGTCTCTACATGGAGGGATTGGGGACAAACTTCTAAGGAACTCCACCACAGTTTGTGTTCCTAGCGGGCCACTGTGACTCAGCTACTGGCTCCATGCATTTGTTTGCCCCTAGCTTCAGTCTCCTTTTTTAGCTCTGCAGTTTCCTGAGATCCAAGCGGCTCAGCTCTAGGCATTCACCGCTGTTTCCTTTACATGGCCTCTGTTTACTTACGGTAAAGGTAAAGGGACCCCTGACCATTAGGTCCAGTCGTGACCAACTCTGGGGTTGCGGCACTCATCTCGCTTTACTGGCCGAGGGAGCCGGCATACAGTTTCTGGGTCATGTGGCCAGCACGACTAAGCCGCTTCTGGTGAACCAGAGCAATGCATGGAAACGCCGTTTACCTTCCTGCCGGAGAGGTACCTATTTATCTACTTGCACTTTGACGTGTTTTCGAACTGCTAGGTTGGCAGGAGCAGGGACCGAGCAATGGGAGCTCACCCCATCGCGGGGATTCAAACCGCCAACCTTCTGATCGGCAAGTCCTAGGCTCTGTGCCATCTGCGTCCCTCTGCGCCATCTGCGTCCCTCTTTACTTAAATCACCTTTTAAAAAGACAAGAACCATGCAGAAAACAGACTGCACCCCTAGATGGGGAACCTGTGGCCTTTCAGATGTTGCAGGACTACAGCTCCCATCTCTCCTAACCATAGGCCAAGCTAGCTGGGCTAAAGAGAAAGTCCAACAACATCTGGAGGGTCACAGGTCCCCCATCCCTGTGGGAGATGACAACTGATGGGCAAATGGAAAGTACTATCAAAATTCATGGATTTCAACCACAGGGAGGGAGAGCTGGCCACAGGCTGCTGAATCCTTACCACATGTCAATCTGGGTGGAGTATTCTGTCGAGCCCAATAGTATATCTGGGGGTCGGTACCAAAGTGTCACCACTTCATTGGAGTAGGTCTTGGTGGGAATGGATTTTGCCCGGGCCAGTCCTGGGAATGTTAAGTTGCATTGCATTACATTTTACATTTCATTACATTTGTTAGTAAATGTTGCAGAGCAAGGGCAGAGAGATAATTAGTACTCACCAAAATCTGCTAGTTTGAGCTCCCCTCTCTCATTAATGAGCAAGTTCTGGGGCTTGAGGTCTCGATGCAGCACCTTCTGACGGTGGCAGTAGGCGAGGCCACGCAGCAGCTGGAACAGGAACAGCTGGAGGAGGGAACAGAGCCATCTCAATGCTTTTCCCTCTAGTTCATCACTAGATCTGCCATATGCAGTACTTCTAACCAGCCATGGATGCAAAACGAGTGCATTTAGGAAAATGTTTCCAATTCATATAACTTCTTCAAACAGTGGGATTTTCTTTAGAAACATGCCTTTATTTTCTCAGGACAGTTCCACGTTCGTTTGATGGGGTCGCTACCAATAACCAGAGCACTGAAGGAGAACATGCAAAGCAAGTATCAAATCCCCCAGTGCAATCTCATGCTGAAGTGAGCTTTTGCCAGCAACATCCGTAAAGTTGCTTGCTACGCAGTAAAAGAATCCACTGAAACAGACTCAGTTGGGAGTCAGCAACTTACCTTCACATTGTGCATATTTATTACATTGCCGCAGTCGTCAAGATACTGTTTCAGATCTTTATCCTGGGGTGAAAGAAGACGCAGGATTGACAACTTTCCTCTTCATTAATTTAAAATGACTGATTTGTGCAAATAAGTCTGCAATCCTATGAGCACCTACCTGGAAGTTAGTCCCATTGAATTCAAGGGAATCTTACTTCTGAGTAAACATGGGCAGGATGGCACCCCTTATCGTTAAGACTATATGGGAATCCTTCAACCTACAGTGGGCATGGCATTCCCATGCAGTGGACTTGCCATAGGACTCAGCAGAATTCCCCCACCCAGGAATGTGCCCTGGACCAATAAAGTGAACAGAAGGTTCACATATCCCACATCCCCATCCTTTCCCCTGTGCCTACATGGTTTGCACCAGGCTGAGCAAGAGGGCTGGACGGGGATGTGGGAGTCACGTCCAAGCCCTCACCTCCATATTGGCCCAGCACTGGTAGTGGTCTCAGGGGCAGGGAACTGACACTTACTGTACTTCCTAGGTTTCAGGAGACTATCCTTGAAAAACTCGCCCCCACTTATGCTACAATAATTTCCTACTGAAGTGGCTGCTTCAGGAGGGCATTGAAAGCTACCTTGAGCATTCTTAAACCTATCATAAAACTGTAATTCCCAGGAGTCCTTGGGAGGAAGCCATGACAGTTTCGACACCCTCTCTATGTGCACTGTAGGCAACATCTTCCTTCAAACCAGCCAGGCTGTTCAAAATACGGGTTTTCTGAATGTTCAGCTTTCAGTCGTAAATAATTTGAGATGTTTTCATTCATAAAGAAGTATAAATTACAGTTACCATGCCCGCCCCTGTTTACTCACTAAATACTCGAAGACAAGCGTGAGGGATTTCTCTGTATGGATGATATCATGCAGGGTCACAATGTTGGCATGTTTCAGATCTTTCAGAAGTGAAACTGGAAAACAGAGAAAGAGAGGCACGTTGTGGGACGCGCAACAGAAGCACCTCTAAAGAGTTTAATGGAGCCATTCCTAAACTCTGGGCTTTGAGAGAAGAACAGCAAGCACACGACATGAAAGAGAAAGCTAGAAAGCTCTAGGGAGCCTAAAGCACCCACCAGGGAGGAGGTTATCTGCTGTGTCCCTGCATGATCCACTGCTCTGGACTTGCCGCTGCTTGGGGTGGGTAATTTTGCGCCAGTGTGCGCCAGTATGCCGTTCCCCTGCCTCTCCTGTTCTCTCTCAGCCTCGCCAAGGGCAGCAGAGTCCATCTTCCCCCTGCTCCCTGCAGACTTGGGGGGGGCCTTTGGGTCTGCCCTCTAGACACCTACTGGGTCCTACTGAGGCAGGTAAAGCTGTGAGAGGGAACTGGCTGAGCTGGGAGGGGCAAAGAGATCTGGTCACAGATCAGAAAATGACCTCTCTCGGCTGTGTGTACATTTGCTCCTGTCTTCCTTCCCTTCTTCATGTGAACCACACACGGGCACAGACATCCTTCTCTTTCTCTTCTTTTGCTCCCTAAGTTTTTTTAAAAATGGTTTGACCGACATGTAGTGGACGTGTGAACTAGGAGAGGGGTGAGGAGAACTTCAGGTCCAACAATTAAATCATGGCATAATAAGGTGTGGGATTGTGTAACAATGGCAAAAACTAACCTGTTTTAATTAGACTTAGAGAAAGAACATAAAAACAGTTAAAAGGAATATATTTTTTTCTAAAGTGGAGTAAGTTTATTGACAATTGCAATTTCTATGGAATATCTCTGTGTGTTAAAGAGGGGATTTTCAGTACTTTGACTGGAGATTAATGGTATCCTAGTTTTAACAACACACCCTCACTGGTTCCTTTGATTTGTTGCCTTGTTTTTATGCTTCTTTGACTGACTGACTGACTGACTGATGATGATGATGATGGATCAAGTTCTGCTAACCTCAGTTCCCCCAAGCCCACTGATACATCCTCCCTCCTGAGCATGGGAAAGGTGTGTGTGCACATGTCCTTATGGCTGCACATGCACCCCTGAACTTCACTAGCGAAGGAAAATGATAAGAACACTGCAGGAGATATTCCTCTTGTCGGCCACATCTGACTTACCCCAGAGTCTCTTCTGCTCTAACATGAATTCCTCTGGACTTCTGGCTGCTACAGTAATTTTTCTGGTCAATGCAAATATCTTATGACGAGTCTTTGTGTTCACCTGCATTTTCAGTCTGGGACGCCCTCCATTCATGGATGCAGCTGTTTGGCTCATCCAAACGTCTGCAGCCATTTCCACTTTCCACTGGCTGTGGAATTCTTGCAGCTGCTCTCTGAGACAGGCAGAAGGTGGAGGGGTCTCCGCAGATGGAGCAAGAGCCAAAGAGAGGCAGAGTTTCCCCCCATCTTCCTCTGCCTTGAGTTCTACAAGGGCAAACCTGAGACTGGTACAGGACGCTGTTGTCCAAGGCCATCCCTTGGACTGGGTACAAGGAAGGAAGTGGTCTGGTGATGGCAGAGTGCCCCAATGGACCAGAACCCACTGAAACTGGCTGACCCTTCTGATTTCAGGGAGTGTTGATGTACCTTCCCGAATGGCTGTGCAAGGTGCTCCTTCTTCGTGCTCAAGACGGATCTCCTTCAAGGCCACCAGGTTATCGGTGAGTTTACTCTTCCCCTTGTAGACCGTGGCGTACGTCCCCTTAATACAGCAAAGACAGAGCTCAGGCTAGCAGCCCAATGCCCAACCTCTAGTCAACTGGCCTCTCACCCCAACTCTCCTCCAAGTCCCAAGTTGCCCTGCAATTTAGTTATGCCCCCATGCCAGCAAAGAATAAATTTCACCAAAAAACCAGAGTGCAAAACGTCGTCTATGTAATTGCAGAAAGATGTTGTCAACACCAGGCTGGTCTGATCAGGGGAAGAAAGTTCTCTGCCCTAGAGAGGCATGATTTACTCTTGAATTCATAATCTTGGGTGCAGTTAATGCAATTCCCTTCTCTCATTTATCCTCTGAAGAGCCCTATGATGGATTCATTAATTGGCCCATTTTACCGAAGAAAGAGTTGAGGCTGACAAGAGATATGGGTCAACAAGGAGTTCTGGATAAGGGTGTTAGTGGCAATCCTGGAAAAAACGAGATTCCGTGTGCTTTAACGTGCTCTGAGTGCATGTGCTGGAAAGGATGGGTGACTGAATGGAACTCCCCAAGGCCATTCTGTAATTTGAACCAGGACCTCTTAAATCCACTGAACTAAAGGAACCCTCCCAGGCTGAATGGATCAAATCCACCGTGAGAAGTGATACTAAGGTGGGATGAGCTGGAGTCTTGTGGAGATAAAGGAACAAATGCCCTGGACTGGCCAAGCTCACTGCTCTAAGGCTAAGCCAGGGTGGTGTCCCGGGTTGAGTGCTGGGGAGATCCAGGTTCAAATCCCTGCTCCTTGACCTATGGCACGCCACCCTTTCGTGGCCTATTCTACCTCACAGGGTTGTTGTGAGGATATTAGGTACACCATCCTGCACTCCTTGGACTTGAAGGAAGAGCAAAGTAGAAATCAATACATTAAAGAGAGAGAGAGAAATATATTAAAATCAGCGTGAGAATGACCCCATCCCAGGTGCCCTGAGATGAAGCAAGCCGAGCTGAGTGGCCATCCCCAGTGTCTTCTAGACTGGAATTCGTTCTCAGCTCCGCCTTCCGGAGGAGGACGGTCTGGGCACTCACTTCTCCCAGCTTGTCCAGCTTCACATACGTCTCCAGCTTCCCAAAGCCAATCTCCGACTGCACAAGAAAGCACAAAGAGACAGGGTGGGAGGGGCTGCCTTCTCCAGCCGGGGGGCCCTACTGCACTAGCACCCCTCCAACGTCTTGGTGATTATTGGTGCTTGTCATAGCAGGAGGACGGTTATAGGTGATAAAGACTTTATCCCACCTTTTTTGTGCTGCAGAGAAGGTGGCAAGCAGGTGGGAGCTCTGGGAAAGAATGAATGTGACTCTACCACTAAAGCACCATTCCAGCATCAATGACCCATTGCAGAATCCACCTACAGTTGGGAGGGGCTCCTGGTCACTGTTCCTACTGCAGTGAAAGGACAGAGTAAGCAGCTGGGGGGAGGCTATAAGTCCTTGTCTTAGCCTTTAAAGCCCTGAATGGCATGGGGCCAGGTGACCAAAAGGTTGCCTTCTCCCATACACACCTGCCCAAACCTCTTTAGAGACCCCCAGCAAGTGAGATAAGGAAATGGCTATTAGGAGAAGGGCCTTTTCAGTGGTGGTGCTCTTTAAGCTCTTTCTGGTGCCAGGTGAATACCTTTCTTTATTCTCCCATGCCTTCATAATCTGTGATCTTTAAAGATCTGAAAGCTGGATTAGCGGAGGTGCTGTTTGCGCAAAATGAGGCCCCCCTTGCTCAATGCGGCTCCCCCCCACCATCTGCTGTAGAGGGTTGGGGGAATCCCCAGAATGGGGCAGGGCAGGGAAGAGGGTGAAAAGTCCTGTTTTGCACACAGACTTCCTTCGACACACGCAGACCCACAAAGCACAATGGCAAATTCCAACCTGAATTTTGATCCCAGTGATTGCATATTTTTGTATTTTTAGTTCTACTGTGAATTTTATTTCAGCATTCCTGCCTCTGCTGAAAATGTATACACAGTCATTGTTTTCATGATACTGTTAATATTGTGTTTTATCGTTTTATTTGGCCAACCACCCAGAGAACCATGTCATGGGGGAGGGGCACTATAAAGAAAACCCAAGTGAACAAATTGCATTTAAATCTGACTTACCAAAGAGACTCTCCGTAACCGTCTGCTCAAGGGCTTGTCAAACAGGGGGCTGTTTAGAGTGAGCTTCTCGAGGTAACCTTCCGGCAGGCGGATATCAGCGGGAAGTGACAGGCGCTTGTTAATGTCCTGGAGAGGGGAGGAAAATGGGGTCCAAATTCTGGGGGCAGAACTAGAGCTTGTAAACCCTCAATGAAGACTGGTGTCTTCTGAGGGCTTTCTCTGCCGTTGGGCCACTGCAGGATTCCCTTCTGAAGGGCACGCCTCAGGATGTCTCAGCTGGCAGAGCCTGAGACTCTTAACCTCAGGGTTGGGGCTTCAAGATTCCTGCATTGCAGGGGGTTGGACTAGATGACCCTCGTGGCCCCTTCCAATCCTACAATTCTATGAATCAGGCTTTCACACAGGCATTCCTCAGAGCATTAGGAGATAATTCAGCTGCATCGGTGTGACTTTTACCTGCCTGATTTCACAGAAGGTTAAAAGTGCCGGCTGAGGGACTATGGTCCATGTATGGTGGGGCTGCAAAAAAGTTAAAAGATTCTGGGAATGTATCCACAGTGAGTTAAAAAAGATGTTAAAAATTTCTATAGAGAAAAAAACCAGAAGCATATTGGGTATCTTAGGAAAGGATATCCCACAAGATAAGAAAAAATTATTCTTATATGCCACAGCTGCAGCTAGACTACTACTTGCAAGGAACTGGAATGGAAATATTATCCCCACAAAGGAAGATTGGATATGTAAATTAAGCAAATTTATAGAGTTGGTGAAGTTAACAGCAACCATAAGGCACCAGACTAATCAGAATTTAAGGTCGGAATGGCAATGCTTTGAGGATTACATGAAAAAATTACCTGTTCTAAGGATAATATGTTGATATGTGTAGACTAAGTTTGTAAAGTAGAACTCGAAAAAAGTAATATATTAAGGATGACCAAAAGATGCAATGTTAGTAAGAATCTAAAGATTAAGAGATGATGAGTAATGGGGGAGGGAAGCCACATTGGTGTATGCTTTGTTTCTGTTTTTGTTTGGTTATTATTTTGTATTGTTATTGCTAATTGAATATTGTGTACCTTTGGAAAATAAAATTATTGGGGGGGGGGGAGTGCCAGCTGAAGGAGTCTGTGAAAAGTAAGTATATTGCTAGGTAACTGAACAATTCACACTATTTTATTTAAGGTTTCTTGGCGCAGACTTTGTTATTTCCTGGCTTTTTTAGGGGGGGAGAGAGAATGAGTGTGGGTCATATAGACAGTGGTACTTCTGGTTACGAATTTAATTCGTTCTGGAGGTCTGTTCTTAACCTGAAACCGCTCTTAAACTGAGGTACCACTTTAGCTAATGGGGTCTCCCGCTGCCACAGCCGCAAGATTTCTGTTCTCGTCCTGGGGCAAAGTTCCTAACCCGAGGTACTACTTCCGGGTTAGCGGAGTCTGTAACTCAAAGTGTTTGTAACCCGAGGTACCACTGTAGAGCCATCTCTATACATCCCTTCCACGGTCCTCTCTAAAAAGTGACTTGTGCGAAAGGGAGATGGAGAGAGCCCCTCAGTGACAACTGCTCTGAACTTTGCACGCCCATCTTTAATGCTCGCACCTCGGTGGAGATCTTGCGCGCTGGGTTGTTCCTCATGCGCACTCGGACTGGAGATTGCACCTCATCAGATGATGTCCCTGACGCCTGGTCGCTCTCACCATCTGAACCCATCTTGAGGTCTTCGTGGACAATTTCTGCATCACAGAGAGATGGAGACAGCACAGGCAGGGAAATTAAAAACCTTCTTCTCAAGCAACTCCCTCTAATACCCCTCAAGGATCTCCCGTGGTTCTCAATATGTCATTGTACCTTCCCTTCATGGCCACCTACCCACTGCCCCCCACCTTTGCAAAAAAAATTCCATTCTGTGGGACAGGCTGTCACTACAATTGGCCTCCCACTAGCAATAAACAAATGGTCTGGTCTTTAATGTAGCAGACTTCTGAATTGGGCTGTCACGTTTTGAAATGCTCCCCTATCTACATTGAAAGCTCCTCGCAAACAGAAAATCAGTGCAGGAGGCAAAAGTCTGGGCTAGAAATTTTCTTCCTGATGTACCTGTTTTCTCTTTTCAGTTAATTTTTCAGTGTTAGACCATTCAAAAGCCACTCCCTCCAGCCCCCTCCGTCTGCTGCTTACGTAGACCAAGCCCAAGACCTAGCTGGTTTGAATAACATGCCCCATATGCACAAATTTCCCCTTTCTCACCCCAATCCAATTTGACCATGTGTGTTATAAAGGTAAAGGTAAAGGTACCCCTGCCCGTACGGGCCAGTCTTGACAGACTCTGGGGTTGTGCGCCCATCTCACTCAAGAGGCCAGGGGCCAGCGCTGTCCGGAGACACTTCCGGGTCACGTGGCCAGCGTGACATCGCTGCTCTGGCAAGCCAGAGCCGCACACGGAAACGCTGTTTACCTTCCCGCTAGAAAGCGGTCCCTATTTATCTACTTGCACCTGGGGGTGCTTTCGAACTGCTAGGTTGGCAGGCACTGGGACCGAGCAACGGGAGCGCACCCCGCCGCGGGGATTCGAACCGCCGACCTTTCGATTGGCAAGCCCTAGGCGCTGAGGCTTTTACCCACAGCGCCACCCGCGTCCCTCATGTGTGTTATAAATTACCATATTTTATTAAGAAAAGTCCACTATAGCCCAGTATGGTATTAAAGTAGCCGGTGGTTTTCATTTTTTAAATAGATTATTATGGTTGATACAACAGAAACTTGCACAATGTCATGTAACGAGTTCATGGCCAAGGTAGTCCACACCCAAGGCAATAGAGCAAGGATGGGAAATGTGTGGCTTTCCAGGTATTGCAGCACTCCAAACTCCCATCCACCCCAGTCAGCCTGGCCAATGGTCAGGGATGATGGGAGTTGTAGTCCAACAACATCTGGAGGGCCAGAGGTTCCCCACCCCTGCTCTAGGCACTGAACATGTTTTAAATACCAACAGGGACCTTATAACCTGTGTCTAATGTGTCTAATAAACTGTTTCAATAAAAAAAATAAACAGATAGATGTTGGTTTCATGTCAGTTTCACTTCCATTTCACATCACACCACCCTGTTCTGTGTGACATCTTACCTGATAAAGAGCTGAGGAGATTGCAAAAGCCTGCCACACTTTTTTTTACATTTTGGTTGACTCTCATAAAGGTGGAGATTGGGGAGCTTTCACTCCTGGGGATCTGGAAGGACAGGAAGCCGCTTCAGACCAAGTCATTCTGCTGGTCCATCTCGGTAAGCAGCAGTTTTCAGACAGGAGACCTTCCAGTCCTTCTGGAGATGCCAGGGACTTTGGCAGGCTCCCTCATGGAGCCACAGCCCTGTCCCTAGGAGCCTTTGTGAAACTGAGATGAAACCGAAACTGACGCAACATTGAGCCACAATTCTTAAGATCTGTGTTGATAAGGAGCTAGCACCTGAAACCAAGATCCCTGGGAATAAGGCCCCTAAGCCTTGGTTCCCAGCACCCTTCCCAAACGCCTTCTGAAGCAAGAAACAGAAATGAAAGGCTCAGGGTCCCCAGACTTCTTGCTCAAGGGATTCCCAGCTCTGATGCAGCCCAGCTTCCTGACGAGAGGCCCAGGTTGAAAGGATTTCAGGTGGGACTCCAGAAAGGCTCTCCTTTGGACTGGCCAAGCCCCTGCCCACACAAGGGGGAGGTGCAATAGTCACCTAGTCGGGCGGAGCGGTTGAGGTGGGCGCTCAGGCTGCGGCTGACGGCCAGTCGGGGCCTGCGGAAGGAGCCTGCGTAGCGGTGCAGGAGGGCGTGGACGCTGCGGGAGGTGCTGGGGCGCACGCTCTTCCCTGTGGGGCCTGGGGGGAGGGAAGCGGGGAGGGAGGGAAGCCCACACATGGACAGCCAGATGGGGCAGGTGATACAAGAGTTATGAGAGGCGCCAGAGAGTCAAGTGGGCAGCGGGATGGAGCGGGATGGGGGGCGGAGGACACAGCAGTTAGCAGCAGAGGCAGCGTTGGCATTGGGGAAAGAGCCCACCCAAATGTCCATCGCAGCACCCAACCACAAAGGAGAGTTTAAGGGATTGAGAAAAGAAAGTGTGATATAAACAGGGAGGAGGGTGAATAGGAGGCAAATAGGAATCGCAAACACTCCAAAAGGAGGGGGAAAGTTTGGACACAGTGGAAGAGAAGCACAGATGGCAAAAGCTCACAGGAAGGGAAAGCAATATGCATAAAGAGGCAGGGAGGGGAAGGGAGTCACACCACCAGAATGAAAGGAAGGCAGAAATAAAGCAGATACACAAAAAGAAACAAACAGAGGGAAGAAAAAGAGAGAGAGAAATATGAAGGAAGGAAAAACAAAAGAAAAATCAAAGCAGAACGGGAATCAAACTTAAAGTGGAATGAAAGGGGTGTAATGGAAAGGCAGGACTTACCTGAGAGGGGCAGCCTTCTCCCCACAGCTCTGGTAACCTGAGATACCCCCACTTCAATATTAGAGGAGTGGGGTGGACAGTTATAATGAACCCCAATGACCACCTGATCTGCTTCCATCACAGCCGAGGACCAAACTTTCCAGCATCTGATGCCAGAGCCACATCAAGGCCTTTACTCTATCTGGCAGGGACAGGTGTCTATACGGCTTAAAATCAAGAATGTTTTCTAGTGTGGTCTCTGGAGCACCTAGCAGATACCTTGGAATCCCCAGGTTTCACTTTAAAAAAGAAAGCCAACAAGTTTCTAGTCTGCAGTGTGACAGAGATAACCTAAAAATGGCAAAGACAACTATAATCTGAATACACCTATGAGAGACTTCTGGTGATAAGGATTGCCCCCTCTTCACAGTTCCTTCTTCTTTCCTCAAGGGGAGCTATCCCTCTTCCCCATCCCTTCCTCCTGGTTTTCAATGCTCAGTGACTGGATCAGTAGCCAGCCATTCTCTGTGGTCTTTCCCTCCCTCTGACTGCCAGAGGATTTGCAAGATGGGAGCAAAAAGCCTCTTGTGCTGCTTCTGCTGACACCAAAGCTCAGCATAGACAGAGAGAAACACTCCCTGCCCCCATGTGTCTGCTGCATCCATCCAGCCTAAGCAATCTCATCCGCATTCTCTGCAATTCATAAAACCAGGAGGAGGGGATCCGTGTGCTGCTCGACCTCCTCTGTCACGCTGCCAAGGAGATTTGTGGAAGGCAGCTGGTGAGTCCTATTCCCTCTCCCCTTCATTGTCACCCTCTACAGTCAAGGCAACACCTCACCCTAGCAAAGGCGGTACAGTGGTACCTCAGGTTACATACGCTTCAGGTTACATACGCTTCAGGTTACACACTCCGCTAACCCACAAATAGTACCTCTGGTTAAGAACTTTGCTTCAGGATGAGAACAGAAATCATGCACCAGCGGCAGCGGAAGGCCCCATTAGCTAAAGTGGTGCTTCAGGTTAAGAACAGTTTCAGGTTAAGAACGGACCTCCGGAACAAATTAAGTACTTAACCCGAGGTACCACTGTACAGTCTTATAGGAAGTGGCCTCACCTGGGCAGAAGAGGGGGCCAGCTAGTTCTGGTTGCCAAGATCCTTGCAAAGAATACTGGACAGAAAGCTCTTGCCAAGTACTTTCTGAAGCAGGGAAACGGAAGCTGCTGTTGGACTCCAACTCCCATCATCCTTGATCACTGGCCCTGCTGGCTGGGGTTGATGGGAGCTGCGAATTCAGCAACATCTAGGGCTCCAGGTTCCCCATCTTTGTTCTTAGGATAATCCAGGGCTTTTTTTCTTTAAAAAATGTTTAGGGGTACTCTCATTTTCCTACTCATATTGAAATAATGTTTAGGTGTATGAATACTCCTGCATCCCCCCCCCCGAAAAAGCACTGGATAAAACATTAGTGAAATATGATGGATAACACTCATGGAAACTTGAAATTGGTTGGTTAGTAGGTGGAATCTATTAAATGTCTAATTCCCAAATCAGTAACAAGCCTGCGTTTAAAGTCAACAAACTTTAATATTTCTGTAATTCAAAACCAAATGGATTAGGGGTTAGTTTATATTCTCTGTGCCTACATGGTCTGCATGACTAAACTTCCAAGCACCACTGTTTTTCACATGCTCTGGTCTTGGTTGCTACCCCCTTGTTTTTTTGAGAGAAATGTGAATGTCCCGTTTTATGTTAGTCTTTTGACTGCCCTAAACCAAACATTTTAAAAGGTTGGATCTGAAACCAAGCAGCGACCTATCATGTTTGACTAGTATCTACCTGGCAGATTCAACATTTCCTTTTCATATGATGTTCATTTCTGATCCAGCTGTTTGATTTGTGGTCAAAATCTCTCTTGCATTTCACACTGAAAAGCAGCTCCTTGTTGTTTGTTGATCAGTAAACCTTTAGACTCGAGTGCTGGGTGCCTTCCTCTCCAGGTTAGCAAACAGAGCATGCAAGAAAGCAGATGCATGACCCTGAGACGAGCGAGCCTGGGGGAAACCACCATTTTATGCCCACTACTTTCTCAGGAATTGGCACATGAATTGAGACCTTGAATTAACAGATAAGGCTGCATCCAATGCCAGTCCTGAGCAGAGCACTCACTGAAATTAATGGACAGGACTAACTCAGGTTCATACATTTCAATGGGTCTACTCTGAGTAGAGCTAGCTATAACGTTTGACTGAGTTTGTAACATGGTGAGCTAATTACAATTTCTGACAGGAAAAGTTTACCCAATGCCAGCAAGACTGAAAACAATTATGTAATATTTGCACACATTAAGCTACTTGCATCTTCTTACAATAAGGGTGTTTTTTAAGAAGTTAGAACTTTGAATCAGAAATTCACTGAAAAGTACAATGAACCTATGAAGGCAAAAAGACAGGGACTGAGGAACCACCAGGAGACACCAGTGCCTGTATGATGTATGCACAGAATTAAGTACACTTACGGTTTTTCTTTATTAAGCAGTTTATAAACTTTTCCAAATACAGTGGTACCCCGCAAGACGAATGCCTCGCAAGACGGAAAACCCGCAAGACGAAAGGGTTTTCTGTTTCGGAGGCGCTTCGCAAGACGATTTTCCCTATGGGCTTGCTTCGCAAGACGAAAGCCCATAGGGAAATCTCCGGGGACCTGTTTTAAATTGCTGGCGGTCGGGAGCAAAGACTTTCGCCCACAGCCGGCCTTCAGAAGAGGTCCTGGACCTCTTCTGAAGGCCGGCGGGGGGCAAAAGTCTTTGCTCCCCCCCGCCTGCCTTCCCGGGACAGCGGAGACTTCTCCGCTGCCCCGGGCGATCTTAAAATGCTGGCGGGCGGGAGCGAAGCGTTCGCTGCCGACCCCCAGCATTTTAAAATCTCCCCGGGACAGCAGAGAAGTCCCGCCCCGCTCCAGATGGCCGCGCAAAGCTGCCTGCAGTCGCGGGACTGCAGGCAGATCTGCGCCACCATCCCGAGCGGGGTGCTAAGTCCCGCCCCGCTCGGGATGGCGGCGCAGAGCTGTCTGCCGTCCCGGGATCAGCGCAGCTCTGCGCGGCCATCGGGAGACGGGGGCGAAGCCCGCCCCGCTCCAGATGGCCGCGCAAAGCTGCCTGCAGTCCCGGGACTGCAGGCACATCTGCGCCGCCATCCCAAGCGGGGCGCTAAGTCCTGCCCCGCTCTGGATGCCAGCGCAGAGCTGTCTGCCGTCCCGGGACTGCAGGCAGATCTGTGCCGCCATCCCGAGCGGGGCGCTAAGTCCCGCCCCGCTCTGGATGCCAGCGCAGAGCTGTCTGCCGTCCCGGGACTGCAGGCAGATCTGTGCCGCCATCCCGAGCAGGGCGCTAAGTCCCGCCCCGCTCTGGATGCCAGCGCAGAGCTGTCTGCCGTCCCGGGACTGCAGGCAGATGTGTACCGCCATCCCGAGCGGGGCGCTAAGTCCCGCCCCGCTCTGGATGGCGGTGCAGATCTGCCTGCCGTCCCGGGATCAGCGAAGCGTTCGCTGCCGACCCCCAGCATTTTAAAATCTCCCCGTGTCCCGGTGAGATTTTAAAATGCTGGGGGTCGGCAGCGAAGCCCTTGTTCCCCCCCAGCCCCCCCCCCAGCCTTCAGAAGCCCTTGTCCCCCCCCCCAGCCTTCAGAAGAGGTCGGGGGAGAGACTGTCCCCGGACCTGGTCTGAAGGCGGTTTCCCTTGGAACGCATTAATTGATTTTCAATGCATTCCTATGGGAAACCGTGCATCGCAAGACGAAAAACTCGCAAGAAGAAAAAACTTGCGGAACGAATTAATTTCGTCTTGCGAGGCACCACTGTAAATAAAAGTATTAAGCAAAAAGGTCCCAGCACCTGACCACTGAAATCCTCAGCCTAAACAAACTGCAAACAATCTTCCCTGTGTCCGACTCCGCCCCCCCCCCCCGCTCCTACTCTCTGAAACATTAAGGGCTAGAAACTTGCTCTTTTAGCAATACTTCAAGTTGGAGGGTTCCATAGTAGGCACATCTGAGCAAGATGTGGCCCTCCTTAGTGCGTTCCTGGGCATGTGAGAGCATCGGGGGAGTTCCCCCGCCACATGCACTGTTCTCCGCTGCTGGCAATCGAGAGCACTCACCATTATCGCTGCTGTTGTTCTCCTCTAGGTTGATGGGCTCATTGAGGTTTTTCTCTGCTGTCCGGCTCCCACGCAGCGTCATGGACAGCTGCCGCTTGATCTTCTTCATCCGATCCATGGTGGGGAAACGGCTGAAGTCACTGCACGTGGCAACAAGGAAACAGGGGGTTAACCCACAAGGTGAGCATGTGAGCAACTCCCACTTGATAGGGAATGGGGACGGGGAAATGCCAGTCCACAGGGCAAGATACAAATCCTAACCCCAATCCACTCTTAATATAGGATAAGCCAGATGTAGCAAGATGTATGCATATACAGTATACTTCATTATGAATCACCCTGTATTTATCATTTTAATTCTGCTTCTTTGCCTACAAGGTGGCCCATAAAATATTTCAATGCTAAAAAAACACCCACTTAAAAGTCTGCGTATATGCAGTCAATAACACACGTGGGCGGGGGGCTAATCCAGGGACACAAGAGTGCACTGTGGATCCTGAATACTTCAAGGGGAGGGGACTCCTGGGTCCTTTGAAGAGCCATCTCACGTGCTACTCATATTCAAAATGCATCTGCTTCTTAAACTGTATTTTTAGGCATGTAAAATATTTATGTCTCGAGTTGTGTACTATGGTGACTACAGTGAAAGAACTAAAAGTAAAAAGTCTCTGGAAGTATGTGGGGAAGGAATTTTACAAAGTTAAGAAAACTATCGATCAGATGCCTGGAAAAATAAAGAAAAGGTCCGCATATGTTTCTGGAATGCAGGTAAAGAGGGGGAGGTTTCCACAGCTGTGGTGCCCCCCCCCCCGGAGAATGCCCAACTGCAGGACCCTTAACAGCACAATCCTAAGGTTAGGATTGCAGCATAATCTGGGAGCAAAGAAGCACCTGGAAATGGATATATTTATGAAAGGCAACTTTTGCCTTTTAATTTGCCGTTTCAGTTGCGTAGCTGAAAACCCAGTCTGTCACTCAATTTCTCCCAAGCTTTTCTTTCAAACAAGGTTGCAAAGAAAGCTGATAAGAGGTTCCTCAAGAAGGTTAGTAACTGCTTGAAGGACAGCTTGCCCAGCACCACACAGCTCCAGCTGCTAAGTCCGAGTCCGGCCACTTGCGCTCAAGCTCAGGATTCCCAACACTTTCAGGCAGGGGACATTTCCAGCCCCATTTGGAGAGGCTGGGGGTTGAGCTATGGCCCTTTCACAGAAGCAGTGGGGATACGAATACTACGTGCTCTCTGTTCATGTAGAGCTTGAGGAGGCCTAAGAGAACGGAATGTGCAGCCTCAAACACTCCCCAGAATCCTCTGCAACATACAGGGGCTCCATAGCAGATTTGGGGTCCCAGGCTGACAAAAGGAAAAGGAAAGTGTTCCCCCCAAAAAAGAGAAAATGTGAAATCCACTGCTCTGAGGCATCGAAAATTCCCAAGGCTGCACATATTCACATTTGAGGAGCTTACTCTAGATTTGGGCAGAAATGAGACACAGGGGGAGAGAGAGGGGTGACCCAAACCCTTCCTTTTGTAGAAGGATGGGTTTTATTTTATGCTTATCACCATATTTGGAGCTGGGAAGAAATTTTGCCCCAGGGCCAATTGGCTAGCGACACCATTAAGCATAATTCATTCCAAGCGCATAATTTGGAGGGTGTGTGTCCATGCTCATCATACACACAAAGAGCCAGCCATAACAAAGAAGAGAAGGAAAATGATTTCATTGGAGGCTTGAACCAGCCTCGTTTGGTCACAAGCTGTATTTTGGGGTATTCGTGCTTTCATCTGCCTCTTGAGCCTTTCCATAATGAATGGTGGGGTTAAATATAGCCCCAGGAGCCGGAGAGTGTGCGAGGAAACCGCCCAGTCTGGGTATTCATTTTTTTTTATAATAATAATATTTTATTAAGTTTAACAATAGAAAAAGAGACAACCAAACAAAGAACAGTGAAAACACAGGAAAAATATAAAACACAACAATACAAAATTTCACAATACCAAAAATACAAACATTTAACCTAACAAGGGGAAAAGGAAAAAATCAATCGACACACAAAAATGAAGGGGAAAAAACCACAAATCACTCTTTTCTAGTTGTTCATCTTTGATTAACTTATTTTCCTGACTTCCTCACGCCTCCCTTTTTGTATCCCTTTTTAACAATTAGTTCAGCAAATTCATATCCTACTACTTTATCCTTAAATATTTTACCTCCCATATATAGTTTCAAATTTTTATCTATCTTGTTGCTAGAACCACTTCATTTTATTTCAATGTCATCAGCATTCATACATTTTACAATACTTCTGTAAATAAATTTTAAATTTCCTCCAATCTTCTTCCACCAACTCTTCTCCCTGGTCTCGGATACTGCCAGTCATCTCAGCCATTTCCATATAGTCAATTACTTGCATCTGCCATTCTTCCAAGGTGGGTAAATCTTGTGTCTTCCAATGCTTTGCGATGAGTATTCTTGCTGCTGCTGTAGCATACATAAATAAAGTTCTATCCTTCTTTGGCACCAATTGGCCAACTATGCCCAGGAGAAAGGCCTCTGGTTTCTTCACGAAAGTATATTTAAATACCTTTTTCATTTCATTATAGATCATCTCCCAGAAAGCCTTAATCCTCGCCGCCCAGTCTGGGTATTCAGTTGACAGATGGAATCCAAAGGCAGCTTAAGAAAAACACAGGTGATGGTCTGCTTGGGGTCAGGTTCTTCAACTGTAACACACACGGACACAACTGAGATAGGTGCAAGTCAGAGGCTCACCAGCAGCTGTGACCATTTCAACCAATCCTGCAGCACTGGGAAGTCTTGGATCCAGACTGCAGTTATTCTGAATGACCAGAACTATCATGAGACGCCAGCAGTATGTGAAACTCCCCTTGGTCTGGGCACATTTTGCTACCAGGAATTTCATTAGCGTGAGCAGTTTCTGAGCTCTGGACACAGTGCTGTGCCTAACATTTCAGATTAAAACTGCAGAGTGGAAAGAAAGGAGGACCTTTTTCTGCCTTCCCACTTCCGGCCACTCTCTGAAGACTGGAGAAGAGACCCTCTTAAGAATATCAGGGGGGTGGGCAGGGGAAGGACACTAGACCATGTGAAATATGAACATAAGATTTTAGCTGCAGTTCATTCATTTTCAGCTTTGTATTCTTGTTCTAAAAAGTGTGCCTAGACATTCTGTTGTTGCACCCATAATATCAGTTTAAGGTGCTGATATGAGAATTATAAGGTCTAAGATATAAAATAAATGTTCATAAATGTACTAGGCAAACACATACATAAATATATAAACCACATGTCTGAAACAGTACAGGAAAATAGTCCTGAAACCATTTTGACTCTCCCAAATTGACCTCAAATGTTTATCTGCAAAGAGGAAGGAAATGGGAAAACCTCCCCATTGTCTCTTTTGCTCACAAATCCTGTCTTAAGGGCGTATTTGTGTATGAAATGGGTGAGCCTGTGACCTGGATTCAGGAACTGAGTATTTACACAAAAGAATGGCCAGACTGCCCAGGTAATGCAATCAGTGACCATTATCAGGTACCCTGGCAAACAGGATTTCTGTTGTAGACCACCTCCTCTGCTGTTGACCGCCTCCTTCTGTGATGTATGTATGATGTTTTGGGGGGTGGTCTTGGGCTACATGGTGGGCAATTTCAAAATCTATATAAGGGCTTGCACACCAATGTTCTGGGTTTCTCCTCCCTCCTGCTTGGGGGTCTGAGCACCCTATTGCAACAGTTTAATAAAGATCAGGCTTACTTGTCGCTTTGCTTCTCCATATTCTCTGGCTGGCCTTTGTTATTTTCTCCTCCCGATAGAGAACCTACATAGGGACTCTCTACGGCAGTGTTTTTCAACCACTGTTCCGCGGCACACTAGTGTGCCGCGAGATGTTGCCTGGTGTGCCGTGGGAAAAATTGAAAAATTCAAAAGATTTAAAAATAAAGTATTTTATAATTTTTCATATTTCTGTTTACTTACTATTTCATAATAAAGTAATTATAAAATACTTTCTTTGTGTTTATTTGATTCCTATTCAAGAGAATTACTTTATATATAGTCAATTTTTTTAACATTTTCTAATTTTTTAAACATTTTCTAATGGTGGTGTGCCGTGTGATTTTTTTCATGAAACAAGTGTGCCTTTGCCCAAAAAAGGATGAAAAACACTGCTCTACGGGCTCTTGGGAGCAGTTTTTTCTTATAACAGTGCCATTTAGCTCCAAGCTTCCATATCTCAGTTTCTAACACTGGACAATGGCCGTCATTATGGACATGGTTCATTCACTAGGGACTCAAATTGCTACTGTCAATATCAATAAAAGAAACCACATGCACTTACTGTCCTTGCAACAGCAGATGTTGACAACCTGGCTGTGAGCCTCCCCTGTCCAAAAGAGCCCATTATTCAGCTACAGTGTGTTCTGTTCCGGAGCCCTGTTCGCATCCTGAATGCAGGACACCACTGCGCATCTGCACAGGTCACGTTTCGCCACTTCCACACATGCGCGTGATGCCACGGGGCACAACCCAAAAATGCTTAACCCGAAGCTACTTCAACCCAAGGTATGACTGTATTGCGGTTAGTGAGGAATTCAACAGCCTTGTAGTTGTTAAAGGTAAAGGGACCCCTGTTAGGTCCAGTCACAGACGACTCTGGGGTTCTGGCGCTCATCTCACTTTATTGGCAGAGGGAGCCGGCGTACAGCTTCCGGGTCATGTGGCCAGCATGGCTAAGCCGCTTCTGGCAAACCAGAGCAGCGAACGGAAATGCTGTTTACCTTCCTGCTGGAGCGGTACCTTGACGTGCTTTTGAACTGCTAGGTGGGCAGGAGCTGGGACTGAGCAACGAGAGCTCACCCTGTCGCGGGGAGTCGAACCGCCAACCTTCTGCTTGGCAAGCCCTAGGCTCTGTGGTTTAACCCACAGCGCCACAAAAAAATGAAAGGGGCTGCATTCAATATAGTGCTAAGAAGATGGTGAGAAACATAATATTCTCCCTCTCTCCTCCCCCTGCCCCATCTGTTCTGGAGGTCTCCTCAACCTTCCAGAGCAGGTTTGGGTATGGTACAGGGCATGCACAGACGGAGGGAGTCCTCTTCTGCCAGAGAAAAATGGTGGTTG